TCTCAGACACACAGATGTCATCACTGTTACTAGATCCTTCTGTGTCCTTCTGGAGTTTCTTTGGGCAAACCTAAGTATATATTCTTATTCGCATACATTTTTACACACTCCTGCAGGGGCCAGCAAACTTCGAGTCACGGACTAGATCTGGCCCCTCACCTAATTTTGTAAACTGAGTTTTTCTGACAGACAGCCACATATGCTCTCTGGCCCCTTTCAGGCAGAGTTGAGTGTTGGGACAAAGACCCTAAGACTGTAGCTATTTCCTGTCTGGCCCTTTGAGAAAACATCTGCTGAGCCGCGGACTAGAGGAAGCAGCCAAACCCACGTTTTTGCACTTTGCTTTTTCCACTTAACCCGACATCCCAGAGATCTTGCCATAGCAGGACACAAAGAACGTGTTCATCCCTTTGCACAGCTGTGTAGTATTCTACTGTGTGACTGTGCTTTATGAGTAGCTGCTTTCCCCACGGCAAGACGTTTAGGAGGTTGCCAACAGTGCCGTGATTTGCTGTACTCCCCACTTCCCATGTGGGTGGGATGTTTGGAGGATAAATTTCCAGAAATGTTTTTGCCAAGTCTGGGTTCCCAGAGCGATGGGAAGGTGGGGAGTATCTGTCCCTGAATTCTCCGAGATTAAATGCAGAACGTGGCATACCTGTGGGTATTTTTCTGAGCGGATCCTCAAAGGGCAGAGGGTTGATGACTGTGGTTGGACCTGGGACCCAAGGGTGGGGATTAAGGGTGTGGTTCTGGGAGGTCCAGGGCCTGGGGTCCAGGCTGGGCACTAACCAAGGTCATCAGCGAGCCTCCGGCCATCCTCGGTAGGCACGACACGCTCATCTTCCAGGTCACACTTGTTCCCCACGAGGATTACCTGAGCGTTGTCCCATGAGTAGGTCTTGATCTGTGTGGCCCTGTGGAGTTTGAGGGCCATTAGGCTAGAAATTAAGAATCAGGGGAGGAGGGGGAAGGTCAGGTGTCCATGGTCAGCAAGCACTCACCAGTCCTGCACGGCGGCGAAGGATTCCTGGTTGGCAACATCATACATCAGCAGGAAGCCCATGGCTCCGCGGTAGTAGGCGGTGGTGATTGTACGGTAGCGCTCCTGGCCCGCCGTGTCCTAGGCACACAGCAGGGTCAGGCCACTAGAAGCTACCCTGTTCCCCAGCCAACCCCTGCAGGGCCCTAAGCGGGTCACCACCTTGTGCTCATAGCCCCAGTCTGATGGGTGAGACATGGCCCTGCCTGTACAATCTCTGTCTGATGGGAGAAATATGGGCTGGCCCTCACAGCCCCAGTCTGATGGGAGGCACGGCTTTCCCAGTCTGAGGGGTCAGCGGCCTCTCACAGACTCGTAAGCCCCTCTGACCTCACCTCCAAGAACAAACTTAGTGACCACATACAAGAGCCACCTGGGTCAGAGAGCACCATCCTGATGCAGACACTCTGGTGCTCAATACCATGAGAATCATTATTAGCACCCTTGTTGGGAGCAAGAGCATGCCTCTGAGGAGCACAGAGGCCCAGTAGGGGATCCTGCGATGGTACCCCAACCTCTTCCCCACTGGTCACCAGGACTTCTAACCCGCCTTGGGTTAGCACTGTCTGCCCCTCAGACCCCACAAGGCAGGGCATATCCTCATCCTGATGAAGTCACCTCATAGATAATCCCCCCTACTCTACACATCTACCCCAAGCCCCCACCCTGTCTTTGGGCTACTCTCCCTCACCTGAGGCCCCTCCCCACAGCCCGACACCCTATCATGGACTTCCTTGGAGGAACCCCAGCCCCTCCAGGGCTCCTCTCCCTTGCCACAGGTCCACCATAGCCGCCTGGCCCACCCAGATCTGCAGCTTGATCCTCTTGTCATGGCGATAGACCGTCTTGACCTTGAAGTCGATGCCCACAGTGCTGACAAAGGCAGGTGTGAAGGAGTCATCCGCGTAGCGGAACAGGAAGGACGTCTTGCCCACGCTGCTGTTGCCGATGAGCAGCAGCTTAAACATGTAGTCGAAGTTCTGGTCTGCTGCATCCCGCGGGCCCGTGGGGGGGTCTCCAGCTGATGCCATCTTGGCAGAGAGCCTCCTGGGGCGCGGGGAGGGGCTGTCGCCCTGCAGAAAAATAAACCACCAGGAATGGCTCCAGTGTATCGGACCAGACCCGGGTTCAAATCCTGCTTCTGCCACTAGGAGGCCAAGCGGCCTCAGATGCATCACTTGCTCTCTCTGGCCCTCTGTATCCTCTTCTGGAAAATGGGGCTGCTTATCAAATGCAAGGGCCCAGGTTGCGGAGGGGAGACACATGCAGTGCCTCCTCTGGCCACCGAGGAACCAGACCCTGCAGAAGGTGCAGGTGTGGACTTTGCCCAGGAATGAGCAGCTGGCTGGGCCCAGGTATGAGCTGGGGGGAGGAGGGCCTGCCAGCTGGATAGAGCCCCCCCTCAGGGCCTGGCTGTTGACTTTGGCAAGGACACCTGCCCTGACCACCCCCCCCCACCTCTATGCTGAGTTTAACCCCATCCCTGGCCTCCACGGGGGTTTCATTGGATACAACCCAGGTTTAAAGCCCAGCTCTACCCCCAGATGGGTCCTGCCACCTTCTGTTTGTCAAAAGGGTGGGCCTGTCTCCCTCCGGGCAGGGCTGACTCACCCCAGCCCCAGCCCACAGAGGCTGCAATGACAGTCCTCGACTCTAAGGAAGCCACCTAATAAGAACCCCCCACCCCCACCCCACCACCACCATACCCCTCTATTTCCTGATTCTTCCTTTCTTGGCAATCTGTCCCCAAGGCTAGGCTGCTTTATCTGGGTCTGGGACACCCCCTCAGCCCTCATTCTCTCCCTAGGCCTCAGTTTCCCCAGCCGTCTATGGCTTCTCCTTGAGCTGCACAGAGAGGCTCCAGGAGGCCTGGGTGAATGAAGGGCACACTGGCTGGCAGAGGAACCCTGAGCAAAGCTATTTCTCAACTGCCTGTGGGGCTTTTTTCCATTTTAAAAGAGGACCGAACCAGCCCGCTTTCCTGCCCAGCCCTGGGCCCCACCCGGTGTTCCGGGAGAACGAGTTCAGAGGAGGGGAAGACAAGAGGCAGGAAACCTTTCCCCATGTTGGGCAGGGCTGCCAGGCTGGGGCCCTTACCCCACCCCCAGCCCCAGCCCGAGCCCACCTGTCAGCCGGTCCCACCTCTTGCCGACCATCTGCCCATCCTCCCTCACACCTGGCACTAGAGAAGGGTCCTCGGGGGCCTCGGCCCTATCTCCCTGCTGAATTTGGGGCGCCCCCGCCGGTGCAGGGGGGCTCAGGAGCTTCCTCCCATCACCATATGGTCCCATCTCCTGTTCCCAGCTGGGCTCTCGGCCCCGCCCGCGCCCCATTAACGCTCCCCAAGGAGCCCAGCTGGGTGGGGGCGAGGGAAGAGGCGTTCCCCCTCCGCCCGCCTTTGTTCCCCGCTCCCCGGGCCCTCCCGCTAGCCCCCGGCCCCCCAGACCTGCGGGGACGCGGAGGCGCGGGGCGGGGGTGCGGTCCCTCCGAAGGGGTCACCTCGCGTGGGGGGCGCTGCCCGCGGGCGCTCCTGCTGCGAACTCGCTGCGGCCTGGCCCCAGGCGCGACGCCGACCCCGCAGCCGCCGCCGCCGCCACCGCCGCTGCCCGCAGCCACCCGGATCCCGCGCCCGCTCCGCCCAGGCGGGGGAGGAGGAGCCGCTCCCCGGAGGGGCGGGGCGGGGCCGAGTCCGGGGCGGGGCTTGCGGGAGCTTGGGGGAGGGACTGGAAGCGCCCCGCGCTGGGGCGGCCTCGGGCCCGCCCCACGACGATAAACTTCGTCTTTCCTAACGGTACGTAGAGCTCCTACTCTGCACGGAAGTTAAGGGAGCGGATTCTGGAGTCAGGTTCGAATCCCAGCTCCACCACTTCCTAACTCGGTTTAACTTTGGACGTGTTACTTAACCTCCCGGGGAGCCTGGTGCCCCCGGGCGTCCAGTGGTGCATAAGAAGAATCCCTACCGGGGCACCCGGGTGGCTCAGTGGCTGAGCGTCTGCCTTCCGCTTGGGTGGTGATCCCAGGGTCCTCGAGCTTCCCATCGGGTTCCCTGCGGGGAGCCTGCACCTCCCTCTGCCTGTTTTTCTGCCTCTCTATGTACTCTTATGGATAAATAAAATCTTTAAAAAAAAATTGCTACCTCACAGGACTGTGTGAAGGCTCTGACCTGAGTTAGGATCTCGAAAGTGCGATGCCCCACCCTAAAGTGGTCTAGGTCCCTGCGAAATACCCTGAAGGGCTCTTAGAATTAAACCGTTTACAGGTAAGGAAAGGGAGCCTCAGAGAAGGGCACCTCTTTGACTGAGGCCACACAATGAGGAAATTTTCACATCCAGGCTCAGGTGAGGCTCCAGAATTTTCTTCAAACCATGAGAACATCTGTGGGCTTTGCTGGAGTCAAATCCCAGCAACTACACCTAAAGCCACTTGAACTCTGAATCCCCATTGCTTCATGGGAACAATCGTAGCTCCCTCCAAGGGCTGCCACATAGGTGAATGGAGAGGACATGCATCAGGAAGGGCCAGCATATGATCAGTAACAAGCAGCCCCAAAGTCTCTATGGCACTCGACACCCAAGGTGTTCTCATTCACACTGGTCATTGTGGTGAAGGAAAAATGTAGCTAATCATGCACTGGCTTGTACACTTCTCTTTGTAAGTGACTCTGTTCACATTTCCTTGGCCAATTTGGCAAGTCATGCAGCCATCCCCAGTGTCAATGGGGTGGGAAATACAATCAAATCAGCTATTGTTATAATAATACATGGTACACACGATGGTTAGTGCCATGCCTGGCACACAGCAGGTACTCAGTAAATGGACACTTTACAGGAAGAGCTTAGGGTCTGTAATGACTAACACTCCAAATCCTGCCACATGAATATGGTAACGAAGGCCCTCAGCTCTACCTTTGCCCACCCCTCTTCCTGCTTTCCAGTTGGGAGAAGAATGACAGCAGCCATTTCCAAAGAAGTGTTTATTAACATTTGGGGCCTCAGGGGGGCCAGAGAGGAAGTGAGTGCTAGAGGCTCCTGAGGCTCAGGGCAAGGCCTGCAAGACAGATCCCATTGCTCAGGAGGCAGCCCAGATTGCAAATGGAAGACAGGCCATGGTAGCGGAAAAAGGTCTGGCGGAGGACACTGTACTTGGGGTCTTGCCCTCGCAGCTGGCGGTAGGGGTCGGGGCCCTGGTGGCTTCCAGGCACCTCCCCACCCAGGCCCCGCTCCTTCTCCACTGTGTGCAGGGCCCACATGGAAGCTGTGGTGCGAGGCTCCAGCCAGCGGGCGTTGATAGTGGACAATGTGAGGCTCAGGAACAGCAGGCAGAGCTGGTAGGGTGGTGGAAGGAGGACAAGGTGAATCATGCCGAGGGGGCAGGAGAGATCCTAGGGAGGGTCCTCCTGCATCCTCAAAGCCCAGAGGTGGGTGGGAGACAGTATTAGGTCAAAGCCAGGCCTCCCTGTCCTTCCCCAAACCCAGTCTAGAGGCCCCAAGCAGAGCTCCCGGCTCCTAGCTTTCATACCCTAAAACCAGCAGCTCCAGCACCATGTCCTCTATTCCTCCCCAAAACCTTCTGAGCCTCTCCTCCTCTGATACCCAGACTGGAAGTTTCCACAACACAGCCTTGCCTCCTCCCCTCCTGCTGCCCCAAACTGGGGGCATCTCAGGTCAGAAACTCTCTTCCCCAAATTGGGCAGAGCACCAGAACTGTCCCCCACCACCGGCCAAAAAGAGCCTAAGACAGGGCCCATCTCCTCTATGGTCCCTGCCCAGACTCCAGAAACTGAGATTGGGCCCACAGGAGTGAATAGAAAATCCTTGAGGTTCCAGTTACCCATAATCCTCTCCTGACTCTTTGGGATTATTCTTGAAATCCTTGTCAGGCCTCACCTGCCCACATCTGAGGAACATAACAGGGGCAGGGGGAGGGCAGGATGCAGAAATATGAGATGCAGAGATGGTTCCCTGCCTTGTGGCTGGGAAAATGTGTGGATGGGAGTGGGGTATTGTAAATTCCCAGTCAGGCTGGTTTTTAAACAAAGAGCTGGGGTCACTGCCCGAACCCAGCTGAGTCACCACAACTTGGCAGCAGGCCCAGCCAGGGGAAAGAGAAGGAGCAGCAACCAGCAGAGACACACTGAGGAATTGAAAGGGCTGCTAGGGATGGTTGTGCAGGCTGTGCACTGCTCAAGGGTATCCAGAGCCCAGTTTGGCACCCACCAGGAAGGTGTAGTTGCTTGTTTTTGTTTTTTAAATTCTCACAAAGGTGTAGCCTTTGTGAGCCTGTACTAAGTGGGGTCCTGGGAACGGGTCTCCAGAGGGCAGTGGAGCCCAAGCCCGCATACCTGGCTGGCCTCCCAGAATGTGAGCTGAGCCCAGGCATGTTGTGAAGCCAAGATGCAGAGGTTGATGAAGGCACAGCCCATGGAGATGTGAAAGTATAAAGGGAAGAGTTTGCTTTGCACCAGGCCGAAGGTATGTCGGGGAAGGTTTCGGAAAAGCTGGAAGCCTGTGGGGGTACAGTGAGCCACATGCCTGTTAGGACGCTTCCAGGTACCCCTCTCATTCTTATCTCCACCCTGGGTACCCATGACGTCCAGGTGGGGGGTCCCTACCTGAGATGAAGGTCACCCACATTTGCATGCCCCACGCCCCTGACAAGACCAGTAGATGGACCATCTTAGTCAGGCTTCCAGGATTCCCGCCTTCCTCCATCTTGCAGGCCTGGGAAAAAGGCACCGGGTGTCCCAGAGTTTTACCCTTGCCCCATGGTCTTCAGCCTGTGAGCCTGCTCGAGGCCAGGATCACGCACGGCCAACCCAGGAGAGATCAAGGGATACCAGCCCGGGGAATGGGGGTGGGGAAGACCCAGAACAATCCCGAGACAACCTCTAGCCCAGTCTCTCCAAATGTCAGCCCTCAGGATCTCAGGCTTTCAGGACCCCCAGCATCCACGCCGTCTCCGAGACTCGAAAATTTCAGTTAGCCCCAGCAGCTCAAACTCCCAGCCCTGGGTATTCAGAGATTCCCCGCGGGGACTCCCCAAAATCAGCCCAGAGACCTAATTGTAACCGTAAGGACGCCTGCTGTCATCTCAGGATCCCAGATATCCCTATGAAGTTCCCCAAAGCACCCCTGGACACCCCCATCTAATGCTGGGAAACCCCAAATCTCACGCCGAGGACACCGACCCTATCACTGCACCCAGACCTCAACCCGCAGCACCCAGGAACCCGAGAACAGGCGTGCCAGGGCCAGATCTCGGGGGCCGGGCGGGCTGGGACAGCTACCTCGCTCCGGCGCTCCCAGGTGGCCCGCGGACCTCTTCAGTCACCTCCAAGAATTCATCCCGCCTCCCAGCTAAGCCTGAAGCCAATTGGACGGTAGAGCTGCCGCCTCCCGCACCGCCCTCCTTAGATACTGACTAATCGATTAGCGGAAACCAGCTGGAATCCCGCCCCCTCGTCTGGATTTTATCCAATTACATCGCGGCTCCTAAGATCTGCGGAAGCGGGAAGGCACCAATAAGGTCTTGGGCTGCATCGGCGGGGGCGGAGCTAAAATGCCAGCCACACCCCTCTCTGTGACTCTACCTTTAGGCTTTGCGCGTTTTAATGCGATGGTGTCCCCACGGGATCAAATTTCAGCGTCACAGCTGGGGACTGGCTTCGCGGTCCCTGAGGGGAGAGCATGAGCAGGTGGTATGTGGTAGGTGGGGGTGGAAGGGGGTCTGGAGCCCGGCGGGCGCAGGATTCTCGGGCCGGGGGGCGTGGCTCAGGCTAATGACTCCGCCCCCTTCCCCCAAGAATTCTCCCGGAGACAGCGGGAGAAGCAGCTGATGTGGAAGGGGAAGGGGGAAGATTAAGGGGGAGACGTGGAGGGTGGGAGGGTGGGGGTGGGGTGGGCTCGACTGGGTACCAGTCTGCAGTTGGAGCTCAGAAGCACATCTCCCCTCTTCCCTTTCAAGCCTCCCAGGGCTCCCGGGGTCCCCAGTTTCCCAGGTTGCCAGTGTGACATTCCGAGGACAGTTTCCCACTATTGTATGTCAGGCACTGGCATAGATTAATTTACTTAATCACAGCAACCCAGCGAGGTGGATCGTATGACATCCCATTTTTTATAGTTGGGGACACTGAGGCATGGAGATTTTCGGTAACTCTCCAACATCACACAGCCGGGAAAGGGCGGAGCTAGGATTTGAACCCAGGCCACCCAGGTGGAGAGGCCCCTCGCTTAATCATCCTGCTGTACTGTCTCTGCAAGTGCGGGCCTTCCAAGACAGTGATTCTTGAAGGGGTGGCCTAGAACATTTCAGGCTGAGGAAAAGCTCCTATATCACGACATGGGTGTGAAGACTCAGTGAGTGCCTAGGATGGTGCCTAGCACTCAGTAAGGTGCTCAGAAAAGAGGAGCTTAAAAAATAAAAAGGATTAGGGAAGATTTCACAGAGGAAATGTTGAGGAGAGTGTTGAAGGGTGTATTGCTGACTTCCAGGAGGACTGGGCCAGAGGGAGGACACCAGACAGCCCAGCAAGGGCAGAAGAGAAAGCCCTGGAGGGTGGGCTTTCTAGCTGAGCGTGCATCAGGACAAAATGCCCTTCACCTGGAAGTTTTTCCAGACAGGCCTGCCCCAGGTCCCCATCTGTGCCAGCCCTGACAACACTGGAATGTTGAACAGGGGGGGTGAATGTGAGACCCAGAACTGGGTTTTCTCCCATTCCCAGCCTCACCTAGGACAGGGCTTCAGCTCCAGTTCTGCTAACATTTACTGGATAGATATGCCCTGCCCCTCCTGCTCATGCTCCATGGCTCCCACTTACTTGGGAGCCAGGCCTTAACTTCCCTGCTTGGCTTTCCATCCCTTGCTTGAACCACCCTGCTAGCCTCCTACTGGCTCCTCTTGGACCTTACCTTCCACCATCCTGAATTTACTAGCATAGAGCATGTGGTTCCATGCCTCTGAGCTTTTGCCCATGCTGTTTCCTGCCAGGAATGCCCTTCCTTTGGTTCCCAATGTTAAGATCCTTTTTTGCTTTTAGGCTCTTCTGAGGCCTCACTCACTCCTGTGAGGGTCTTCTGGATCCTTCTCACTACCCCGCCCAATGCCTAGGGCTGGGATCATCTTTCATCCAGCTTCTGCTCCTGCCATAACTGGGAGGCCCTGTGTTCAAGGCTGAGGCCTCTCTGGGGGTATTAGGGGAAGGTCTGGGAGTGTCAGGACATGAGGGCTGGTCTCAGTGCAGCCCCCTGTCCCCCCTTGTTGAAGCGACCCTCTTCTGGCTGGCCTACCCCAGGACCCTGACTACTCTCTGCCCTGCTGCTGCTCATCTCCCTTGCCCTCCAACGTGTGTTTGCCTGCTCACAGGAAGGGTGACAAGTACTGGGGTTTGTTGAGGGACTTCCCTGGGGCTGGGGAGCAGGGAGGGGCTGGAGTGCTCTGGGCTGGTCCTCAGAAAAGCCTCCCCCCCATTCTCCCAACCCCACCCCCTGTCCAGTCTCTTCCTCAGACAAGACCTTGGATTATACGATTCACTCGTCCAGGACCCCAGAGCCAGAGATCTTGGGGCCAGCTCCTGAGAACACAGTGCCGGGTATAGACTGGACGCTAGAGAGAGACTTGGAGCCTCAGTCGTCTGGGTCTCCCATCATCCAAAACCCAGACTCACAGGAACAGTGTAATGACCAGGACCTTCTGAAGAGGCATCAAAACATCGCTAAGGTCACCCCCACCTGGGAAACCCCTCCCAGCCACACCACAATCTGCTACTGTGGGGCTTAGGGAGGGGGCCGTGGCAGTGGGTGGTGTGTGTGGGTCTTTCTCAGGCACCCTCACAATGTGTGACTTCAGGACCAAGAACAGCACCCAACGCTCAGCCCGCCGACACTAAAAACATCTTAAATGAATGGATGAAGGGATGTGTGATTGTGTTTCTTAGTCGGTCTTCTCTGTGATATTTTGTGGGTATGAGTGCCTGTGTGGCTGTGGTCGTGCTTGTGTGTCTGAGTTGGGTGTAAGTGGATGCCCTGGGCCTTACAACCTGGCACGCATGGCTGTGTCTGAGCTTGTGTGGCCATAGTTGTGTTTTGATTATCATGTGTCACTGTGCCTCAATGCTGTTGGAGCTCCCTGGAGACATTGTCTATGTTATTTGCCTTTAAGGAGGAGGGTCATTACCTGAGCCCAAGCCAGAGACAGGGCTCCACAGGTGTGCTGTCAGGGGCAGCCCCAGGCCTGCACACATAGGGGACAAACCACACAAGCATACTTTTGACCATGTGTGGGCTAGTTGGGGTGGGGTGGGGTGGCATGCCCATGCATGGAGGCAGCTTTGCCTGCACTCTGTAGACCCAACTCCTACCCACCCCCCCACACAATGGGTTGCGATGTGCAAGAAGAAGCACAGGGATGAATTTCTACTACCCTCATGTCCCCCTTTCCTAGAAACCCTTGGAGACCAACTCTTCCAAAACCAAAGGTGAGAACCCTCCCTCCCAACAAGGCTATGTGCAGATGACCTGCCAGTTCTTACTTCCACCCTCTGGCCTCGCCTGGGAGGAGCCACACTATTGCTGCCCACTTAGCCCTGTCCCAGCCTCAGCTGAGTCTTGCCCCTGACCTTGTGACCCACTCTTGTCCCAACCTTAGCCTCAACAGACCCCAGCTTTTTACTTTGTGCCCACCCCTCTCCCTCCTCTGAGCTTCTGCTGACCTCTGACCTGACCTCACCCCCTGCCCCCACCACTCCTAGCCTCAGCTGACCCTTACCTCTGCTCATAGTTAAGTCCACCATGATGATTCCTGACTCCCAGAAGCTCCTGCGATGCGAACTGGAGTCACTTAAGAGCCAGCTACAGGCCCAGACCAAGGTGAGGCTCCTCTGCTCTGTCCTCAGAACCTTTGGCCCTATTCCCTTGCTCCTGCCCCCAAGTCTGATCTCTTCCCTGCAGGCTTTTGAGTTCCTAAACCACTCAGTGACCATGTTGGAGAAGGAGAGTTGCCTGCAGCAAATCAAGATCCAACAGCTTGAAGGTGAGAACTGGCTAAGAGTCAAAGTCGGGCTAGAGCCTGGATGCTGTTGGGGTCAGCTGGATTAGCCCAAGGTGAAAGAAGCTGAGTGTGTCTAGGTTCAGAGTCAGGTCTGTCCAGGTTTAGGGTGAGCTGGGTTCAAAGCTGGGCTCAGGGGTGGTTGGGGCTCAGTCATGATCCCATCTAATCTGCAGAGGTGCTGAGCCCTATGAGCCGCCTCACAGAGAAGGAGGGACACAAGTGGGGCTTGGAGCAGGGACAGCAGGAGCTGTATGGGGCCCTGGCTCAAGGCCTTCAGGGGCTCCAAAAGACCCTGCGTGACAGCGAGGAGGTGCAGAGGGCCCGCACCACACGCTGCCTACAGCTGCTGGCCCAGGAGATCCGGGACAGGTGGGCATCACCAAGAGGGCAGCCTGTAAGCTGTGGGAGGGAAGGGAGGCTGGGGAGAGGGAACCAAAGGTGGGATGTGGGATGAGGCAAATGGGAGAGGCCTGAGTAAGGTAGCCAGGGGGTCAGGGAAGGCTTGAGGGACAAGACTGGGGGATGAGGAGGTGGTGGAGAGGTGTGGGAATCTGGGAGGCCAGAAGGCAGGGAAGACAGAAAGCTGGAGATGGGATAGGGAGGGAGGCCAGGGGTTCAGGAAACTGGAGGTGATATGGGAAGTTGGAAGGAGGAGAGATTGAGGGTGGCAGAGGCTGGGGAGTATGGGAGGTCTGAGGTGACAGGGGCCAGGCAAGGAGAGGCTGAGAGAATGGGAAGCTCGAGGTCAGGAGGAGAGGACACAGGGCTGGGGGAGTGGACTTGTGGGAGTAGCAGTAGGAGGGGCAAGCTGGGCAGGCAGATTGGGGGAAGGGACAGACCCTGGGGGGATGGGTAGCTGGGACAGGAGATGGGAACAGATGGGAACAGGAGAGTTGGAGGAGACTTGAGGAGGCAGGTTGGCAAATGTGAGGCCAAAGGCTGAGCAGGGAGTGTGGGTCTAGGCTGCACTATCCCCTCAGCAAGAAGTTCCTGTGGGAGGAGCTGGAGCTGGTGCGGGAGGAGGTGACCTTCATCTATCAGAAGCTCCGTGAGTGCCTGGAGCCCACGGCCAGGAGGGGGGTTCTTCTGCAGCTCTGGCCCCCCCTGAGTCCCCTCCCCCCACAGAGGCTCAGGAGGAGGAGATCACAGAGAACCTGATGAACATCCAGAAGATGCAGAAGACACAGGTGAAGTGCCGCAAGGTGAGCAGAGAGGGTGGGACTCTGTGTAAGTTGGGGACATGGGACTCTGCTGGCCTCCACCTTCAGACTGGTGCCAGAAGGGCTATGTTCTAATCTCAGCTCGGCCACTTAACTGCTGTGTGACTGCGGCCAAGTCACTTCACTTCTCTGGGCTTCAGTTTCCTCATCTGTATGATGGGCATGACTTGGCATCCCTACCTGAAGGGGTAGCTGCGTGAACTGTATGTTAAACACTTTGAGGGCAGCCTGGCATGTAATAAGTGCTAAGTAAGGATCACTTTTCACCATTATTGTTATTACTATTGTCGTCTCACACACACCTCCCACCCCCTGGCCTCAGGTCCTGACCAAGATGAAGCAGCAGGGGTCTGAGACATCCAACTGGCGGGAGACTGAGGAGATGCCACCAGGAGGCAGTGGTTCCTGGAGGGATGACCTCCAAAAGGAACTGAGTGACATATGGTGATGTCCTGTTCCCACTCTAACCTCTGACTCCTGAACCTCATCTTTCTTGCCCTCCTACAAATCAGATCAAGCAATGACTACCAGAACCTGGAACCCACCTGAATCCAAGCCTCCCTTTACCCCCAGCCCCTGATCCCCAGCATGTCCCCCACCCAGCCCTGAGTAGTCAGAAGTCTCCCAGGATCCCCAGCTCCCCATCTCCCTGCAGGTCCGCTGTACACTTGCTGCAGAACTCCTTTGATGGCTTCACCATGTCCACAGGGGGCTGCCCCAGGGCCTCGAACCTCAGGGGTGAGGGGGGATGAGATGCTCTCTGGGGTGTGGGGAGGTCATGTTCACAGGCTGTATTTGGGGGTCATATATGTTGGGTCTTGTTCTAGGGTCACTCAAGGATTTCCATCCTGGGGTCACTCAAGGTCACTGGGATCTTTTGGGGGACCAGTGGGGTAAAATTCAAGGGTCACTGAGGTCATACTTTGGTATCATGTTGGGTCACATTCAAGTGACATAAGGGACACTGGCCCTTGATCATGATCCCACTCATGGGTCACACTCAGGTTTGTGGGTGAAAGGCCAGAATTGCACCTGTCCCTCCCACAGGCTACAAGGGGCACCGAAGCTTGTGGCCTCAGCTCCCCTCGTGGGACTCAGACTCAGACTCAGACCAGGACCCATCCCAACCACCGTTCAGCAAGAGCCACTCCTTCCCATCTGGTACGGATCCTCCCCTGCCTCACCCCACCTTTCCTCTCCTGGCCCGCCCTGGAATGCTGCAGTATGGACCCTCCCAGCTCCCAACCTGGGCATCTGCTCCCTGACCTCCAGCCCTGGGGTCCTCTGGACTAAGCTGGGCCCTCATCCACTCTCTCCACAGCCTTAGCAGCGGGGACTGCTCTCCCTGAAGACCCCTCCAGAGAGAAAATAAACTAGCCACGACCCTCTTCCACCTGTGGACTGTTGCTCCTGATGCTTCCTGTGCCTGAGAATGACACCCCCCCACACACACACATCCGTTTTACTTTCCAGTGTTGGGGAGGGTGTGGGGGCCCCAGAGGCTGTTCAGGATGTGTAGATTTAGGGTCAGGGGAGTGTGAGGCCAAATTTAATATATAACAAGGTCAGGGGTCCAGATATGAGTATACAGACAGGCTCTTGAACACTGGCCAGCAGGGATCCTTTCTGGGGGGGCCCTGGCGCTCTAGTCTACTGCCCAAAAGGGGAAACTGAGGCACAGGAAGGGAGGGTCGAGGTTCAGGGTCACGCTCTCACCCTGCCCTCCTCTTCCCCTCAGCGCCCCCACCGCCTAGTTCTCCCTCAATCTGCATCCTTCATTCCCTCCCAAATTTGTCTTTAACACTTTCTGGGGTCCCCATGAGCAACAGAGGCCCCGCCCCGGACCATGCTAATGAGACGCCGCGAGTCCCCGCCCCACGGATTATGCAAATGAGGCGCTCGGAGGCCCCGCCCCTCGCCCCTTCGCTGAGTCTGCGCGGCGCCGCCGGGCCGACGGCGTCTCCCATCGCTCCGTCCGCCCGCGGGGCCTGCCGTCCGTTGGTTCGTCCTGCCGCCCGGGTGACGTCTAAGCGGAGCGGGGCCTCAAACCGTGACAGCCTCGACCGGGTGAGGGAGAGGGTCTTGGGGCGCTCCCGGCACCCCCCCTCGCGGGCTACCGACCCTCGGTCTGTGTCCGGCCAGGGTTCAGCTCCTGCGGGTCGGGTCCCCTGTGGGTCCGGCGCGGGGAGGGGGAGGGGAGGCCGTGAGCTGGGGCTTGAGAACCGGGCTCGGGGAGGGGAGCGTGGAGAGGGGACCCCGGGCGCGAGAAGCCAAGCGGCGGTGGTGAGGGTGGTTGTGAGTGTGTGGTTGTCGTTTTGTGTCAGTGTGTGGTTGTATAACTGTAATTGTGCGGCTTTGGGGATGCCTGTGTGGTCTGTGTGGTGTATGTGTGACTCTCCTGTGGCTGTCATTGTGTGGCTGTCATCATGGGTGTCACTCTGAGGGTGTGTGTGGCTGTGTTGTTGTGACTGCTCTCCCTGTGAGTGTGTCTGTACGGTTGTGTGCATATGACTGCCATTGTGTGTTCCTTCTGATGGTGTGTGGGGGCCCATTTATATGTTTCTGTGTGTGGCTGTGCTCATGCGCCTTTCTTGTGTGGCTTGGTGTGCAAATCCGTGTCATGGTCCACGTATGTGCCCTTGTGTGGCCATGTGGCTGAGCTGTGGATGACATCGTCTCTCCTATGAGTGTCTGTGTGGATGAGAGACTGTTAATGTGTATGGCTGTCATTGAGTGGTAATTGGGGGTGTGACTCTGTGACCGGTTTGTGACCCCCATTGCGTGTGGTGACTCTTTTTGATGTAACTCTTAAGTGTGTCGGGAGCCCTGAGGCTATGTCCCTGATGATAGTGAGGTGGGTGCTTGTGTGGGGCTGTATGCGGGGCTGTGAAGTGTGTGAAGGACCTCCTCTTGTGTCCCTGTGACTGTGTGTGTGTGTAGGGGGAGGTTGTTTGATCTGTGTGGGTGTCAGTGACAGGCCGTGTGCACACTGTGCCATGTGTGTGAGTGTACAGTTGTGTGTAGTGGGTGTTGGGCACCTGTCTGAATGAGCAGGCCTGTCTTGTTCACCACAAGCAAAGTGCCTAGAACCCAGCAGGCACTGGATCCTTGTTGGTGGGATGGACACATGCTATACTGTGTGTGTGTGTGTGTGTGTGTGTGTGTGTGTGTGTGTGATGTTTGAGATGGAAGTTGTGGCTGAGTTGTGTATTCTAGGGATGCCAGCATGTGTTATTGTGTCTCTGGAGGGTGAGGGGCCGTGGCCAGGTGGGCATCTGAGATCTCTGGTGACCCTCACCCCACATGTCACACTGCAGAGCAAGCTGCGTGGATGGGGCACTGGACCCAGAGTGCCTACCCTCACCTTCCTGGGCCTCAGTTTCCACATCTGTGCAATGGGGGTGACCATCCCTGCCCTGCTGGCCGCCAGGAGCGGCTGTGAGTCTGTGGGTGTGGCGGAGGCCTGTGGGAAGCCATAGGGCCCTTTCACAGGTGAGGTCAGCCTGGGAGAATGGGTCGAGCAGGTGTGTCTATGTTGGCCCATCAGTGCCGGGGACTGAGGTTAGATTGGGGGGTGTGGGGGCTTGTTGGGAGAAGATAGCCCCCTTATGATACAGAGAGGCAGACAGGCTGGGAAGAGGGGGAGAGGGAGAAGCAGCTGGGATAGAGGGAGGGCCTGGCCATCAGCCCGAACCAGTCAGGTGCAGCCCATGGGGACAGGAGAGAGAGGCCCCTGTGGGCCATGGGGGAAGAGACTCAGAGGAGGACCCTGGGGGGGGATGGGGTACACAGAACATGGGATGCCTTGTAAAGCACACAGGGAAAGAGGATGAGGTCCCCTAAAAACATATGGGGTTTGTGAAAACTTCTAAGTGGGTCCTTCTCTATGGGCCCTTCTTAATGGGAGGGGTCCCATTAAGCTGGAGAAGTGTCTTCTAAAGGCTGAGGGGAGGTGACTTGTATGGTAAGGAGGAGTGGCCCTCCTGAAAGGCCTGGGGTCCGAATCTCCTATGTGGGCTCTCAGGGGAGAAGACCACTATAGAATCTCTGGGATCCCCGGCGGAGGATGAGCTGAGCTGGTGGTGTCAGGGGAGGCCTCCTACGGGCAGGGGCCTGGATATTCAGAGTCATGGCCAGAAGGCTCAGTGGGTGGAGCCCAGGCTCCTTTGTAGTAGTTCTGGGGCCCTGATGTGGCCAGAGGACTCTACTCAGGCAGGTGACCAGAGCCTCCCCCTAGACCCCTCCCTGGCCGTCCCATTCCCTCCCCACCTCCACAGGCCCGGCCTTCACCATGGCAGGAGGGAGACCCCAGCCGAAGAGGAGTTTCTCCATCATTCCCTGCTTTGTCTTCGTGGAGGTGAGGAACTCAGTAACTCTCACCACCCCCTCCCGCACACCCCCAGGCTCCCTCCCAGACCCTCAGCAGGGAGGAGGCGTGTTTAGAAGTGACACTCCCAGAGTTCCAATCCCTCTCTGCGCATCCTGACCGCAGAACTCTGGGCACCTCACCTACCCTCTTGAGTTTCGGTTTCCTTGGCTGTCAAATAGGCGTAATTAGGGTCCCTTTCTTCCAGGCCACTTATGAAAGTAAAATGTATTAATTCATGGAAGACGTTTAATATGATGTCCTGCCCCCACTAACGGTTGTACTTCTGGGAGCTGCTAGCACTTCTACTAGTAGTATTATCTTTCCCCCTGTTGATCTGGACCCCAAAACCTGCTGATCCCTCTTTCTGATCTGAGCCCTGGCCCAGTCCTCCCTTGCTCTCTCCCATCCCATCTCTCCTTTCCATTCTACTAGCCCCTTCTCTTTCTCTTCTCCTCTCCCCTCCTCCTCTCCTGTCTTCTCTTTCTGTTTCTTTCTTTGTGCCTCCCAGGTCCAGACCATTCCCCACTTCTCTCTCTCTCTCTCTCTCTCTCTCTCTCTCTCTCTCTCAGCCTATGTATCTCCAGTCTTGATCTCTCTGTCTCTCCTCCCCATCTCTGTCTTTCTCCATCTCTGTTTCTCTCACCATGATCCCGGATTGGACCTGAACTTGTCTCTCCTCTCTCTGTCTCCCTGCCGTGACTGGGTGGCAGTCAGTGCTTCTGGGCATCGTGGTCCTGCTTGCCTACCGCCTGGAGTTCACGGACACCTTCCCGGTACACACCCAGGGGTTCTTCTGCTATGACAGTACCTATGCCAAGCCTTACCCAGGGCCTGAGGCTGCCAGCCGAGTGCCTCCTGCACTCATCTATGCCCTGGTCACTGCTGGACCCACCCTCACGGTGAGACTGGGGGTAGCCTTGGTCAGACCCAGGTGACAGGAGGGCCAGGTGGAAGTGGGAGGAGGGTTGGATTTGAAGGCCAGGAAGACCCTGCCTTGATCTTGCCCACAGATCCTGCTGGGGGAGCTGGCGCGTGCCTTTTCCCCCGCGCCACCCTCAGCCATCCCCATCATCGGGGAGAGCACCATCGTGTCTGGGGCCTGCTGCCGATTCAGCCCCCCACTGCGGAGGCTGGTCCGCTTTCTGGGTGAGTGATGCGGCCAGGGGGCTCAGCAGAGGAGATATGGGTCAGATTCAGCCATAATAAGAATTTTATGGGGAAGAGGGCCTAGAACTGCCATGATGCTGACTTCTTGAGGCAAAGAGGGATGTGGCGAAGGCCAGGCAGAATGGAGGTTCTAGGGACAATGGTCGGGCCTAAGCCAACACTGGTGGCAACTGTGAGGGCCCCAGATTGCTACAAGGAGAGTCTCAAGGCAGAAAAGGGGAACGCAAAAAAAAAAAAAAAAAAAAAAGAAAAGGGGAATGCAGGCCCAGGCCAAACACCAGCCCACCCTCCACCTCGCAGGAAGGGGAGACCCCGCTGTGCAGTCACAGCCACAGTTGGTGGCCATGGTACAGGAGAAGGGCAGAGCTCATACAAAATGGTAGTTCCTGTGACCAAGGGCTGATTGTGGGTCCAGGGAAAAAGTGATCAACTCAGTAATAGTGAGTCCAGGACAGGTGTAAAGAGACCCAGAAATGCCATCAGGATGGTCCTAGGAAGTTCCAGACATGGGCCCAATCCTGATGTAATGCTGTTGAGGGATCCTATCCCAGCTATATTAGGGTTCCAAGGGAGCATCCCCTCCTGACATAGTAGTAATCCAAGGGGGACAGAAGCAAGAGGCTCAAAGTACCCTCATGGTGGTCCCAAGAGGAGAGGACCTTGGCCCAGTGATAATGGTATATGGCTTTAGGGGGGTTCCCAGCTGTGTTAATGATGGTCACAGGAACAAGGTGCCCACATAGGGGCTCACAGGAGAAGGGCCCTGGACTATCAGGGGCCCAGCATGAACTCCTTCTCCCACTCCACCCCCAGGGGTCTACTCCTTCGGCCTCTTCACCACGACCATCTTCGCCAATGCGGGGCAGGTGGTGACTGGCAACCCTACGCCGCACTTCCTGTCTGTGTGCCGCCCCAACTACACGGCTCTGGGCTGCCTACCGCCCTCACCGGACAGGCCAGGGCCCGACCGCTTCGTCACTGACCAGGGTGCCTGTGCCGGCAGCCCCAGCCTGGTGGCCGCTGCGCGCCGTGCCTTCCCCTGCAAGGATGCTGCCCTTTGCGCCTATGCAGTCACCTACACAGCGGTGAGCCCCAGAATAGGGGCACAAAAGTGGGGGGTGGCCAGTGGGCAGGAGGCCACTCTAGGATGGAACCTCTGATTCCTTCCCAAGGTAAAGTCATTCCCTGGTGCTGTGACACTGTCCCTAGGGTGGCCCCACTCCTCTGCTGGCCTCCCAGAGTCTGAGTTTGTTGCTGTGTTCTTAACTATCTCTTTTGGGTCTGGCCGTGCCTCCTGGCCTAGGAATGCCACACCCAAAGGAGGCTGTTGGCTCTGCCCTGTGGGACCAAAACTGGACTGGAGCACTGGACTCCATTCCCTGGAGCCTAGCCATGTCCCCACGATGCTGCAGGTCTTAGCCATTGGCTGGGAGGTTGGATGGGTGGGCTTCCAGCTTCGACCCCTGGAGCCTGGGATGGAGGAGCCCCTGCTTTGTCCTTGCCCTTTCCTAATCTGGCCATGCCCCTGACTTGACCCACTTGGGATATCCCCTGTCCTCAGTTTTTCCCTGGTTTGCACCTCCTGTGGCTTTGACTTCTTTTTCTGGCGCCCAGGACTAGCTTCTGTTCTTGTCAGTGGTCTCCTGGGGTTTGGGGATTCCACCTCCTGGAGTTCCTGGACCAGCCCCTTGGGCTTTGACTCCACCCTCTTGGTTTCTGAAGCTATGTCTAACCTAGCAGACATCTTTCCCAATCTGTAAATGGGCCTGGGGACACCTGGGCTCCCAACTCTGTCCACTGCTTTTTGGTGCCCTGGCCATGCCCCCATCCCTGAAAGGCCCACTGGAGTGCACGACTCCATCCCCGACCTCCTGTCCCCTGGAGCCCCTCGCCACAGCCTCCAGGCCCAATGCCACTCCTAGGGATTCTGGCCACGGCCTCTAGCCTGGAAGGCAGTGTCCACTTGGGTTCCGCAACTGGGCTGCTGTGTGTCCCCTGACTGGTCTGGCTCCCGCAGATGTACGTGACTCTGGTATTCCGCGTGAAGGGCTCCCGCCTGGTCAAACCCTCCCTCTGCCTGGCCCTGCTGTGTCCCGCCTTCCTGGTGGGCGTGGTCCGCGTGGCCGAGTACCGCAACCACTGGTCCGACGTGCTGGCGGGCTTCCTGACGGGCGCTGCCATCGCAACCTTTCTGGTGAGCCACCTCGCCATCCATTCCAGTGTGGGAGACCCTCTATCAGCTCTCTGACCCTGGAGGCAGGAGCACATGATAGTGAAGGGTGTGGACCCTGTGGTGACCTTGGGCAAGTCCCTTAACCTTACTACTCTGCCTAGATGTTCTCATCTGAGAAGTGGGGTGACAGGGCCAGGACCAGGGTAAGACGAGTGAGGTCCTTGCTTTTGAGGGCAGAATCTAAAGGGCTGCCCAAACACTCTGTAATCAAGATAAATAATGTTTGAATGAGGAATATTTAAAAACCAAAATTCATGCAAAAACATAATGTCCAAAATATCAAAAACTTAAATGACAGGATCAGATCCTGCTTTGCACCATTTGGCTTTACTTGCCTCCCCCTAGTCAGGGCCCTGTGGAATAAATAACAGTAGTACCTACCTCTTAGTAAAATGGCACATAAATGTCCTGAGAAAATGTTGACTAAAAACCTGAGCCTCAGTTTCCTTATCTGAAAAATGGGGATGGTATGTACACAACTCCTACGTTATTGGCTTTGGGCCTCACATGTCTCTCTCACTCTATCCCAGGTCACCTGTGTTGTACACAACTTCCAGAGCCGGCGGCCCTCTGGCCGAAGGCTCTCCCCCTGGGAGGACCTGGGCCAAGCCCCCACCATGGATAGCCCCCTCGAAAAGTTAAGTGTGGCCCAGGTAAGGGGGGCCGGGGTCTCCTCCCGGCTGGAGAGGGTGGCGGGTGGAGGGGGGCCAAGGAGACAGGAAGTCAGGCAAAATGTTGGGGGGAGGGGTTCTTCAGGCCATGGGGAGATAGAGGGATTATCTCCGTGGACCTAGGTCCTGGGGGACAATCACCCCAAAGAGAAGGGTATGTTGTGGTTAATCCGGGAAAATTCAAGTTGCCTTTTCCACCGGGCTCTCCGCCTGATGAGCCCCCCATGGCTGTGGTCAGTGGGGCCCAGGGGGCCACTAGCCCCTTCCCTCTGCCTCTTTGTCTCAGGAACCCGAGGCCTGCAGGCCGCATTCGACACCGGCACGGCTCACCCCATCCAGTGAGTGTCAAGGGAGTGGGGGGATAACCGGGGGGACTTCCAGGTCGCAGTCATTGCCACAGAGGTCTCGCCTATGCTCTCGTGGCCCTCTCCCAAGCTTTCTGATCCCCTGACCTCTGACCCTGACCCCCAGAGTCGCAGAACTGTGCCCGCCGTGGCCACCTGATCCCCAGCTGCGTGTCCTCCAGGGCTCCAGCCATGTGTTCGTCGCCCCGTGTGCCCCGCCCTCGATTGAGGTCTGAGCCGACGCCCCTGCCCCTGCCCTTGCCCCTGCCCGCACCAGCCCCCAGCCAGGGCCCCTCACCCTCCTCCCCTGGACCTGGGGGGCCGGGTGGGGGTGGCGGACGTGGTCGGAAGTTACTGCTGCCCACGCCCCTGCTTCGGGACCTGTACACCCTTAGCGGACTCTATCCCTCCCCCTTCCACCGGGACAACTTCAGTCCTTACCTGTTTGCCAGCCGTGACCACCTGTTGTGAGGCCCCACCACCCTCCCAGAATCAGCCAGGCCCCCATTCCTTCCCTGCCACACGTGTGTGTGCGTGTGCCATGTGAGTGCCAAAGCCCTCTGTGCACAAACCAGCCAAGCCTGAACATTAGAGGCTGGCTGGAAGGACATATGGGGGGGGGGCGCCCCCTGCCTCTCTTGCCCTCTGAGACATCCAAGTGGGCATAACTGGGAGGTGGGCCCTTGCCCCAGGACTGCTCTTTTAAGGGCCAAAACCTGACCCCATTGGCCATTGCTCAGCCAATGGGAGCCCCGAGTTCTAAAATTTCTACTTAAAAGGCGTTTACACCAACCAATGGGAGCCTCCCCTCACATCTTAGACTCCTCAGGCTAGAGGGTAACTCCAGTTAGTGTTCAGCGTCTGAAAAACCAATAGGAGTCCTTGGTTTTCAGAATTTCTAGGATGGGTGGGTATGATTCCAGTCAATGGGGGACCGCCAATGCCCAAGCACGAGCAAAGGAGAGGAGGGAGATGGGGTCATCCTTTGTCATCGAATCCTCTCTCCAAGTCAGAGAGTCCAGCTGGAGCATGGGGGCAGGTTCCCCCATGGCAGGGTCCTTGGGGCACCCCTTCCTCTCTCAGCCCCTCCCCCATGTGCAACCTCTCGCTCAGTCCCTCCCAACTCCCAACTCTACAGGGCTTGCCCCAGTTCAGAGGTTTTGGGGTTCAGGGTGCTGTGTCTCCCCTTGTCTGTGCCCAGGTTGCCCCAAACCCTTCTGTTATTAGGGCTATGGGAAGGGACTTTTTTTTTTTGCCTTGGAATCTCCCCTTGTTCTTTACACTGCCCCCACCCTGGGCCCCAGCCTCGTTGCAGATGTGCCACCAGGAGAGAGGACTCCCCTGCTCCAGGCAGCCAAAGGCAGTGGGCAGAGGAGACACTGCCCCCCTTTCCTGCCCCATCCTTAACTTTAATAAAGACCTGTTTGTAACAGAAGTTTGGCCACCTGCCTTCCTCCTCCCCCAGGTGTTGAGGTGTGGAAGAATTTAATTATGGGTACGTAGATAAGGTGAGATGGGGAGTGTGTTTATTGTCACTGTATATGAGGTGATCATGGAAAAGCAGTGTGGGGTCATTGAGCCAGCAACTTGGGTTTAAATCCTGGCTCAGCATTTCCTGGTTGCATGACTTCAGGAAAGTTAGTTAACCTCTCTGTTCTATTGTTTCTTCATCAGTCAAATGCAGACAGCCCCACAAGCTACATGTAAGACACACAAACACATTGTGAGAGACCTCACCTGACTGTCTCCTCCAGGCAGCTGGCCTGTTTCTGACTGTGGACAGGGTGCAGAGGACACAGAGAATAGGGCGAGGGCACTAGAAAACCCCCCATGCCAACCCCACATGGGCCGCATGGATGAGAGCAAGGGTTCTGATTGTGACATTGTGCTGAGACCCAACCCTTGAGGACCCAGTGGAAACCAGGATGGTAGGAAGGGCACAGAGGCATAGACCTCCCCACAACCAACTGGTGGCTCTGAGGGGTATCAGACTGACCATTTGGGTCATGGAGTCATTCAGGAACCAGGAAAGAGTTATGTACTTCTCTTCCCTCCTCATTCTATTCATTCATTCGAATATTCATTCCATTCATTCATTCAGCAAACACTGTGGATCATCTACTGTGTGCCAGGTGCTGTGTAGTAGGCACAAGAGGCTGTAGCAGGGAACAGAACAGACACAAATTTCTGCATCAGAGAGCTAACATTCTAATACGTGAGAGACAGACAAGATAAATAAGCTAGAGTCACAATTCCAAATTCCAAAAAGGCCTGAAAACCAAAATTTTTTCATAACCCATTTGTGGCAAAACCTGACCTTTACTGACATAAGGTTATTATAGCTGTTATCTACTGAATTTGATGTGAACATTCTTATGTGTCATTGCAGATAAAGAAAAGTGTTTGATTTTGAGATGTTATCCCAGGCCCCACTAGGGATGTTATGTAATGCATAGTATTATACCATAGTACCTTTCAAAAAACCTGAAAAGTTCTGAATTCCAAACTCTAGGATCAAGGGTTTAGGTTAGGATTTGGGACCTCTGATATATTAGATATGGATAAGTGAGAGAAGAAAATTAAAGCTAGAAAAGACAATGGGACAACTTTGGGATGGGGACAGCTTGCAATTTAAAGAGGGGACTCCTAGGTGGCTCAGCGGTTGCATGCCTGTCTTCAGCTCAGGTTGTGATCTGGGGCTCAGATCACTCAATCTGGAATCGAGTCCTGCATCAGGCTCCCTGCGAGGAGCCTGCTTCTCCTCCTCCCTGTGTCTCTGCCTCTCTCTTTCAGTCTGTGTCTCTCATGAATGAATGAATGAATGAATAAATAAATAAATAAATAAATATAAATAAATAAATCTTTTTTTTAAAAAAATAAAGAGGCATTAAAGAGGGAGAAGAGAGCCATGTAAATATGTCAGGGGGGAAGGGACATTAGAGGCAGAGGGAACAGCAAGCATGAAATCCCTGAGGTGGCAACCAGCCCACTGTGCTCAGGGAACAGTGAGGAGGCCTGTGCAGCTCAGCTCGAGCCGGGAAGGAGGCTGATAGAGGGTGAGGAGGTGGGGTGGGTGGTGGGTCTGATTGTGGGCCATGGGAAATGAGATGGAAGCATGAGAGGGCTTAAGGTAGAGGAGGGATAGGACACGGAGCCCCATTCTTTACCAAACAGAGCTCCTATTTCGAGGGATCGCACCCCTGAGAGCCATGTTTCCTTCTGTCGCAGCTTCCCTCTCTGCGGGCCAGGAAAGAAGCAAAACTTCAGCACAGCGGACAGCGCTCCAGCCAAACCAGCTAGCGCTGTCCGCGGTCCTGAAATTAAGTGCTGGCCACGAAAGGGTAAATAAAGTAGGGGTTGCCAGACACAAGAAACGTTAGGGCCTGTAGAGAGGGTGGTGATGGCCCGCCTCACCTAGTCCACACCCTCATCCCAGGAACCCCGGGATGATTTTAGGCAGAAAACCTAGACTAAGGTATATGTGCTTATTCAAAAGACCTCTTGATGTGCCCCTGTAGGCCTCACAGAATCTAACTGAACTCAACAAAAAACCGAGTTCTGGCTTATAATGTAAGTCAGACCACAACCCTCCTCTTCTCAAACCCTCTTGTGGCTTACCCACCATGCATCCTGGTAAAAGCCAAAGTTCTCCCCGTGCCTCAGGGCCTTTGCACATAAAGGTGCCACCACTTGCAATTCTCTTCCCTCACACATCTACATGGTTTGTTCCCTCAGCTCCTTCAAGCCTTTTCTCAAGTGTCACCTTCTCAGGCCTGCCCCTACCACCCTATTTCAGATTGCAAAAACCAAACAACTGGTCCTTCCAACTTTTTCTCCCCTGTGCAATTTTTTTTTTTTGCATACACTTGTCATTCACTCACAGGCTATTTAAAATCATTACGTTTAGTGGTCATTATCTTCTCCCTCACTAGGATGTCCACTCCACGAGGACAGAGACTTGATTGTCTTTTCACTTCTGAAGCCCTAGTGCCTAGAACAGGGCCTGGCACACAGATAGGTACTCAATAAAATTTTATGAAATGAATTACTTAATCACTTGATGCTGAAAAACAAGGGAGAAACAGAGACTACCTCTGAGCTTTCCACTCCTCTGTCCCTTCACACTTTGATCCTCCCTCCTCCTGGGACCTTCTCTATGGTAAGGGTCCTTCTATCAGGACATGAAGACAGGCTTCTGAGAAGTGAGAGGAGTACTATGTGTACAAGAAATATGCCAAACATCTGCATCTCTGCCCATGTACTCAGTCTACATTTATGAGCACTTGCTGTGTGCTAAATGCTGTTCCAGGAGCTAGGGGCCCAGCAATGAACAAAAGAAAGAACCTCCCTGGTGGAGCTGATATTCTAGTGAGGAGAGAGGCAATAAGAACATAACATTGGAAATGACAAGTAATTTGGAAAGAAATATAGACAAGCAGTTAAAATGTGTAGGGCATGCGATTTTACATGAGTGATTAGGGAAAGCCTCTCTGAGTAGGTGATATTTGACCAAGACCTGAATGGAGGGATCCCTGGGTGGCGCAGCGGTTTGGCGCCTGTCTTTGGCCCAGGGCGCGATCCTGGAGACCCCGGATGGAATCCCACGTCGGGCTCCCGGTGCATGGAGCCTGCTTCTCCCTCTGCCTGTGTCTCTGCCTCTCTCTCTCTCTCTCTGTGTGACTATCATAAATAAATAAAAAAAAAATTAAAAAATTTAGAAAAAAAAAAAAAAAGACCTGAATGGAGTTGGAAAATGAGCCACAGGGAAATTTAGGAGCTGAGTGCTCCCAGCAAAGGAATATCGAGTCCAGTGGGGCTGTGTTGGGCATGCTCCCATGTGTGTAACTGCACGACTATGTGATACCGGTGTCACTACTGGGTGCTTGTGCATTTGGAGTGTTGCAAGTTGAGGTGAAACATGGGTTGTGCGTCTCTTGGTAGGGGGATTGAGGTGGTGCGTTTCACAAGAAGTGTAACAGTGTGCTTTGTGTATGTGTGTATTGAAAGAGCTGCAGGCACATTAGCTGAAAGGAAGTGTGTGTGTGCGTGTGTGTGTGTAATAGCAATTGTTTGGTTGTATCAGAGTGTGTCCTAATCTGTGTGCAAGGGAAAGGATGTGGGGACGTAAATGTGGGAGGAAGTGGATATGGGATGCTTTGTGTCAAGGTAGGATAGGGCTGTCAGCATGTGGGTGATGGGGGTTCTGAAAGTAGAATATATGCAGAGATGCCATGGTGTGTGTGTGTGTGCGCGCGCGTGCTCGCAAGCACGCGTGCATGTGTGTAGAGGGCTGTGGAGGTGCCTGGCTGTGTGGGTGGGTGTATTGGGGGATGTTGTAGATCTGTTTTCTGGCCCCAGAGGGAGAGAGAAAGCCCAGGAAATATCAGTTCCGCCGCCCCTGGGTCTCCTGGCAACAGCACCACTTTGAAGTTACCAGGAGACAGAGTTGCCAGAGCAACCGGGCTGAGTGGCAGCTCTAGGGCGAAGTCTGGGTGAGGAGACCTAGCCAGCCATCACTTAACCACTCACCTTGTTCCTCCTCCTTTCCCAGTTTCTCGTCAGTCCTACTTCCTTTCTTCGTTCATTCGTTTAACAAGCATATATTGAAAATTTACAACAATCTAGTCGCTGTTCTGGGCGGTGGAAAAACTTAAGTGAACAAGACAAGATCTCTGCCTTGGCTGTCCCTCAATCTCCCACCCTGTGTGACTGTCTACCTGCACTTTCTTTGGTTGATGGTCATGCCCGACCCCCTTGCCCCAGGTAAAACCCAAGCAGCTCCCAGGCCAAAGAGAAAGCCAGCTGAGACTCCTTTTCTCACAGACCCTCAGAGGTGGCTGCTGCTGTTTTGCACGAGGATGTTCCTGAGCCTGCAGCCTCCAACACAAGCTTGTGCCAATACTAAGGTGCAGAAAAGGAAGCACACAAGCTCCTCCATTATTCACCTTCCCAATTGTCATTTGGTGACATCAGCAGAAACACACACAGACCCATTCATCACAATATTCCTCTGAGATGTCAGGAGATCCATTTCACAGATGAGCAGACTGAGGCTAGGAGACTTTAAGTAATATGTTACTGTTTCCTTCAACTCCCAACACTTATATTTGTTTGATTAGCTGACTAGTTCACAATAATGATAGTCGTGCTGCCTCCCTCGGCCGACTTGCGCAAGGGAAGGGTCTTTTCTCCCTCAAATGCCAACATTCCTCCTCCCTCGGACTGTTATTTGCCCCTTCACGAGGGGAGAAGCTTTTCCAGGCCAATCTAACTTTGATGGCAGATCCATGAGCCAATGGAGAAGCTAAGTGCATTGTAACCAATGAGACCCCGGGTTGGGCGGGACTAAGGGCGGGGGCGGGCCGTTGATTGGACAGGCACGTTGCGAATGGCGGAGACGCTGAGGCGGGTGCTAAACCAGGGCCCCTCGGCAGAGTCCGGGGAGGAGTACACAGCGGAGCCCGGGCCGCCTTTACTGCTGCTCGGCGGCCCAGGCTCCGGAAAGACCGCGCTGCTATTCGCGGCGGCCCTGGAAGCGGCAGGAGAGGGCCGAGGCCCCGTCCTCTTCCTGACCCGGAGGCCTCTCCAAAGCCTGCCTCGCGGGACCGGAGCGGTGCTCGACCCCCTGCGGCTACAGGTAACCGAGGGGTGGGACCGGAGGCGGCCTAGTTCGCACCTGAGCGGATCAAGGCTTGAGTGACAGTCAGACAAACCAATGGAAGGGACGACGGGAGAGCGAGGCGGGGCGGCCATTGTGGGGCGGAGTCAGGAAGGAGCCGGGACGGGAGGGCGGGGCCGGGACCAGAGCAAGGCGTTGCTGAGACTGGGAAACCATCAAAAAAAAAAAAAAAAAAAAAAAAAAATTAAAGCGGGACGCCTGGGTGGCTCAGCCGTTGAGCGTCTGCCTTTGGCTCGGGGCAGGGGGGGGTGGTGGTTCCGGAGTCGCGGGGTCGGGTCCCGCATCGGGCTCCCCGCATGGAGCCTGCTTCTCCCTCTGCCTGTGTCTCTGCCTCTCTCTCTCTCTCATAAATAAATGGATAAAATATTTTTTAAAAAATTTAAAAAGGTCGGGAAACCGTCCCAAAAAGGGGGACGGGGATGAAGGGAAGAGTATTCCACCAATTCTGAGCTGCTTCACTCTGGAACCAGCTACCCAGGTGGGGTGTGAGTGCCGAGCACAGGAAATACAGGGAAGCAGGGCAGCTGGAGCTGGGAGCCTGGCTTCCTGAGCTGAATCTTGTGTTTTCTCTTTTAACTCACTTTAGAAGATACGCTTCCAGTACCCACCCTCAACCCATGAACTCCTTCAGCTTCTGTGCTCTGCCCATGAGGCCCTGGGCCCAGCCCCCTCCCTCCTGCTGCTGGATGGCCTGGAGGAGTACCTAGTGGAAGACTCTCAAGAAGTGGCCTACTTGGCTGCCCTGCTTCTAGACACAGCTGCCCACTTCAGCCACCGGACTGGGCCTGGCCAGGGCTGTGGGCTCATTGTGGCCCTCCAGATCCAGGAAGAGGAAGAGAGTGGGGATGGCCTGCAGCTGTCGCTGCTCCAGCGGTACTTCCCTGCCCAATGCTGGCTGCAGGTGGATGCACCAGGCCCAGGACAGCGCGGCCTCCGAGCCTGCCTGGATCCAGGTGGGCTGGGCCCTAGAGCAGAGTGGTGGGTGGCTTTCCGACCAGATGGAGAGATGACAATCACCCCATGGCCTACCCAGGCTGGTAACCCCAACTCAGACAAAGGTTCAAGTTCTGGATGCCAGCCTTGAGCTTTGATGTGTGACACCCTCTTTGTGCCTCAACTGCCCATGGCTGGAATACTTACTTCAGGGACTAGTACAGATTCAAAGACCTAAAGAACATAAAATGCTTTTTCTCTTGAAACAGAGCATTACCATGTACCTATTATGCCCAATCAACATATTGTTTTGCTGTTTTGAACTTCATAAAATATTTCATGATAAATGTAATCTAAGACTTCTCCCACTCAGCATTATTATTACTATTAGTTCAGGGGCACCTGGGTGGTTCAGTGGGTGAAGCATCTGACTTCAGCTCAGGTCATGATCTCTGGGTCCTGGGATCGAGCCCCAGGTCAGGGCACATTTTCTAGTTCATTCCTTTCCCCCTACTACATGTAATTCCATGGGTGACTGGAATTCCAATTTACTCATCAAACTGACTTATTTACTGCTATGAACATTTTTCTTGCACACATGCCCTGGTTCGTGTATATGAGGGGTTTTAGGGTATAAACCTAGAAGTGGAATTGGGAGAGAAGTTCTGCATGTGTTCATCTTTCCTTGGTTATGTCAAACTTTTTAAAAGTGGTTAAACCAGAACTGCCAGTGAGCCACCTGATGACATTGGTCCCATCAGAGTACTTTTCTTAGAACAGGGCCTGATTCAGAATAAAGCCTTACAAATTATTGTTATTGTTATTAGTAGTGGCAGAGACTAGCTAGAGGCTCATTCAACGACTTTCCTCTCCTGGGCTGTACTGCTAAACTGCATTTTTTTCCCTCTGCTGTCCATGGTTCTAGCTGGGGTCTTGTGACTATTTCTGGCCAGTGGCATTTGTAAGAAAAATTAAATACTACTTCTTAGGCTAAGTCCCTAAAATGGCCCACCAAATCTTCTGCCATTTGTTTTGCTTATTGGTTGGCAAGATGCAGAGGATCCATTTAGGGTGGCCCCGGGGGATGGTGAAGTTATAAACCAAGAGAGTCTGGGCTGCTGACTCATCCCAGAGATGGCTGCCCACTTGTTTGCATTGAAATATGAGAGAGAAAGCATTTGATGTTAAGCAGTCACATTTAGGAGTTTTTTGTTATGGCAGCTAGTATAACATATACTGACTAATTCATTTTATTATGATTATTATTGAGGTGGTCAGGTCCAGAATTTCAGACTGAGCTCGAGACCTTTTACTGCTGCCCCTATGGCCTGGGTCCAGGGAAGGATGAGGCTTACAGGGGGTTTGTAGAAGTCATGATAGGAACAAAAAATACACACACATACGCACACACACACAACTCTATACATATCAAAATACTGCAAGGATGTACTGAGCAGGATCGGCTGGGCGAAAGCCAGGGTTAGCCATGTCCCTAGTCCTGAGGGAGGCCTCACCAACCCTGTTCCATAAGTCTTAGGCCTGGACTAGTACTAGAGGTCATGCTGAGTCTCCAAGCATCTGAAGACTGGAGTCCTAGGAACAGGCCACGTAGCCAGGGGGTGAAGGCTCAGGGGCTGGGATGAGGCTGTTCTCATAAGGGTTTAAAAAGGGGCCGTTCAGTGAGTCCCCCTGGGCTCCCTGGGAGCCCCCTGAGCTGTAGTCAGTTGAGATGCCAGAGTCAGACACCATGAGGTACAGGTACTTTATGTGGGGTGGGGTGGGGGGCAGCTCAGGGGGCAGTGCCCTTGGGCACAAGAGCTGGGAGCTGGGATCCAGGATGGTATACTCAAAGCTGGCACCCAAGGCCCCCTCTGGCCCAGGCTTCAGGGACAAACCAGATGAGCAGGAGGGTGCTTCTGAGCCTTTATCCATGGCTACTATGTCCAAACTGCCACCAGACTGTGAGACATCCTCACTGGACGGGTTCCGGGGCAGCAACCACTTGTCCAGCACCAGGTACGTGTCCTGGGAATGTTCACTGCCCACTGGCTCCAGCAGGGGGCCCTCATCATCTGCCCCCGGCTCCACTGCTTGTGGTGCCCCCCAGCAGCGTTCAGAGAGGACTTCCAGGGGTGCGGGTGGGTCCTCTGCAAGGGGAGTACAGGGGCTCCACCAAAGACAGCCCTCGTTCTGGTACAGCCACAGCTGGGGAAATAGCACCAATCTGCTCAGAGACCTGGGATTCAGCCACAGGAGCAGGGAAGCACCAGGCCATGAGGGGACAACCATGCCACCTACCTGGAAGTTACCCTTGTGGGTGGTGAAGAGGCCCTCAAACTCACTCTCAGGGCTTGGGATGCCAGGCCAGATCTTCTGCTTCAGAGTCCTGGTGAAGCCAAAAGGACCACGAACACGGGTATGCATCACTGAATACCCACCAGTACCCTCTTAGGAGGAGTCACAGAGGCACAGATAGTCCTAGCCCCTTGCGATGACGGTGGAAGCAGAGAGGTGCATAGAGGCAGAGGAACAGAGGCTCTGGCTTGCATCTGCAAGGCTTACAGGTAGGTGACTAGATCCCGGTTTTGAAGGATGCATAGGAGTTCAATATCACTAATGTTACTTCCCTTCTTACTCCTTTCCATAATATTCCCCCACTGTACTCAGAATAAAATCCAAACACCTCCCTATCACCTTGCAGACAGGCTGGCATGTTCTCACCCCTGTCACCTCCCTCACCTCATCATTTACCACTTCCTCCTAACTCATTCTGCTCTAGCCAGAGAGCCCATCTTGGCAGCTGCTTCAGTGTTTCGAGCTCATTCGTGCCTCAGGGCCTTTGCACTTGCTCTTTCTTTTCCATTTTCATGTGGCTGCCTTCTTCCAGTATTCAGGTCTCCACTCTGATGTCAATGCCCAGAGGCCTTCTCGGATCATCCTGTCATGTCCCCCTACTCTAGTTGTTTCTGTGATATCACTTGTCACAATGCATAATCAAGTATCTTTGATAATGGGGCATCTGGGTGGCTCAGTTAAGTGTCTGCCTTCAGTTCAGGTCATGGTCCCAGGGTCCTGGGATTGAGCCCCATACCAGGCTTCCTCTCCCGCTCCCCCTGCTGTTCTCTCTCTCTCTCTCTCTCTCTCTCTGTCAAATAAATAAGATCTTTAAAAAAAATCTGTTGATTCCCTTGTAATTTGACTCAGCTATGAAATCCATACGGTCATGGAGACATGTTTGTTTTCCACTTTCTCCGCAGTGCCTAGCACACAGCTGGCATTCCCATGTGTTTTCCAACCAAGTAAATAAACAAGGCCTTGAAAGACCACTAGAAGACTGCTTGGCAGACAAGGCAGGAAGGGCATTCTGGCCAAAAGGAACAGCATGTGCTAAGCCTTGAGGGTGTGAAACCACATGGTATGTGCTGGGAATTATAAAAACCTCAGGATGGTTGGTCCTACCATGAAAAATCTAAGGAGTTTGATATCAAGGGCAGGAGGCACTCAAGGTGTTAAATCTTTCCATTAAGCCCATCCCGGGATTTTACAAAAGTTGATACAATTGGGAAAAGGAACCAGCAAAGGAATTCAAGGAGTAGCCACTGAAGTTGAAGGTAAACCAGGTGAATGTTCCCAGGGGATTTTAAATATGAGTCTGGGTCTGGTCTGGCTTGCACCCCAGCCCTGCCACTGACTCCTCACTGTGTGTCCCTGGGCAAGTGCCTGCCTGTCTCTGAGCTTAGCTTTCCACAGCAAAAGGAGAAAGTTGGTGGGGAGGAGTCTGGGCTAGGTGCCCAAACAGGGCGCTCACCGGCGGTGGGAGAGCAGGGCGAGCACGGCCAGCAGCAGCAGGATGAGCACGAGGATGAGGGAGAGCGTCAGGATGAGGGGGTCCAAGTCTGGGGGGCAGGGAGTCGGTCAGGGTGGTGGGATTGCCCCATGTTCCGCCCCAGCCCCTCCTACGCCTGCCTGGGGCCTCACCACTAGCTGTCAGCAGCGACGCAGGCTCGGACCAGGCGCTCCAGAAGCCTCCGAAGCTCGGCTCGGCCATTCGCGCGCGAACCATGAAGGTGTAACGCGTTCCGCCGCGGAGGTTGCTCAGCACGCACTCGGTGCGCCCGTCCAGGATCTCCACCTGGGGGCGGGGCCTGGGTGAGAGGCGTGGCCAGGGGCGGGGCGAGCGGAGAAAGCGCGGGGCCCGGAGGGGGCGTGGCCAGGGCGGGCCGTGGTGGCCAACTGGGGGGGTTTGGGGGGAGGAGGCGGGGCTGCCTGCCCCAGTGGAGCCCTCGGGGCTGGCGGTCAGGGCGGCCTCACCTTCTGTGAGCCCCCTGCGACGCTGCCTGAGATGTTCACTTCGTAGCGGATGAGGCTGGCCACGGGGGCCCCGGGAGGCGGGAGCCAACGCAGCACCACGTGGCCTCCCTCGTCCGCCCGCCGCGCCAGCAGCCCCGCCGGGGGGTCCAGGAGCACTGCAGAGGGGGGTCGATCAGGTGGGCGGTGACCGAGACTCCCTCACCGGACAAAGTCCCCATTCCCTGCGCACTCACCCACTTCGTTGATGTGGATGATGCGGCGATAGAGCAGAGCGCCCGACGATACCGCTGTGACGCGCAGCTCTAAGGGCACGAAGCTCGACGTGTCGGCGGTGGGCAGCGAGCACCAGAAGCGCACAGCGCCGCGAGTCGTGGGCGCCTGGTGCAGGCTGCACGTTTTCCAGGGCTCACCCCTGTGCGCCAAGGGGCCAGAGAGGCAAGGGAGCAAGTTGGGGGTGGGGACGCGAGGGTTCGTATTACCCGGACCGTGAGCACATTTTGGACGCGAACACCAGGGGGCGTCCCAGCCCCGACGCACGCGATGCCTTAAGCCTATTCTAGGGGTGCTGTCCCCGCGCTACTATTTGGGATCGCTCTCCCACGGAGTCACGGGAGTGTTCCAGCCCCAGCCACTAGCGGGGGGCGTGTCAGCCCTGACCCCGCAGCCTTCGCACCAGTGACCCCACCAGGGAAGGTGCCCTGCGGCCCCTGACACGAGCAGATACCCCAAAGCGTGAGCTCCGGGGCGCTCTGTCCTGCGCACCTGCCCCCTCCTCGGAGGCTCACTCCACCTGCCCCGTTGCACTCACTCCAGCTGGTAGAAGAAGCTGTAGTTGTCTGGGCCGACCCCGGCGCTTGCCGCTTCCTCCCAGAAACACACCAAATCCTCCAACCGTTCGGTGAAGCACAGAAGCTCTTCGGGCGCGCGGGCGGCCAGCAGGGCCGCTGGCGGGGGGGACAAGGGGAGGGGATCAGGGGAGCCCAGTCTTCGGGCCACAGCGTCCTTCCCCTCCCACCCGCCGCCTGCGCGAACCGATAAGAAAAAAGCTCCACGTCGCTCTCTACCCCGAGCGGGCCCCCTCGGAGGGTCCACGGCGGTGGCGCCCCCCGAGCTGCCAAGCGCGTCCCCGCCCACCCCACGACCCGCGGGACTGCGCGCAGCCTTCAAGGCCTCTGCTCCCCGCGGCCGGCCCCGCCCCGGGCCAGGCCAGGCGTGCCGCTGGATGTGTGCGGAGGTGGCGGCCCCCTATCGGCCCCGGCAGGCTGCCGGCTGCCCGATAACGCCAACCGTGACACCCGCCCCCGCCCCTGCCCTCAAGCCGGCGGGCCAGGGATCTAGCGCCCGCGTACAAACCGTGTTTACAGTCGCCAGCAGCCCGGCCCCTCTGCCAGGCCCCGGGCTTCGTCCTCCCTCAGTGAAGGGTGGGCTAGGTCCCCTCTCCTCGGGGACTCTAGATGGCAAGGCCTAGACCTAGCACCGCCCCCCGCCCCGGCCCCATTAGGATTTATCATGTCCCAGGCTCCCTGAAAAGAGAAAAACAGGAACTTTACGTCTCCCTCCAGACCCCTTCTGGAGTCTTAGATCCCTGCATGCTGCATACACCGGTCCCCATCTAAGAGGTTCAGAAACCAGCTTGGCCCCCAGGACCTACGCTGGAGGCACAGAACCCGACCTGATCCCCAGGCCCCAGGCTGGAAGTCCAGGCCTGAGCATCGCCCTCCGGGACCTAGTGCGGGGGTCCCACACAGATCCACCCTTACCTTTACTTTCAAACTTGGGGTCCAGAGGCTTGGGTAGGGAAGCCCAGGCGGCCCCAGCCAGCAAGAGACAGAGAGAGCCGACTCCAGGCCACAGGTGCGCCCATAGGTGATTCATGATGCAGCCCCCCGCGACGGGGGGCCCAGGGCCCCTGCCCCCCTTTCGCCCCTGGCACAGTCCACAGCTGGGTCGGCAGCTGGCTCCTCCAGACTCAGCTGACCAGGCCCTTCCCGGCCAGGCGCCTCCAAGTGGCAGCTCCTTTGAGGGGGCGGGACCACACGCAGCCTGGGCTGAGATAAGCTGGAGGAGGCCGTCCCACTGGTCCCGCGGGAGGTGGTAGGGGCCCTCAGGGGCCCCCCCCGCGGCCCCTTGGGGGTCAGAACGGCACCGGGTTCTGCGGCAGACACACTTTCTTCCTGTGTCGCTCTGGACAGGTGACTTACCTGAGCTTCAGCCTTCTCATCCGTAAAATCGGGCTGGGTGCTCAGCAAACATTTCAAAAATGTGAGACGCTTGTATTATCTTGCTAATCAACATCTCTTCCGAGTTTGGGTAGGAATAAATGATCATAACTGACTGGCAGGTGAGCGTTTGCACGATGCTAGGCAGTGTGGCCAGACGAAATGTACCATGTGATCCTGTACTGGTAAAATAACACATATTCTGGATGTCAAGATTTGTGATTTTTTTAAAAAAACAGGTTACCCCCCCCTTGGGATTTTATTTTACAAGGAAAGTGCTGTTCTTTTAATAATCTAGGAAGTAATTATAGTACATACCGGGAAAGCCATTCGCTTGTGTTGAGCTGCTCAAAGTAGGGTAAACAGCCCCAGAGGGGTACCTGCCTGGGGCAAGGGTGGGTACTTGCACCTGCCCTCCAGAAACTAGCCAGTCAGAACACTTTGTTTCCTGGAGCCCCGCGATTGGCTCAGGGTGGGCATGTGACCCAAATGGATCCCATGAGCCTCCACCCTGGGACTTTCCCGGAGTTCTGGGAAGACGGTGGCCCTTTCTTTTGGGCTGTGAGGGTGGATCCGGAGACATTGTCCCTCCTAAGGTGGGGAGACACTGCCCGACGGTGAAGCTAACCTCGGCTTTTGCACCGGCTGTTCCCAATAGCTGGAACTCTTCTAAATATCCACAGGCCCACTCTTTCCCTTTTTTCAGGCCTCTACCCCAGTGTCACCTCCTCAGTGAAGCCCTCTGTGGTGACCTCATTGAAAAGAGAAACCCTCGCATCCCACATTCCTATCGCCCTTAAATGGATGATGATGATGATCATTTTGCATTTCCTCTGTTTACTATCACCTAAAATATCTTTAATGTTCTGTCACTGATTCTCGCTAGTTCCTTTTGTTCACTTCTGTATCCCCAGCGCCTGGAACAGGGCCTGGGACATAGTCGGAGCTCAAGAAATATTTGTGGAGCAAAAGATCAGAGAAAAACTCAGCCATGAGATGTAAAGAGGCAGGTGATACTGTTAGTCCCTGGATACAGCTGTGCACCCTTGAACTTTCAAAAACCAATAGTGATTCAAGGTAATCTCTTCCTCAGGAAGTTGGCACTTGTGTTGTGTGTGAAGGCGAGTGAAAGAGGCAGGAAGCGTAAGCTGTGCTTATGACAGACAAAGTGGCCCAGTGGTTAAGGGCATGCGTTCAGGCATGTAACCCATAGTTCAGGTCTGCACCCCAGCCTTGCCACCTACCACGCCACCCTGGGTAAATTACTAGTCCTCACTAGTCTCAATTTTTCATGTGTAAAATGGGCGTAATGACAGTGCCTACTCCACAGAGCTAGTAGGAGGATTCTATGAGATAAAGTCAAGTTTTTAAAACAGTACCTGGCACATAGTAAGCACTCAGTAAAAATAAGTTATTTTCTTCTGACTGCTCCTGAGGTCTTAATACTCATAGCAACAACAGCCTGTAAAATATCTTGTCATATTCTGTGATTTGTCTTTTACTGGACTGTACATGAGGCTCAGATTCTTCTCTCTCCCTTCCCAGCTCACACAGTGCCAGGGCATCCCCCATCATTGCTCATGGGACAATGTTTAGAACTCTAAGGATTGTTTTTTTTCCCCCACATATGCCAGAACTCTCCCTTCCCCTAGTAGCAGTACCCAAATGTAATTTCCACTTATGTGCCCCGTCCCCAGACTCCAGTCCTGTGACTTGAAATTTCTCTGCCAGCTCAAAGCATGGGCGTGGGACCCAGACCTGGCCAGTCTGCATATTACATTTCTCTGAGCACAGTGATTGGGTCAGGGGTGGCCACGTGACATGAATTGGTCCAACGGGCATCTGCTTTGGGACTTTTGCTTGACTTGATGGGAAGAAGGGCCTATCCTTGCCTGGGAAGGTGGAACTGGTAGGATATCAGCTTGGCACTGCCCCCAGAAGGTGTGAGCCTGCCTCGGAGTGGGGCTCTGTTAATTTAGATGTTATTTTGGCTATTGTAACAGAGACCCAAATAATAGTGACTAAAGTAAGACAGGCATCTATTTCTCTCTTATGTTACAATCCAAGTAGCAGCAACACCATATGGCTGCTGCCTGGTCTCAGAGGGCCTGGCTCCTTCAAGTTTGTTGCTCAGTTATTCGAAGGGCATGAACCCCTCCTATCCAAGATGATCCACTCCACTGCTTTGTTCTAATGAGAAGGGGGAGGGGGCGCACCCCTTCTCTTTAAGGACAGGTCTAGAATTTGCCTACATCCTGTTGGCCAAGACTTAGTCACTTGACCACACTTTGCTGCCAGGGAGACTGAAAATTTTTTTTCTACTTTGGGTGTCCAGCTAAAAAAATCAGGGGTTGTTCTATTGCCACAGACGGTGATTGGATTTGGTGAGGTATGGGGGGGGGTGTCGGTGGGAGGGAGACACAGTCTCATTCTCAGAGCAAATCAGAGCCCAGAGACAGCAACAAAATCCTGATGACGTCTTTTGAATCCCTGGATCCAATGGTGACTAAAGCTGGGCCCACTGAACTTTTCATTTGTGTGAGTCATTAGTTTCCTGCTTGCACATCTGCTTGATCTGGGGTTTTGGACACTTGAAGCACAAAGAACCCTGATTAACAGTGAGATATAAAGCCCCTAGTTGATGTTCAGCACAGAGTAGAAGTTCCTTGTGAACACATTACTGTTATGACTGTGTTGTAGGTGGCCCTGTGGCTCCCTTTGTCTCTGCCTTTTCTGTTTCCTCTTCTTCCCAGTTCAGAGAGACTGTGCACCTCTCTCCTTTTGTCTCCACACCCTATTGACTTATGGGTGCTGATGATATTTGTCTCTGATCCCATTGGATTTTCGTTTTGTTTTTTAAGATTTATTTATTTATTTGAGAGAAAGTGCGAGAGAGCAGGAGGGGATTAGGGAGAGAGAGAGAGAGAGAGAGAGAGAGAAGCTCAAGTAGACTCCACTCTGGGTGTGGAACCCCATGTGGGGCTCAATCTCAGGACCCTGAGTTCATGACCTGAGCAGAAACCAAGAGTCAGACACTCAACCAAAACCCAGAGCCACCCAGGTGCCCCATGGATTTTCATTTCTTCACTCTCCCATACACATGGCAGAAAAGAAGCATAGTGCCCCCCAAAATGCTGGGGAGTCCCAACCCTGTGTGTGACAGCCCCACCCTCCGACAACTGGTCATGTCAAACCCTTTCAGAAGGCTCTTAGCTTTTTTTCAGTTTGTGTTTTTTAAAAAATTTTATTTATTCATGAGAGACACAGAGAGAAAGGCTGAGACACAGGCAGAAGGAGAAGCAGGCTTCCTGTGGGGAGCCTGATGTGGGACTTGATCCCAGGACCCCAGAATCATGACCTGAACCAAAGGCAGATGCTCAACCACTGAGCCACCCAGGTGGCCCCTTATTTTTGGTTTTTAATTTCTATCTTGAGAGAGAGCATGAGGCACAAGGTCAGAACAGACAAGACAGACCTCCTGCTTCATCTTCATCACTCAGGACAATCCACTTCTATCAGTTCTGATATGTCTCCATCAGTTACAAGATTTCTCAGGGGAAGGGTCTGACTGCACCCCCCACCCCACCCCACCTCCCAGCGCCCTACCAGCTTTCTCTGTTTACAGGGTGAAGCTCTTCACCTGTGGGCTGGGCTTTGGAATAAGGATCCGGTGCCAAGGGGGTCAGAGAGATGGTGTCCAATGGGTTGAAGTTGGGGGCAGGGGTGGGGTCATGGGTTACAGAGCACAGTGGGCTCTGCTGGAGAATGGGACCTTTCTGGGAGAGGAGCCCTCTCCCCTCTCCCATAGTGACAGAAGCCAGGCCCCAAGCTGCTGGTGGGGCCTGCGTCCTAGAGGGAGAAGAGGGCCCCCTCAGGGTAAGGAGACTGTGGTTGTGGGCCGGGCCCCCTCCTTCCGCCGCAGCACAAAGTCTCCAGGGGTGGCTGGACTCATTGCATAGAAGACATTGGCATTGTCCGGGATCAGGAGCTCTGGTCAAGGGTGGATGTGATGGTTAAAGGCATACACAACCTCAAACTTCCCCCACAAAAGACCTAGGTAACCTTCTGCTATTCGCCCAACAACCGTGGGTCCCTTCGGCTGACACTAAAGTCAGCCTCGTCCTCTCCTTGGGAACCAGGACAACTTCCCACTCAAAGCCTACACAGCATCATAGCTCTCCTGCCACGGACCTGGGAGTGTCCTGCTATTTCCTTCTAGGGTCTAGACCACCTGCGCTGCAAGGTTGGGCAAACTCCGGTCACCCATCCCAAATGACTTCCTGCTCACTCACCCTTCCCCCCAGCCAATTCCCAGCCAAGTTCAGGCTGCTCTCACCACGGACTTGGGCAACTTCTGACTTCCTCCATCCAGCCTGAACAATCTGCGGCCCTCACTCTTGACAGCTGAACAGCCTCATATATTCCTTCCTTCCTAATGTCCCACCAAGCTCAGGTCATGTCCTCTTGCCTCTCCTTCTCGAGAACTGGGGGACCTCCTACCTGCTCACCTGTGGTGAGCCTGATGTGGGACTTGATCCCTGGACCTGGGATCATGCCCTGAGCTGAAGGCAGATGCTCAACCACTGAGCCACCCAGGCGTCCCCCTGCATCTGTATTGAATGACATCATGCTCCCCTACCCTGCATTTCAATACCACGTGGCCCTCTCCTGTGCCAAGTTCAGACAACTTCAAAGCCCCTGTCGTGAGCTGGGACAAACTCATTTCCTCACAAATTCAAGCCCAGACCCCCTTCAGACACCTGCCCCACCAGGCTGAGCCAGAGCAACCTCATGATCCTACAAATTTAAGCCAAGACAACCTCCTTCCTTTCCCCCTCCCCTTTGGCCCTGGACAGTTTCATTTCCCCATAAATCCTAAGACACCTTTAGTGCCCCTTTCTCTTACATGACCAAGGCAGCCTCATGACCCCACAAGATCGAGGCACCAGCATTTTACTGCTTCTTACCCCCACCCTGTTTCACTTTACCCCTACTCTGTGTCAGAACCACCTCATGGCCCTTTACGCCAGCCACAACCCTAATCAGTCTGCTGCCCTCCTAGCTAATCCCCTAGCCCAGCATCCATGCAGTCCCTGCTCACCCCGGTCCCCGGGAAGGACTTGGAAGAGCTGGTAGTCACGTGCACAGGGCTGGGCCACATTGTGCTTTTGTAGGGCTCGTTGCACCACACTGGGGGCCTTGTCCTGGCTCGTGAGCTGGGAAAAGAAGGTGGATGGTGAGGTGTGACTGCCAAGCCTGAAGGGTGGAGCACCCTATCAGGTTCCTGGCCCAACCCCTCACCAAGATGCTCCGATACAGGTTCCCGTGGTCATTGTCAATGCTGACTCTGATGACTCGAGCCTCTGATCCCTGCTGCCCCGGTAAGGAGATGTGAGAGCTGCTCAGGGGCAGAGTCGAGGGGCGGGGGCCTGGCGGGTCCAGGTTCAAGGGCAGCTGTAGGCAGTGGGGGGGGCACTGAGTAGTGGGAGACTTACATGTCCCCCTACACAAGCGGAGAATGGGGACAGGCAATTAGGGCACATTCACAGACCCGCCTCTATGCAATCCCATCACATACAGACCTTCATGCCCTGTTACAAAAACAAATGTACGCATGACCCATAAACCCACAAAGCTATGATGACACACAAGCAATCCTATGTACACAGAGAGCAGCAGGTATACGCATATGCTTATAAGTGCTGTACATCTGCAAGTCCATGAACAGCTCCATTCGTGGTCCCAGGGATATTGTGGAGATTTATGCCCATGTGTCCCTCTTTAGGTACACCAATTCCTGGGGACACACACATCCTTGCAAAAGGTATAATCACACCCTGGAGTGCTCTGTGGGTGAGCCGACTCATGGGGGTCCAGATCTGAATGCAAGCCAGACTACTGAAGGAGGATCCCTCAAACAGGGCCGTGACATGCACATGGTATCCTGCACAGACCCCCAGAGTACTCAGGCAGGCATGGGTACAGCTTCTTACGTATGTGCCTGGCCATGAAATCCCATGTACATGTACATGTACACACACACACACACACACACACAGCCCTGAGTATCATATAGGTAGTCATATAGGTAGTCCTAGTACCTTGGTGCTGGGGCCCTGGGGCCCTGGAGAGGCCGGGGGACTGCCTGGAGGAGGGTCTCTGCTTCTAGGACTAGATGGGGGGGACCCTGGGGACAGACTAGGGGAGATGTAGAGCCTGAGGTCAAGTGGATGCCCTGACCTCTGACCCTGCCATGTCTAGTCCTTTCACTAACTGGGATGCTCACCTGGAGGCAGGAGATGAGGGGTCCCCAGGACTCCCACCAGGGGATGAGCCCCTCTCTCGGGACAGCTTTCTAAAGACAGAGACAAGGGATGAGGGATGAGGATGAGCCCAGACTCCGTCCCGGGAGCAGCCTTCCATGTCTGCCCACAACACTCCTCAGGCACACCCCAAGACTCACGCACTGAGGCGCTTGGTGAGGCTGATTCGCCGCCGGATACGTGGGGAGCTGGGGCAGGAGGCAGCGGGTGGCTCAATGACACGGGAGACACGGTAGCTGAGCAGTCAGGGTGCACATGGGGGTGGATTGAGGCCAGGAAGTGGCAAGGGATGAGATGAAAGCTAGAATTAGTTGGGAGCTGCATCGTGCATTTGTTGGGGAAGCAGCAGGGGCTGAGCACCGAATGTCAGGGTCAGGGTAGCAAAGGGGGTGGTAATTATGGTATTAGGGTCTTACTAGGGATGAGATGGAATGGCCTGGTTGGCAGGTCACACAGGAATCGAGGAGTAAAATTTGGTCAAAGACAGAGTTCAAGGTCAAATAATCATTGGGGTCAATGATTAGGGTAACGATTCAACAGAATGAAAAGAAACAAATGGAATAGTTGAATTGGATGGTCAAATATACATCAAAGTTGCAGTCAGTTATTCAGAACTGGGCGTCAATGATCAGGCTCAGAGATTCAGATTGGGGTTAGAAGTGGGGTCATAGGTCAGACAGGGTTAGATGGTGGAGAAGAGAACAGATGGGACCGGGTGTGAAATGGCCAGCTGTACATTGAAGGCTGAAGTCAGAAAGTCAGAAGGGGTCAGAATTTGAAGTCAGAGGTTAACTGGAGCCCTCACTGGGCTGGAGAAAATATAAGGTCACAGGTTGGGGGTCAGGGCTCAGGAGGGCGTCTTAGGAGTTGCAGAGGTACATGCGGTAAGTGGGTCTTGTGTGCCATCCAGAATCAGCCAGGGTGGGGCTGGGCCGGGCCACAGGATGGTCACCTCTGCTCCTCGCTGAGCTGGCGCTGGTCACGCAGGGCAGCCAGGACAGGTGCACGGGGACTCAGGCAGTAGCTCCGACACCGCTTCTGCAGCTGCTGGATGTGGGCCAGGATCTCCCACTCCTGAGGGGGCGGCCTCTCAGAACCCACCCCTGCCTTGCCCCCAGCCTGTCCCCTGCCCCATGCCCTCCCCCCTGCCACCTACCTTCCTCCTCTTCTCAAAGTTGATGAGATCCCCCTGGGGGCAAACTTTGTCTGAACTGGAGCCTCCAGAATCAAGGATTGAGGGTCAGGGTCAGGGGCTAGGATGTCAGGAGCCCACTGTGCTACGGGGGGTGGTGTAGGGAGTGCAGGCAGGGTCAAGGGTGGTATGTCAGGAGGCCCACTATGCTGAGGGTAAGTGGTACTGGGGTCAGGGGTCAAGGGTCAGGGGTCAGACCTCCAGCATATCCGGCAGGGCTGTGTCCAGCATAACCAGGTCCGTGAGAAAGGTGCCAAGGTAGGGGACAGGGCCCGGGGGCAGTTTCTGTGGTCCCCAGAACTTCAGTCACTCTCAGCCATCACTGACCCCACTATGTCCCAACCCCATTCTGTGAGGATCCTGCTCGGCCCCCCTCCCAAACCATCTCACTCACTGAGGGCAGGCTTCCTAGGATGGTGTCCTCCTCTTGGGGGCCCTCAGCGGCCTCCTCCTGGGGGAGGGAAGAACTGAGCAGTCTTGGGATCTCTTTTACACTTCCCACTGGGAAGATGCCTCAAGACCCACCATATATACCTGTTTTGCTTTCAGTTGCCACCAGCCAGTTGTAAAGGTCAAACCCAAGGAAAACTGAACAACAGGCCTGTCATCCACCCTCCTGGAAATGCCCTGAACCTTGCCTTCATAGCATTGCTCTGTCTGGTAATTAACTACATAATTGCCAGGCAGTTATTAATGCACGATGTGTCTCCCTATTTAGGGCCTGATTTCCCCCAGGGCAGGAACCCTGTCTGTCTGGATCACGGTGGAGTCTCCTGGCCCACTGCCTGGCACACAGGAGGTGCTGAATTCAGAGCTAGGGGTTCCTTGACCTCTTATCTTGATTTGAGACCTTCATTCCCTCACAGCTCTCTACTGAGCAGCTGCTCGGCCAGGCACTGTTCTGAGTGCTAGGGAGGCAGCAGCGAGCAAGGGGCCGAAATCCTGGCCTCACAGAGCAGACATTAGCGGGGGGAAAGACAGCGACAGCCAAGCTACACATGTACCAGGCAGAGGTAAGGGCAATCCAGAAGCAAGTGGAGCAAGACCCACACAAGATGAATGTGAAGAATGTTCTGGGCCAAAGGAACAGGCTTCACATTCCATCTGTTCTGGATTCACCCTAAGAACCGGTGCCTAATTACAACGAGAATCTAAGTCTTGCCTACAATAAGTCAGACTTCCTGGCACACGATTTTTAGTTTTGCTTGTCAAAGTCGAGTCCTAGTGAAAATTGCATTTTTTTTTTTTTTTTACCTCTTTGCTATGACTCTGGCCTCAAGTGACCTTTTCCATGTAACTTCTGGTATTTGTTGAATGAATAAATAAGGCAGTTGCTGAGTGTGAGTTAACATGAGGGCAGCAGAGGCAGTAAAACCCAGCGAGCTGCCCACAAACAAGGGGAAGGTCATTGCTGAAGTGCAGTCAAAGGACACTGAATGTTTTCACAATGACAAACGGTGCCCTAGCCAGGCCCCAGGTCCCCTTTTTGGGTCTGGGACCCCCGGGGGGGGGGTGTCCACACACATCTTTACCTGGGAAAGCATCTCTCTACTACTGAGGTGGTTGTTCTCGTCGGAGAAAATCTGCGAAAGTTTTCTGAAAGTGGATAACCGTTCCCTGGGGGCCGGAGGGGGGCAGGAGAGGCGTCAGGGATCAGCGGCTGGGGAGGCCGGAGCTGCCCTGGGGAGGACATCCTGCCCGGGCGCCCCCCACCCCCCTCACCGGCTGACGGCGCCCCAGCTCCGCTTGAGCCTGTATATGGGGTTCGACTGCAGGGCGGACAGGATCGCGCGCAGGGAGGAGAAGTTCCGCAGTTCCCGGCAGCGCTGCAGGGGGGGGGGGGGGGCGGGCGTGTCACACCCCTAGCCTTACCCCCACCTGCCATTCACCTTCCCACCCCAGGTATGAACTCTGCCTCCCCTCTTCCTCCCTCAGGACCCGCCCCCCTCCCCACCTGCAGCCCCAGGTCCTCTCCCCCAGCTGCCCCTCCATTCCCTACCTCTCACCTTGGCTACCTGTGTCCCTACTCCTTACTTTTCCCCGGGCCCTAGACGTGCCCACAGGATCTCTCCTGGACCCAGACCTCTCCTTCCTAAATCTATGTCTCACTCTGGGTATCAACCACCCACTTCCCCTTTTCACTTCCCCACTCTCCCACCCTGCTGGGCCCCCATTTCTTTCTTTCCCTCAGCCCTAAGACTCTTGCCCGGCCCCTATCCAGTCTCTTTCAGGACGTGGCCCCCTTCTCTGGGCACCTTCTCTGGGTTCCTCCTCCAATCCACCCCCCTCCCTATTACCCTCTCCCACCCCATCCTCTTTTCCCTAGACCCACCCAGCATCCTTCTGCAGCCGAGGGGCCCAGGATGCCTTCCCTTAGGGGCATCTCTTAACCCCAACCCTCCCCTCATTCCCAGACCCTGGTCCCCTGCCTCTCACCAGGCCTTGTTCCCAACCACCCACCCAAGCCCGGCCTCCACCTCCCCTCTTCCCCTTCTAGCATACCTGGGCAATTCGGATCCACTTCTCCAGCCGCTGGGCCCTCTGCGGGGCGGCCAGGCCCTGCTCTCCCAGCACCGAGCCCAGGATGCAACCGATCACCATGTTGAACTGGGTCACAGTGGCACGCACAGTGGGGGCAGTGCTTGTGGCCCCTGGACGGTCCCGCTGTGACCACACGGAGCCCAGGCACTCGCAGGGCCGCACCTTTGAAAAGAGCTCCTGGGTGGAGGGAGGTGGGGAGGGTGATGGTGGGGGGGAGTGAGGAGGATCTGCACCACGGTATCTGCCCCACAGCTGCACCCTGCCTGGCCTGCCCCCCCCCCCCCCCCCCGCCTGGCCTGGCCCTTGCCTGGCCTGCCTGGGTGCTCACCACATCCATCAGGGTCAGCTGTTCAGCCACGTCATCTACGCCAAAGTCTAGGAGCTCAGGGCCTTCCCGCGCCGGTCCTTCCTCCTCTTCCCAGCAGCCTTCTGGGGAGTCGGGGCGAGGGGTCTGGGCAGCGCCAGGAGGTCCTGAGGGAGAACAAGAGTGGGTTAAAAACTCTCAAGTTGGGGGATCCCTGGGTGGTGCAGCGGTTCGGCGCCTGCCTTTGGCCCAGTGCGCGATCCTGGAGAGTCGGGATCAAATCCCACATCAGGCTCCCAGTGCATGGAGCCTGCTTCCCCCTCTGCCTGTGTCTCTGCCTTCTCTGCCTCTTTCTCTTTCTCTCTCTCTCTGTGACTATCATAAAAATTAAAAAAAAAAAACCTCTCAAGTTGGGATCGGGGACTAGCTGTGTGACCTTGGACAAGTTCCTTAGCGTCTCTAGGTCTCACTTTCCTAATATGCAAAATGGAAACGTCCCTCGTTATTTTTTTTAAGATTTTATTTATTTATTCATGAGAGATAGAGATAGAGAGAGAGAGAGAGACAGGCAGAGGGAGAAGCAGGCTCCATGCAGGGAGCCCGATGTGGGACTGGATCCCGGGTCTCCATGATCAGGCCCTGCGCTGAAGGCGGTGCTAAATCCCCCGAGCCACCCAGGCTGCCCGTCCCTGGGTATTTTTAAGTGTTTTGGAGCAACTGCAATGTTTATTTAGCATCTAAGGTGGTAATCCATCCTAGGTGATTCAGCACCTAACCCAGTGAGGGAGGTGCTATTATCAGCCTTCCATAGATGGGGAAACTGAGGCAGGAACAGTTTGCCTTAGGTCACAACTTCAGGAAATGGCAGGGAAAGGACTTGAAGCCAGACGTTAAAAGTCTAGAGTAGAAGAGAGAGGCGTTTTTGTTTTTGAACATATATATATAATTTTTGAACCTATATTAAAATAAGATCTGTCTGCCCTATTCCTGTGGTGCGAGGTAGTAGAACTTTATAGTTAAGGGAAGGCCCAAGTTTAAATCCAAACTTGTCCCCCGGGCTTGCTATGTGAATTAAAGCAAACCCTTTAACCACTGTGTGCCTTGATTTCTTCATTTGGATTTTTATTTTTTATTTATTTATTTATTTATTTATTTATTTATTTATTTATTTATTTTTTAAAGATTTTATTTATTTATTCATGAGTATGCACAGACAGGAGAGAGAGAGAGGCAGAGACACAGGCAGAGGGAGAAGCAGGCTTCACGCAGGGAGCCCAACATGGGACTCGATCCAGGGTCTCCAGGATCACACCCCGGGCTGCAGGCAGTGCTAAACCGCTGAGCCACCGGGGCTGCCCTTCATCTGGATTTTTTTTTTAATTTTTTTTTATTAATTTTTATTCATTTATGATAGTCACAGAGAGAGAGAGAGAGAGAGAGAGAGAGAGACAGAGAGAGAGAGAGAGAGGCAGAGACACAGGCAGAGGGAGAAACAGGCTCCATGCACCGGGAGCCCGACGTGGGATTCGATCCCGGGTCTCCAGGATCACGCCCTGGGCCAAAGGCAGGTGCCAAACCGCTGAGCCACCCAGGGATCCCCTTCATCTGGATTTTTAAAGATCAACTGAGATCACACATACTAAACTGCTATAAAGTGCTCAATAAATAGGAATGGGATTCTATGGTGGCACCCCCTGCGGAACATTTTTTTTCCCCACCCACCTCCCCTAGGGAACATTTTGAAGTTGAACTCTGCCACAAGGGGGCCACCGCACAGTGAAATTTGTGCCACTCGGCCTCCAAGTGTCCCTCCAAGAGATTTGCGTCCTTGGAAAATCTGCTTACAATAATCTGCACCTAGAACCCAACTATTTTGCTCATAAACACTCACTAACATGGCTCCAGAAATACAAGAACTGTCAAAGTCTGGGCTCTGTTTTGTTTGGGAAATTATGAGTGTTGTTCACCATTCTAGAAAGGGATGTCACCAATGTTTATGCTACTACACCTGTGTGGCCACTGTTCGCCCCTGCATTAGTTGGTGTTTCTGGCTGTCACATTCACCATGATGACAAAGAGACAAAGGCTCTGGACGACTTCATCATGTATCCTAGTAAGACATGCCTGAGTGCTGACACAGCGACAAGCATGACTTATTATTGTGTAACCTGCTTTCACTTTATTTCTCCTTCATATGATAGTAACAGCACCATGCTATTATTTTTAAATTATCTTTGTAAGTCCACGTATTTATGTCTTTAAGATTTTATTTATTCATAAGAGACACAGAGAGAGAGGGGGGCAGAGACATAGGCAGAGGGAGAAGCCAGCTCCTTTGTGGGGAGCCTGATGCAGGACTTGATCCCAGGATCCAGGGCCACAACCTGAGCCAAAGGCAGATGCTCCACCACTGAGCCACCCTGGTACCCCAATTATCTATCTTTCATTTCAAATTAGGACAGATGGCATTGCAAAATACTAGTTTTAAAAAGTTGGCATTGGAAAAAAAATTACACCTAATCAAATCTATGGAGCTTCCAGCAAATATGGGGATAGAGGAACATGCTACATGTCACCATGAGACAGCAAACAGGCGAATAGATGGAGAAGGTGAGACACTCTTCAGGACAAATGACACATTTTTTTCTCCTAATGACATTAAAGAAAAGGCAAAGTGAGATTGTCATGGAATAGAAGAGACTTAAGAAATTAAAGACCAAGTGGCTTGAATAGATGTTTGGATTTCAAAGAAACAACCGTAAAAAAAGACAATTTAGGGACAACAGGGGGAGGGGATTTGAATCTGGACTGGGTTTTTTTTGTTTTTGTTTTTGTTTTGAGAGAGAGAGGGAGAGTGGGGCAGAGAGGGGCAGAGGGAGGGGGAGAGAGAGGATCTTAAGCAGGTTCCATGCCCAGTACACAGAGCCTTACTTGGGTTTCCATCTCATGATCCTGAGATTATGACCTGAGGCAAAATCAAGAGTTAGACACTTAGGGGGACCTGGGTGGCTCAGTGGTTGACTGTCTGCCTTCAGCTCAGGATATGATCCTGGGAGGAGTCCCAGGAATGAGTCCCACATCAGGTTCCCCTTAGAGAGTCTGCTTCTCCCTCTGCCTATATCTCTGCCTCTCTCTGTGTGTGTCTCTCATGAATAAATAAATAATCTTAATCTAAAAAAAAAAAAGGAGTTGGATGCTTAACTGACTCAGCCACCCAGTTGCCCCAGGACTGGGTATCTTTTAATATTAATTATTGCTGATTTTTTTAAAAAGAATTTTATTTATTTATTCATGAGAGACCCAGAGAGAGAGAGAGAGAGAGAGAGAGAGAGAGAGGCAGAGACACAGGCAGAGGGAGAAGCAGGCTCCATGCAGGAAGCCTGATGTGGGACTTGATCCCGGGACTAGGATCTAGGATCACGCCCTGAGCCAAAGGCAGATGCTCAACTGCTGAGCCACCCAGGTGTCTCATTGTTGCTGATTTTGTTGAAGATGATTGTGCACATGAGATTATGTTATTTAAAAAAAACCTAAAAAGAAGTCCTTGTCAGTTAAGGTGCAAAGTATTTATGGGTCAAGTGACATAAGTCTGAGATTTGTTTTCATATCATCCTGAAAAAAAAATTTCTGGGTGAAATTCATAATGGTTGAAAATAAACAATGGGTGAGTGTTCTTTATACTATTCTGTCTACTTTTTTGTAGGCCTATAATTTTTCATAGCAAAAAGTCATAGTAAAAAGTCATCCCCCCCCAAAAAAAAAAGTCATCCCAAAACAAAAATGTTAAAGTGTAATCCAGAGCAGAGCACACAGTAGATGTCCAATAAATGTTCATGTACTCCTCTGACCTCAAGACCTCACAGCCTAGGGCAGTAACTTCAATAGAAGTTTCTACAATGCGGAGATCTTTTCTTTTCTTTTTTAATGATTTTTTACTTATTATTCATGAGAGACATAGAGAGGCAGAGGCATAGGCAGAGGGAGAGGCAGGCTTTTCTCAGGGAGTCTGATTTGGGACTCCAACCCAGGACCCCAAGATCACTCCCTGAGCAGAAGGCAGATGCTCAACCACTGAGCCACCCAGGCGCCCCTGGTGGAGATATTTTCTACCCATGCTCTCCAGTGTGGCTACTGAGCACTAGAGATGTGGCTAGTGTGAGCAAGAACTGAAAAATTTTAGTTCAATTTCAATAACTACATGTGGCTAGCAGCTACCTCATTGGACCGTGCAGCTCAAGTGACTTGGAATCAGCTGGTGAAATCCTGCAGGTAGAGGAAGAAAGACACTTAAAAACCAAGGGGGAATGGGACGCCTGGGTGGCTCAGCAGTTGAGCATCTGCCTTTGGCTCAGGGGTCCAGGATCGAGTCCCACATCAGGCTTCCTGCGTGAAGCCTGCTTCTCCCTCTGCCTGTGTCTTTGCCTCTCTCTCTCTCTCTCTCTCTCTCTCTCTCTCTCTCTCTGTCTCTCATGAATAAATAAATAAAATCTTAAAAAAAAAACCAAGGGGTAAGACAGAGGAATAAAATATACATAAATGAAATATTTGTCACCAGGGAGAAAGAAGTGGCTGCTACTTTGTAAAGCAGAGAGGAATATGCCCACTTTAATCTGAGGATTAAAGGATGGGGATTAGGGACTTAGATGCTTTTGTGATAGGGATGAGGTCCAACACAGATGGGTGAAAGATGATACCTTATAAGCAGGATGCAATTATTCAATCAACAAATCTTGGTTGTTCCTGCCCCTGGGGACAGAGTCAGGAACAAGGCCAATGAGTGCTAGGCAGAAAAATAAGGCAGGCGAGGATGTAGAGTGGGAAGATATATTTGCTGAGAGATCAGAGAAAGCATGTCTGGAGAAGTGACAAACTGAACAAAGACCCGAATGAAGTACATAGATATATTTCCCTCTCCCCAAAAGCTCTCTACGACAGAGATTGGAAAACTCTATAAAGGATCAGATTTGCTGATACCTACTCTACAAGAAAATATCAAGGGGCACCTGGGTGGCTCAGTGGTTGAGCATCTGCCTTTGGCTCAGGTCATGATCCCGGTGTCCTGGGATCGAGTCCCCAATCAGGATTCTCCCTCTGCCTATGTCTTTGCCTCTCTTTGTGTCTCACGCGAATAAATAAATAAATCTTTTTTTTTAAATAAGTAAATCTTTAAAAACAAAAGAAAGAGGGATGATGCCTGGGTGGCTCAGCAGTCGAGCGTCTGCCTTCAGCTCAGGGCATGATCCCGGGGTCTGGGATCGAGTCCCACGTTGGGCTCTGTGGGGAGCTTGCTTCTCCTTCTGCCTGTCTCTTTGACTGTCTCTCTGTGTCTCTCATGAATAAATAAATAAAATCTTAAAAAAAATAATAAAATCTTTAAAAAAAAGGGGGAAGAAACTATTAGTATGGGTTCCTATGTCTTTTCATTTTAAGTGGTAGATTCTAATAAGAATCAGTGATAACAACTAAGATGGAAATAACACTATTTGCGCAGTCCTCCTTATTATTTACTTATATCCTGTTGTCTTTCCTAGGGAACTGGGGGAGCTCCTGTCTAGTTGTTTGCCAGTAGCTGTTTTTTTTTTTTGAATAAATAAAAGACATCAACGAGGTAAATACTATTATCATTTCTGTTTCACAGATAAGGAAATGGAGGCTCAGAGAGGGAAGTGATTTATCCAAGGTCACACAGCAAATGGCAGAACTGGGATTTGAACCCAGGTGTCTGGTGGCTCCTAACATAAGTAGCAATGGAAATAGTTGTAGCTAGACACAAAAGGCATCCTGACCCAATGGTAAAGTATTTTTGTAGTTAGGATGGAACCATAGGGCAAAGCGCTAGACGAACACTAATATGTTAGACAAAGGGTCATTAGCCTCATTATACAGGTGGGGAAACTAAGGCTTTGAGATCTGTTGCTCTGTGAGGGGAGAACCTGTTTGGGGGATGGATCATGCAGGAAAAGGCCTGCTCCGGGCACAATAAGCGTCCCAATACCCCTCACCTGTCCGTGACTCAGGCTGCTCCTCTTCCTGCTTTTGCTCAGCCTCCTCCAGGAAATCTCCTAGCAGCTTCTCTGCCTCCTGGGCCTCTGGCCCTGCTGGGGCCGCCCAGCCCAGAAAGGTGCAGACGCTGCCTAGGTCCGGGTGGGTAGGGGGATCCCGGAAATCCTGAGGGTGATCCCGAAGCCAGGAGCCCAGCACGGATACCACAGCCCTGGCCAGAGTGGGGGGCCTCAGAGCCCAGCCCAGAGCTCTGGACCTCGGGAGCCCCTACACCCCAGATGTGACCTTGGACCTCTAGGACCCCCACCCCTCACCTCCGGGCGACCAACCTTAAGTTCTTGTTGACACGCAGACCTCCTCCCTCTGTCTTCTCGATCTCTATCCTGGGAAAAGCAACTCCCCCATCAGGTAAAAAGGGAGGCTAGGGGGCGCTTAGGGGAGGAGGGATTGCAGGATCCAATAACCCAGGTGAGAATCGGGTGGGAACAGGGAGGTTGCCCCGGAGGTTACTGACCCTGGAGGCAAGGGCGGTGGCGGTGGCGGCAGGAGAAGGCCCAGCACGCGGGCAGTGGACACAAAAGCCCTGTGAGTGGCCAGGAAGGCAGGCACGAAGCCGGGGTCCTGCTCGCGGTCTCCAGACACCAGTTCCCGCACCAGCCGCTCCAGCCTCGCCGCCCTCAGCGCCCGCACCTTGCTCGTGCGGTAGTGGACGAAGGCGTCCGCAGCGGGGCGGGGGGCCTGCGGGGCAAGGCAGGCGGCAAAGAGACACGAGGAGTGGCCCCCCCAGGACCCCCTTTCCAACCACGCCCATCGCTAAACACCACTCTGGCGTCTGGTCCTGCCCATTTCTCTGAACCCTGCCTCCTGGATTCATTATTCTGCTCCCTACCTAAATGATCCTCGAAACCCGCCCGGGACACCACGGTCCTCCCAGGCCCCACCCCGCCCCGTGTCCTTAGGCTCCCAGCTCTCCAGCCCCGCTTCCCAGGTCCCCAGCCGGCTCTCCCCCGGCTGCTTCCGAAGACCACCCCTCCCTCCAGCTCCGCCCCACTAAACCTGGCCGACCCAGGCCCCGCCGTCCGGGTTAGTCCCCAAGTCCCGGTCCGGAACCACGCGGTCACTGGGCGGTCGCAGTGGTCAACCCGATTCACCCGGCTGCGGTCAGACGCTTCCTACCCTCACCTGGGCGCTTGCAAACCCCGCCCCTCCCTCGGGCCTCAGCTCCGCCCCCCGGCTGTCCCTCGCCTCCGGCCTCCAGGTGCCCGCACTCGGCCCCGCCCCGCCCCACCCTCCACCGCAGCCTCACCTGGCTGCCCGCGGGCCCCGTCCCCCGGCTCAGGCGCTGACTGAGCTGCCGACGCAGCGAGACGCTGTACACCGCTCCGTCCTCGGTCTCCTCGCCCCAGTCCTGCAGCGGCGCCTGGACGCGGAGACCGACTCAGGGCGCCGCGGGGGGACGGGCCCCGGGACCTCGCCCCCACCTGTCCCGCGCGGACTCAAGAGGGCCTTCTAGCACCATCTCCCTTCCCGATCAGACCCAGCGAGACTCGGGGGCTGGGGCCGATCCCCTCGCCGCCGCGGGGACCCTACACCCCGGTCCTGAGAGGATGGAGTGGCATCTGGGGACGTCCCAGGGTCCGGGCTCACGGAACCTGTCTCTGTCCCTGTAGACGAGCTCAGAGACGCCCCCCATCCTTCAGAGGTACCAGCCACTTCACCGGGGCAGGGGCCGGGAGACTCAAGGTTGGGATTCCTGGGCCGATACGAAGGGTCCGATTTGCGGGGAGATAGGGTCCAGAAGGCAGGGACATGGAGTTTTTGGATCCCAGGGTGCCAGGGATGTGGGGTCCGGGCCCCCTGGTCCCCTTACCAGGGCGAGCTCCTTGCCCGCTGTCCGATCCATGGCCCGTGCCTGTCCCGCTCCGCGGCGCGGCTGAATGAGGCGGAAGGGCCGATGGGCGGCGGGCAGTGGCCGGCCTTGGGGCCCGCGGGGCAGGGCGGGGCGACCCGGCTGTGCGGGGGCGGGGCGGGACCCGCGGCTCTCGGATGCCCCCAGCTGGACCCCAGCGCCCAGCCCAGGCCCCACAGAGGTGAGGTCCCGGCTCTCCTCATAGGTGTGTATCAATCTGTGCCCAGGAGAAGGGACACTCCTCTCTCCCGGGAAGGGTTTTTTTCTGTTAACGGGGGTGGGTGAACTAGTGTGTATAGTTAAGTGGGGGGCCATTCTGCCTCCCTAGGAAAGTATCCTGTCTTCAAGTGGGGACGGGTGGTTCATTCCAGGTGTGGGGGTATCTCTCATTCCTGGAGGTCGGGGGAGTGTTCAACCTGCATCCCCAGCTGATGGGGAGTACTCACTCCCCTTGACGGAGAAGGTGGAGTCTGGGCCCTGGATTTTAGGGGCAGCAGTCTTTGCCGTGGTGCAGAATCAAGGAGAGGCAAATACCCAGGGGGCTGGTTGGTGACGTTTATTGCATGATCCTGAGGCCAGCTCGGGCTCGCCTTGTAAGATTTACTATGGGAACGACTGGCAGTCCGGCCCCCTTCTCTATTCCCGGCGCCACGGGCCCTGCTCTGCTCCCTCCTCCCAGTCGCGTTTAGCCCTTGAGGGGGCCCCGTGGGCCTGAGGCTGGGCCCAGAGGGGTTGGGAGCTCCCCAGGAGCCCGGCAGTGCCAGGTGTGCGCGAGGGTGAGTCTAGGACTTCTTCAAACGACTGCGTTTCTTGCTGCGAGATTCGATTAATTTCTGGGAACGAATCTTAAGCGCCGCACGGGTCACCACGTCGTTGTCCTCGTCCTCACTCTCCTCTTCGTCTGCACAGGGCAATGAGGGGATCCGGGTTCCTATTCTTGGCTCAGATTTCCATTCCCAGCCTTTACCACCCCCCAACTTGGCCTCACGCCCGGCCTCCGACCACTTTCCGTTGGTCAGCTCGGGCCCCCAGCCCCGCCCCCCTTCCATGACCATACTGACCGAAGAACTTGTCCTTGAGACTGGCAAGGGGCAGGGCGATGCGGGTGTTGTACGTGGGCAGCTTTCCCTCTAGGGTGGAGTAGAACTGGGGGGGCGGAGCGGGAGAGAAGACGGTGGTGTAGAGGCTGCAGGGAAGTCCTGTGGCCCTTCCTCCTTACCCCATTCCAAGGTACACCCTGATTCCAAATGCACCTCTGCCCATTCGTCCAGTTTAGTTTTTCTCGGGACCAGTGTAATTGTTTGTTCTTAGAGCGTACCCGGATACCCAGCCCCGCCCCCCTGCCCGTAGGCCCGCCCCTGGTTCTGGGGGCCAGTCCCTTGATGCGCGCGCGGGGACACACACACACACACACACACACACACACACACACACACACACACACACACTCTCTCTCTCTCTCTCTCTCTCTCACTCCCCAGTCCTGCCTACTGGCCTCCAGGACCCTCTGGAAGCTTTCCTCACTCTACAAACCTCACACGTTGTCCCTGGAACTCATTTCCGCCCCATAGGCCTCCCCCCTGGTGTCCCCCTCCTCCCGCCCCTCCCTGCTCTTCGGCCCCAGTCCCGCCTCCTCAGCCCCGCCCCCGGCTGTACGCGCACCTCGTCGTCGCTGAGGTGGCGCAGCATCCCTGGCACGTTGTGACTCTCGAGCTGTGCCTGCAGCTTCAGCAGCTTTTCTTCCACGAGGCCCAGCAGGTCTGGCAGATAGTCCCCTGCCTTGGGATCCAGCTCCTTTCCCGCGAAGCGGCCATCCACCTGCGGCCGGGGGCGGAGCTGAATCAGCCTGGAGGGGGCGGGCCTCTGGGACTCGTTCCACCCGGGCAGGACCTTTGGAAGGTGACGGACCGCCAACAGGGGTGATGCTATCTATCCCCCGTGGGGCTTCTATTGTCAAGGCCCACGCCCCGGTGAGGGCAGAGCCTCCGAACTCCAGAGACAAAAGCAATGGGTGGAATGAAGGGTTTTAGTGGAGGGAAGGGGGTAATAACTCGAGAAGCCATTTCAGGGGTGACTTTCGGAAGAAATGGGACTCTGCTGCGGGCACGGTGGGGCTCTCCCTGTCTCGGGCCACCCAAACTCAGGTTTGGGATGGAGAGGCAAGGTGGGATTTTTCCCATGAAGATGGGACAGCGTCTCTGAAGTCCTGAGCCTCTTGAGAACTAAGGCGGTTTCCCTCAGGGAGATGGGGGTGGGGACTTTGAGGAGGGGGGATGGGTGTCCCCTGTAGGCAGGTTTCTGACGTCCTGGACAGGGCAGAGGGTTGGTCCTCTCAAGCAGGTTCCCCTGAGTAAGGGCAGGAACCACACCCTCGTGGATTGTGGGAGGCTCTGGGCTGAACTTCCTTGGGGGGGGGCAGGCCTACCACTGTGATGCAGTTCAGTTTGCCCGCCAGGTGTTCAAGGCTCTCCTTGGTCACTTGCATAGCCCGCTTGGTCCGTTCCAACTGATCCTGTGCCTCAGCAAGGCGCAGCTCTTCGGCCTTGAGGCGCTCCTGCAACTCAGCTTGCAGCTTCTGCTGACTACAGGCAATGGGGAGGTCACCACTGGAGAAACCTGAGCCCGGAGGCCCCTCATTCTCTTCCTTGGGCACGGGGTCTCACCTCACAATCGTGGCCTCCCCTGAGTACTTGAGGTCTTCCAGCTCTCGCTGCAACTGCTGCTTCTCTTGCTTCAGCCTCAGCAGCGACTGCTCGTTCTCGCTTTTGAGTGTCTCCAAATGCCTGAATGTATCCCCCTGTGCCAGGAACCGCCTCACCACCGCCTGCAGACCACCAGCCCGTCAGAGGGAGGCCTGGGCAGATCTGAGTGCACCTCCTCCTACTTTCCCCTGGGTGTGCAGGACAGATGGCCTAAGCCGGTGGCTTCTCCACAGCAATGTTTAGGGACTCTGTGAGTCAGACTCAGAGGTGCCTCAAGGATGTTAAGCCCCTGACACATAATTTTTGCAGGGTCCTTGTCTATATGAGGAATTTGAATCAGCCAAAATCAGCGTGTGGTGCAGGGTAGCAGTGAGCATAGTTGCTCTTCAAAATCAACCTGCCATCCACATTGTGACTGTGAATCTCACCCAATCCAGTGAGGAAATATGGCCAATCTCAGAGGTAGTTGCCCACCAGGCCAATTTCTGGAAAGGTGCCTGGCCACAGCGCCCCAGATGACTCCCATAGCTTGGAGTCCCAGAACTCCTCCGGGGTTATCCTATGAAAGAAGCAGCACTGGGAGACTGCCCAAAAGGCAGAAACTGGACAGGGGTCCGGCTTGCCAGAGTCCAAGAGTGGCAGTGGGCAGTCAGCAGTGCCCCAGACCATGGTACAGGCGCCGTAAACACAGAAGAGACAAAGCTCACACTTCTCACAGAGCTGACACGCCAAGGAAAGCGCCAGTGTTAGAGTGAACAGGAGAGGGAATGATGGCGAGGGTGGACAGCTCATGTGGGTTTTGCTGTGAGGAGAAGAACGGGGCACTAGCTAGAGGCAGAAGAAGTGTCTTTTACGAATAGAGGTTTGTGTTGGCTGAGGAACTGAGCCCGCGGAAAGGGGAGGCTGGCTGGGTTGGCTTCACTGGGCTGGGCTCAGCTTGAGCGCAACTAGAGGGCGGAGAGCGTTGCGGGCCGCCGGCAGCACTCACATGGGTTTCGGCCACCCCGGTGGCATCCTTGACCTTGCCAAAAAGCATCTCTGTCTGGTACATGGTCCAGCGCTGCTTCAGCTCCTTGTCTTTGACGCGCAGGCTGTCCTGGGTGGAATCTTCCGACTGCAGCAGCACGTGCTCACGCTGGGTCTGCTCACAGGTTGAGGCCAGGGCGGGAGAGTCAACTCTCAGGCAAGGATTGAGGGCAGGGGCCAGAGAGAGGGGTCGCAGGACAGGGGACCGCGAGGGGGCAGGGCCCGACTGGGGAGCCAGGGTAAAGTCTTGGGGCACCCAGTTAGGGGTCAGGAGGGCAGGAAAGGGTTGGTCAGCGAGGGGCAGTCACAGGGGCCGTGCAAAGAGGCGGGGTCAAGAGAGCAGGGGCGGGGCCTCGAGTAAGGGGTTGTGGCTAGAGGCCGGATCAGATTTAGGTGTGTGTGTTTTTGGGGGGGGGGTAATCAGGTGGGGAAGGATGGGGACCACCAGCGAGTGAGGGGACATCTGGCGGCTCCTCCAGACAGGCAATCTGATGGGAGGAGGGCGAGGGCAGGTTAGTGGGAGGAACCCTGGCATCAAGAGGAGGTGGCGCTGGGCGGAGTCCGGAGAAATGTTAAGAGCAGGGCAGGGGTGGGGCCGGGCCAGGTCTAGGCTGGGGCAGGCTGGGGTTGAACACCCCCTGCACCCCTGGACAGGGCCACCTTGCGCTCCATGCGTTCGTTCTGCAGCTTCCTATCTTCCGCCCGCTTCTTGCACTCAGTTATGTAGCGCTCACGCTTCTTGCGCTCTCGGAACACGGTCTCCTCCAGATACTGCAGCTGGTTCTGAAGGAAGAGCAGGATGACAGGGGGACCAGCTGGTACCCACCGTGGCTCAGGGCTGGAGTAGCCTGGCCCAACAACTTCAGGCAGCTGGGCCAGGCTGCGGCATCTGGGAGACAGGTGGGAGGAGCTCGGGGACAGCTGGGGTCCGGATTCTGGGGGCCAGGAGACCATGGCGTCTGGGCAGGAACCCCGGGGCCTGGTGGGCTGGCACCTTGGCGATATCCTGGGCGTTGAACGCCTCCTGGTTCACCACTTGCAGCTCCTCTAGCTCGCGTTTTGCCCTCACCACCTCAGCCTCCATGAAATCCAGCCGGTTTTCCAAGTGAAGGCTCTCCTCCTGGGGGTGGGGGTGGAGGGCCTGTGACCACTGTGCCTTGGCAGCTGGCCCTCCCACGTCGCCCCCCAGCCGTGCTGGTCCCCACCTGGAGATAGGCCTTGAGCTGCAGGTACACACCGGTAATGTGTTCAGCCTCTTCAGCCTTCATCCGGGCCTTCTCCAGGCGGTTCTCCAGGTTCCGCATGGTCTAGAGGGAGGCAAGGCTGGGCTGAGCCTTTTCTTCCCCTCTCAAGTTCTTCCCAGGATATCCCTGCCCTCCTCCCGCCCCTGGGTAGCCTCACCTTGGCCACCTCCGTGTTGCCATTCCGCATTTCTGCAATCTCCAGCTCGCGGAGGCTGTGCTGCAGCTGGAGCTCGTCCAGCCACTTCTGCCGCAGGCCCACCTGGTGCCGCAGAGTGTTCAGCTGCTTCACCTTCTCACTCAGTCGGTGGTCCAGGTGCTCCAGGGCCTGCTGGGGGGAGGTGAGCCCCAGAGGCAGTCTCAACCCTCCCACCTAATCCTTCCTCCCTTTCTTCTCCCACATCTTGTTTCTTATCACCCGGGGTCTCAGCAGCATCTGACCGAGCTGATCCCCTGCAGATCGTCATCTTTGGTGGCTTCCAGGATGCCAGTTTTCCACCCTGGCTGTCCCTTCTCCATTTCCTTGGCCCCCAGGAGGGACGGACTCAGGCTCTTCTCACTTCTGTTCATACCCACCACCTTGATGGACCTATCCAGGCTCATGGTTGGACCACAGGCTGAAGACATCCAGATTTAACCCCCAGCCCTGCCCCACTCCCAGAACTAGAGGGTCATATACCCATATCTATCTACACTGCCTTCCAGGCGTCTCCACAGGCATCTCGAAACTATCATGTCCAAGATTGAGTGTGTGAGATTCCCCGAAGTCGGCCTCCCTTGAATCTTCTCCATTTCGGCTCATAGCAGCTTCATCCTTCCAGGTGCTCAGTCCAACAGCTCAATGTCCTCACCTTTTCTTCTCCCACCTACATCCGATTCATTAGCAATGCTTTGTTCTATTTCAAAGGTTTTCCCAGAGATACCTTTTTCTTCCTATTTCCACCACTTTTGTCTGAGTACAGCCAACACCATCTTCACCATCTGACCTCCATTCTTGCTTCCTCACACTCTGCTACCCACTTCTCTGATTTGTCATAAAACCTGCACTCTTTATCATGGCCAGCTAAGCCTGCTGGAAGATTCAGCCCCTGCTGATCCTTTTTTTTTTTTTAATTAAAGATTTTATTTATTTGAGAGAGGGAGAACACGAGTAGGAGGAGGGGCAGAGGAACAAGCAGGGCTCAACACCAGGACCTCAAAATCATGACCTGGACCGAAGTCAGATTCTTAACTGACTGAGCCACCCAGGTGCCCCCTTGCCGACTCTCCTGATGCTCACCTCCTATGGAGACCCGCTCACACACTCCTCTGCCGCACTGGAGATGTTATCATCTCCAACACTCTACCCCTTGTTTCTACCTCAGGGACTTTGCATTCACTGTTCCCTTTGCCTAGAACACTTTTCTCAAAATCATTTCTTGCCTGTCTCATTCTCAGCTCAAATATCACCTTCTTAGAGAGAGGGGGCTTTGCTGACTCCCCACCCCAATCTAAAGTACAAACCCCTTGGGGCACCTGGTTGGCTCAGTTGGTTCAGTGTCTGCCTTTGGCTTAGGTCATGATTTTGGGCCCTGGAATCCAGGGCCTCACAGCAGGCTCTGTGCTCAGCAGGAGTCTGCTTCCCCTCTCCCTCTGCTCTCCCCACCCCATGCTTGCATGTGTGCACTCTCTCTCTCTCAAATAAACATCTTCAAAAAAAAAAAAAGTGCAAACCTCTACCCCATCCATCTCTAGGAAGTCACTCTGCTATTTTATTCATTTCTCTTATCACTACTGGAAATTACTTTCTGTATTTGTTCTTGTTCCCCTCCTGCACCACCCCCCATTGTCTTTTCCCCAGGAGGATATGAAGTTCTGAGGAGTGCAGATTGGTCTGTTTTTTTGACTGCATAGTCACCAATACCTAATACCATGCCTAGCACATGGTCGGTGTGTGATAAAGGTTAATTGAATGAATAGATGAATGCCAGCTGGTGTGGAGAAAGGACTGGAGAAGATGAGATGAGGCAGGGAGTCCAGCAAGGAGGGGACACAAGCTGGAAATGAAGGGAGATAGTGGGGTGGGGTGGGGCAAACCTGTCCTGTCCTGTTCTTCAGGTATGGCTTCTCTGACCTCCACTCCCGAATCACGGTCTGGACCACTTTCTCATCTCCCTGCAAGGACAGGAGCCCAGTCATCGCTCACCCAGACCACTCCCACTTGAGGCAGCACCCTGCCCTTGGGGATGCTGCCCTGCTTCCTGGAAACCCTTCACCCACTTCTGCACCCTCACCTGGAGCAGGTCTGTCAGCTGTACTTGCAACGCCCTGGTCTCCTCACGAAGACGGTTGATGGTCTCCTGATTCTTCTTGATGTTCCACTGGCTGTTCTCATAAAAGGCCTTCCGGTCACCCTCTGAGGTCATGTAAGGTACACAAGCAGGGTGTTGGGGTCTTCCCAGAGGGAAGCTGTTTTTGTTATCATTAACTTAATATTATAACAATACACTAGTTTGAGCACTTAGTATATGCTGGATGTTGGACAAAGAACTTTCCAGGTATCAAATGCTGTATGTCAACAGGTGCATATCCATATCCTACCCATTTACAGACGAGAAGAATGAGGCTCAGGCTTATTACAACGTTCATGGTCTCAAGAAGTCTGATTCCTGAGCCCAAACCTTCAACTACTGTGCAAGATTACCTTCTAAGAATGACAAAACAGTAATAATTATGGGTCACATCAGAATGTTGCAACCTTGGCATGACTGATATTTGGGACGAATAATTATTTGTTTTGATCTGTCCCATGGACTGTCAGATGGGGAGCAGCATCCCTAACTTCCACCCATTAGATGACAGCAGCACCCCCTCCCAACAATGTGACCATCAAAAATGTCTCCAGACATTGCCAAATGTTCACTGAGAAGCAAAATAGCCCTCTCCCATTGAGAAACATTGGTTTACCCTTTATAGTGCTTTACTATGTGTCAGGCACTGTTCTTACCACTTTATATATTTCAGCTTCCTGTAGGGTTGTACTCTCACTATCCCCATTTTACGAATAGAGAAACTGAGATCAATTAGGCTACTCACAGTCCCCCAAGATCAAACAGTATATGCAGAGCCAAGATTTGAACCCAGAAAATCTGGCTCTAGAATCTTTGTTCTTTACCACCACCACCCCTGCCCCCATGCATGGTAGAAAAGCTGAAATCATACAAAAGTATGAAACACAATCCTGTTGGTTCTGCGCCCAGGAAAGATTTTATAAGAGAGATGAGGAAAACCATGAAGAAGTACGAGTTTTTGCTTCCAGAAACTGGTCACCTGGATGAATGGTGGTGAAAGGCCCTTGTCACACTGTGCCTGGTCAGAGGGCTGGGTGGACACTGCTGACTCCTGATTCTTTATTCCTCTTCCAGCCATCTTACCTAACAGTTGTATCTTCTTTTGTAACTCTGCCACCTGCGTTTGCACAGCAGACTTCCCCCTGTGGGCATGGAGGGGTCTTGACTTGGAATGGTGTGGGGGCCAGGCATGGGCCACAATCTTCCCTTGGGAGTGATGGTGCTGGGTCTGAGTCGGATTGCCCTTGGCCTTGGAGGAAGTCAAAGCCTGGTCCTGAGGAGGCAGGATGTTGGTGGAGGCCGGCCAGCACAGGGGAGACGTCATGACGGGGTTGAGGCCTAGGGTTCCTGAGGATTAAGGAGGCAACTAGCCATTGCCCCTATCTGGGATTCGTCAGCGCGAGTTCCTCCGGCTCTGGGAGAATGCACTTTCCCACCGCTTGGCGGGGCCTCGCAGCATCTCCGGTTGCTCGGTAACCTCCGCCCCCGCCTTCCAGTGTTCCCATGGAAACCACCCGCGTTCCACACCACCTCTCTCATTGGCCAGCGCTGTGCAGGGGGCGGTCCAATAGCCAGGGGCCCAGCCTCTCTGCTGGACGCTGGGGGGAGGGTACTTTAGGGTCACGTGCTCATCTTTAAAAAATGTTTTTTGATTTTATTTTTAAGTAATCCTCACACCCAGTTTGGGTCTGGAGTGCACATCCCTGAGATTAAGAATCACACGTTCTAAGTCAGAATCAGCCAGGCGCCCCTACTTTTTTTTTTTTTTACGATTTTATTTTTGCGTAGTCTCCACACCCAATATGGGGCTCGAACCCACAACCAACCCCCAATATCAAGAGCCCCGCTCCTGGACTAAGCCAGCCAGGCACCCTCCCCCCAACACACACACACTTTTTTTTTTTTAAAGCTTTTATTTATTTATTCATGAGAGGCACAGAGGAGGGAGAGAGAGAGAGGGGCAGAGACACAGGCAGAGGGAGAAGCAGGCTCCATGCACCGGGAGCCCGACGTGGGATTCGATTCCAGGTCTCCAGGATCGCGCCCTGGGCCAAAGGCAGGCGCCAAACCGCTGCGCCACCCAGGGATCCCTTGTTTGTTTTTTTTTAAAGCACTCTCTACACCACCACCACTCCCCTGGGTTTCCTGGGCATTTTTCAGGAACCTTTTTTTCCGGCTGTAGGACCTGCCACTCCCAAGATGGAGGAGCCTAGCGCCGCCATTAAGCGCGCACCGTGAGAACGATGCCCCTCTAGGGCATCACAGTCCTATCCAAGATGGCCGCCTGGGGTCCAGCCCGGCCCCTCCCCCACTCGCCACTCCCAACATGGCACCGTTGAGGCACCGCTCCGCACGCGCGGCGTGATGCCGGAAGTGACGGATCCCACCAATTTCCGCTTTCTTTTTTCAGGAGGAACGGTTGGCTGCTGGGCTGGGGGGCGCGGTGGATATTGACCTTTGCCCCAGCCTCGTGTAGGTGGTGAACTATCGCGCGCGCGGGGGGAGGCGGTGACCCCAGGTTCTTATTGGGGGCAGCTGGAGGGTGTTCGTTCCTAGAGTGTGGGACTGTTAACCCCTTCCGCCGATTGGCGGGAATCGGACAGCTCACCACCACCCCCCGGATTGGGAGTGGAGGTTTTGAGCTTCCCACCATTGATATGAGCAAAGTGAGGCTCCCTCTGGGCAAGACTGGGGAGACCACCTCCCCCAGCCCCCACCGTGCCGTTAGCAAAGTGAGCCCCCATTGCCGGGAAGCGATGGAAGAGTCCAATTGGCTGGAGGAAGAGGTGACTTCCTTTGGCTGCAAGCAGCCCTCTCCCCTGACCGGCGTCCCTTTCTTGCCGCAGCGTGGGGGCACAGCACATCTCCCCGCAGCCCGCTTCCTCCCCAGAACCTGTTTCCGGTCTGCGAGCTTCCGGCGAGATGTTACTGTTGCTGTTGCTGCTGCCCCTGTGCTGGGCCGTGGAGGTCAAGAGGCCCCGGGGCGTCTCCCTCACCAGTGAGTCCCCCACGGGAGGTGGCTGGAGGTCAGGGTAGGGTGTGGGAGGGGCCGACTTGGCCCCCGAGATCGATGCTTTGGGCCTTCTGCCTCAGTTTCCTGGCCTCTGGGTAGGGAAGGTGGCAATGCTCTGCTGCGAGGTGGGGGCAGAGGTTGCCTTTCTGTTGAGCGGGCCTCTCCTTGCCCTGGGCTGAGCCGCTTGCCTCCGTCCCCAGACCATCACTTCTACGACGAGTCCAAGCCTTTCACTTGCCTGGATGGCTCTGCCACCATCCTTTTCGATCAGGTCAATGATGACTACTGTGACTGCAAGGATGGCTCAGATGAGCCAGGTGAGTTTTTCTCTGTTCACTTATTCATTCATTCATTCATTCATTCATTCATTCATTCATTTGACGTTGTTTTGAGTGCCTGGGAAATGCCAGGCCGCATGGTGGTGACCAAGACAAATCCAGCCCTGCCTTCACATGGCTCTCTGTTGAGTGGGGGAAAGCAGGCATAGAAGCGAGTGGTTTGTGGGTTGGTGAGGAAGGCCATAGCTCCTAGAGGAGCCCCAAGAGCCCCCCCATCCCCTTGGCCCCAGCCTGGGGGTCAGGAAGTGAGATCTCACCTGAATCCTAAAGTGTGCTAAAAATGGAGGTGCCAGCATGTGCAAATACCCTGAGATGGGAGACAAGGTAGGGTCAAAAAGCAGACAAAGACAAGTGGAGGCAAGGGCTGGAGCAGTTGGCCAGGCCCTGTTCTGAGGGCCTTGGGGAGAGGCAGGAGCGGACACTGGAGGGGTTTACTTCAGGCTCCGGGTAGGCAGCTGCCCTTCCTTCCCTTTCTCAGCGTTGATTGCTCTCCCAGGCTGTCTATGCACACCTGTGTCCGGGGATCTGCCTGTGGGTGGATGTGACATGTTTCTCCTGAGCACACCCCAGAAACTTTTCCTCCCACAGGTACAGCCGCCTGTCCTAATGGCAGCTTCCACTGCAGCAACACTGGCTACAAGCCCCTGTACATCTCCTCCAGATGGGTCAACGATGGAGTTTGTGGTGAATGAGAGCACACCGGGGTTGGGGAAATAGGTGGTCGTGGGGGAGTAGGGAGGAGCCACTGCCGGTCTCATCGCATCCCTGCTTTGTGCTCTTAGACTGCTGTGACGGCACCGATGAGTACAACAGCGGGATCGTCTGTGAGAACACCTGCAAGTATGTGGCTGGCACCTGCTGCTCCCCACCGCACGCCCCAGCCCTTTCCTCACTACACCCAGTGAACCAAGCGCCCTTCTCTTTTCTGCCCTTTTTTTTTAAAAAAAGATTTATTTATTTATTCATGAGAGACACAGATAGAGAGGCAGAGACATAGGCAGAGGGAGAAGCAGGCTTCCTTCATGGAGCCTGATGTGGGACTCTATCCCGGATCCCAGGATCACGACCTGAGTGGAAGGCAGGCGCCCAGCCACTGAGCCACCCAGGTGTCCCTCTTTTCTGCTTCTTTTTTTTTTTTTTTTAAATTTTTTTTTTTATTTATGATAGTTACACACACACAGAGAGAGAGGCAGAGACACAGGCAGAGGGAGAAGCAGGCTCCATGCACCGGGAGCCCGACGCGGGACTCGATCCCGGGTCTCCAGGATCGCGCCCTGGGCTAAAGGCAGGCGCCAAACCGCTGCGCCACCCAGGGATCCCCTCTTTTCTGCTTCTGTGTGTCGAGTGCTCACTCTGTGCCAGGTGCCTTTTGAATGAACACCACATTGCCACTTCATCTCTGGTCCAGAACCAGGTGCAATTGTTGCCTGTTCAACAGATGAGGAAACTCAAGTTTAGGATAAAAAGTGACTTCCCTAGGTTCCCACAGCTAGGACACATCAGAACCAGGACTTGTACCCAGGCTGATTGATCCTGAGACTCCAGTCTTTTCATTGCTATGCTCTTGTGGCAGGACCTAAAATTTGAAACGCCCATAGGCAAGTAGTATAAACGGCAGAAACCAGGTGAGTCTGAGGCAGTAGGGCGTGGTGGGCATTGTGGCATCTGAAGGAACACCTGTCCCTTGACTTCTGTCAGTTAAGGGCAAGTGGCCAGGCTAGATTCGTTTTTTAGGGAACCTGAAAGTCCCAATACTTTTTTAAACTCACCTGATGGAAAATCTTTTAACTACAGGGTAGGTCAAGGACAACCCTTGGCCTTCTTGCCTGAGAGTCTGGGATTTCTGTGTTTTTCTTCCTTTTTCGGGAGCAGCTTCTAACCCCCACATCCAGACATTTCCTAGCCCCTTTCCTGGACACCTACAATGGGCGAACTCTGAGTGCTGTCCCTCCTCTCAAGGACAAGGATGAAGGGCTCTGAGGCCAAGAGAGCCCCGGGAAGTCGGGGGAGGAGGATTTGCTCTTCATGTTTCCTAATGCAGGGGGCCGGCAGCAGGTGGGTTGAGCCCTAAAGGCCTCCTTGGCGGTGCTTGTGTGTTCTCTCCACACTAGAGAGAAGGGCCGGAAGGAGAGAGAGACACTGCAACAGATGGCAGAGGTCACGCGAGAGGGGTTCCGCCTAAAGAAGATCCTCATTGAGGACTGGAAGAAGGCTCGGGAGGAGAAGCAGGTGAGGGACCCTGTGGGGCTGGCCGAAGATGATCTGGGCCCTGAGGCCTGGAGTCAGGGGCCAGTGAGGTTGGGTGGCCTTGACACATGCCCCTGAATAGTGGAGTTCTAGGGCCAGTTACTGTGTGTGTGCTGTGGTTTACTCATTTGTCCACTGGCTGTTTAGTCATTGGTTAAGTTGTTACCAGGTGGTGGGCAGCACAGGTATTGACCAGGGCCTTGGGTGGCAGCTTGAAGTGGGCTTAGAGGAGCTCCCCTCCTGCATCCCAGAATGGGAGGGACCCCTCTCTGCATCCTGGTTCCCTGTAAGATGAGACTGATGACCATGTGACCTCCCAGTTTTGGAGGAGGATTCAAGACATCAGAGGGGCCGGGTTAGTTCAACAGGGTGAGTTCTGCAGAGGTTGGAAGAAATTGTGTGCCTAGGCATGTGTCTCTTCCTCCCCTACCTGCCACCCCCTGGGCTGTTAGGTCAGAGTCCTCAACACTGCTCCTGGACTTTTGCCAGGTCCTCCATAGGAGGGCTCAGCTCTGTTTTTCTGCCCAGGGAAGGTTCTGGGTTTTTCTTACCTCCATGCCCTGGCTGGTGAGGCTCCTCCTGAGTTCAGAGGTGGAGAGGCAGTGAAGTCTTTTCTGAGTTCAGAAGACAGTGGGGGAGCCATGGAGTGAGGTTGGTTCCAAGTGACTTTTGCCCTTCTGGGGCAGTAGGAGGATCCTGGGAGCAGGCCAGGCTGAGGTGGGGGTCAAGGTCATAGGAGGAAAATGATCCCCGGGGCTTGGGCTAAGACCCTCCAGCTTGGGGCCCCATCCTCATGCACACTCATTCCTTCTTGCAATATCCACAGAGGCCCGGGGGTGTGGTATAGTGGGCATGAGACTGGAAGCAGACCTGGAATTGCCTCAGGGCATATTGTCTACTGAGAGGGACAGGTGACAAAGTGACACCCAGGGCCACTGGGAAAAGGGGTATCTGGGTTGGGGTTATGTGGCATAGAGGAGACTTGTGCCCCAGTCTCCCTCCTTCCCCCACCTGTTGTGGGGGCAGGAAGCAGGGACGGCTTCTGGAGAAGGCCTCTATCTTAACTCAGATCTTAGAATAATTCAGAGTTAGCCATGCAGAGTATTCTAGAAAGAGAGAAACCACGTGTGACGAACTGGAAGCAGAGCTTTTGGGGACCTAAATGTTGGGGTAGTTGGAGCCTACAGGTTAAGAGAGGTGTGGCACAGACGGGGCTGGAGAGGTGATCCTGATTATGCAGGACCTTGTGGGGGCTACATCAAGGTGTTCAGGGTTCCCTCTAGTGACCTCTGGGGGACCCCAGGGAGGGGGAGACCCAGGGGGTTGTGTGTTTTGGAGAGGTCACCTGGTGGCCACCCTGTAGCGTAGAGGCAGAAGGAGAAGTGGCATCTGGTCTCTTGCCCACCCAGGAAAAGCTCACTGAGCTACAAGCCGGGAAGAAGTCCCTGGAGGACCAGGTGGAGATGCTGCGAATGGTGAAGGAGGAGGCCGAGAAGCCCGAGAAGGAGGCCAAAGACCAGCACCAGAAGCGGTGGGAAGGTACGTCACGGGGTGGCCCCGGGAGCCTCGCTCATGACCTGTTGGCTTCTATGTCTCCTGACTTTTGATCACAGCACCTCAGCACCTCCATGCACCTAGTTGTCTTGCCCTGTGCGTCGGTCATTGTATTCAGAAGTTGTTTGGAGGAATAATTTGCAGTCTAGCAGAAGTGATTTTTTTTTTTTCTCTTGAGAGGAGAGGCTCTTCTTCCTGCCAGCCACGTGGGGACAGAACCATTGGGGGATCCCCTGAATCCAGAGCAAAGGCTGGAGGTCCCTCCAACCTGTCAGGCAATGGGAGCTCAGGTGTGAGCACAGGCTGCGTGATTTCTGGTCCAGCCTCTGTAAGGGGACAGCCCCTGCCAGGGTCATAGCGTAGTTATGAGGTGGGGGGGGCTCTCCCATTCTCTCCACCTGGGGCTTTGATTTTTCTCTCCCTTGTCTTACAAATTCTCATCAGATCAGATGTCCAAATTTGCCAGGTGCTTCCAAGTTCTTTTATCTTCCCGAATTGCTCTTTGCCTTGGCAGTTAGTATCACTTTGGTTGGTTGAAGATGGTTTTTGTGCTCCATCCAGCATTGTCTTGCCCTTGGCAGGTTATACTTGCATTCTGGGAAATTGGAAGCCTTGGCCCTCGGCCTCAGTCTCTCCAGTGGGGGTCACCCTGGGGCAGCAGGCTAGAAGGGCGAGGTGGGGCAGAAACCCACTCCAGACTAGCTAAAGGACCAATCGTTGCAGGATTTGGGAAGCATGGCCCTGGTGATGGGCTGGTAACCAGGAGCTGTGGGCACCCCGTCTCTGAGTCCGCACTGCTGGTCTTTTTCGTTTCCCTGGGCACCTGCTGCATTCTCTGTCCCTTCCTCTCTCTGCCCTCGTTTCTCATAATCCGTAATCCAGTAGGTCACCCAGTGTATATGGAGTGGCTGCACACCCCAGGTGCCAGTAGTTTAGCACTGATCGAGACAGAGAGAGCCCCTGCCTGCTGAAGGACGAGTGAGCCAGGCAGAAGGCACAGGTGCAAAGGCTCTGAGGCCGCATCATGTCTGGTTTTTAAGGAGCAGCTAACTGCCGTGTGGCTGGACAGAGGGAGTATGCGTGTCGTGGTGGAGACAAAGGCAGGCCTTGGGGATCATGGGGAGAACTTAGGCTTTCACTGCAAGTGAGGTAGAAGCCATAGAGGATTCTGAGCAGAGGCGGAACAGAAGCCAGGAAACCAGGGAGGAGCGGACCACATTGGTCCAGGCAAGCGATGGGCTGGGACCAGGGTAGGGGGCACAGAGGTAGAGAGAAATGGGCAGCTTCTGGATACTCCCTGAAAGCAGACTGGAGCCTTGTGGCCCTGGGGCAGGTGAGCAGAGGCTGTTCTGGCTTCCACCCTCTGCTGCTCTTCAGAGACCCCGGGCTTTGTTATGTCCCCTCTTTCCCGGGTGGTGTCCAGCTGGTACCTTCCCTCCACCTAGAATCACACTCAGGCTCTGCTACTCAAACAGCCGCCCCAAGCTCTGCCTTCCTCTCCGGTGCTGGAAAGTCTCTCTGTTCATCCCGGTGGAGGCTGACCTCCTAAACCTTTCTGTGGCTCTGCCCCGGCTCTGTCCTTCGCCAGCTGGGTGACCATGGGCAGGTCCCTGCAGCCAGCCAGCCTCACGCCCTCGTCTGTGAGAGGTTACAGTGCCAGCTTGCTCTGCTGGGGCGCTGTGGGATCCCCGGGCTGAGCTGCAGCGTGGCAGAGGAAGCCCCACTTACCCCATCGTAGATGGCTGAGCTGAGGTCCGGTGTACGCTCTGAGCTTGGTCACCGGAGCTGCTGTCCCCTCCAGCCAGACTAGGTGGGGATGAGGCCAGCAGAGGAGGCACCGTCAGAGCAGAGGCACAGCTGCAGGCCTCTCCCTGCTGGCCATAGCCCAGTTCCCTCTCATGTGCGGCTGGCTTTCGCTTTTCCTGGGACTCCCCAGAGCCCCCCAGGAAGCCTTCCTGACTTGGCCACACCAGACTCCAGTCTCCATCCTGACCCTTGTGTCAGAGAGCAGGCCTATATGGGGTGCATGGGCTGCTTCTCATGGGGGCCTCCTGGACGTGGCCGACCTATGCGTGATGTCCCGCCCACCCTGGCATGGCGTTTGCCAGCCCCTTGCTTATTCAGACCCAAAGTCCTAGGGTGTTCTCGAGCCCAGCCCCCATGCTTGCAAAACCTCTTAACTCCCCGCTTCAGTCTCCCCACTATCTGGCACTTCTCAACTCTGCCTTGGCCCCCACCCTGGCCAGCCTTTGGCGTCTCCTGGCTCCCATCCCCGGACTGTGCTCTACACTGGCCCAACATGGCACCCAGTGTAGGACCTCGCACACAGTGGGCCACATGGGGTGTCGGGGCAGGGCAGGCCTCAGGGTGGCAGGTGATGGAGCTGGCTCTTCCACAGAGCAGCAGGCTGCCTCCAAGGCCCAGCGGGAACAGGAGCTGGCAGCCAGTGCTTTCCAGGAGCTGGATGACGATAAGGATGGGGCGTGAGTCTGTCCATCCTGCCCTGGGCCTGGGGTTCCCTCCTCCCACCTCCCCCTACCCTGTGCCTGAGCCCTACCTCCCCGGCGTGAGTCCTTAGCTAGTCCTAAACCAATTCTGGACAAGCCTCTGCTTGCTCAAGTATAAAGAAAAATCTGAGGGTAGATGAGGGAAACCACCCCCGCAACACCAAGGAGCCAGGTGAGGTAGCTGGGGGGCCCCATTACTTTTCCTAAGCCCGTTCTGTGGCCTGGGTCACTTTGACAACAGCCAGACCCCTTTCAATGCTGCCGTGGCCCTGCCCTTGCTGGCTGGCCCAGGCTAATGGCTGAGGGCAGGGTGGGCTGTGGGAACATGGAGTCTCTGTCTCTTCTGAGACCCTTGAGGGCTGTGGGGTCTTCAGGACTGGGTAGGAGATGAGACTGGGCCCCACTCCAACCCCAACCCTAGAGCTCACTTCTCCCAACTTCTACGCCTGTCCCTTTGAGGTCCTAAAATAAGTTCTGGGGCAGAACGGGGAGGGGGAGTAGCGGGCCCCTGAGCCAGTGGGCCTTACCTCTCTGGGCCTCTGCCCGCGCCCCTGCAGGGTCTCGGTCACCGAGCTGCAGACCCATCCGGAGCTGGACACCGATGGTGATGGGGTTCTCTCTGAAGGGGAAGCTCAGGTACCCCATCCTTCTTGCCCCGGGACTTGGAGAGGGCATTGCCCCAGGGTGACGGTAGGGCCAGGCGGCGGGGCCAGGCTGGTTATGGATTGCTCCCAGGGTTGCTGGGAAGCCCGGCATGGCTGACGCCACTTGGCTTTGCCTGGGTGAGGCCAGAGGGTAACAGCCTGGCTCTCCTCCCTGCCCTTGGGGACCCAGTGGCAGTGCACAGGTGCCACGGGGGCATCTGGTTAGGAAAGCACCAGATTTCCTGCCCACCGGGCCCCAGATGCAGCTCCCCCTCATCCCCCCAACCCTCGCCCCACTATCCTCCGTCCTTCGTCCTTCGGTGTGGGTCTTGGCCTCCTGTCCTCACCAGTCCGGATCCCTGCTGCTGGCCTCTTCCCTGTCCTGCCTGGGCCTCTACCTCTTCCCAAGCGCCCAGCCACCTCTGGTTGCAGTGCCCTCTAGCTCTTTCTCCCTCTGTGTCTCTCACTTTCTCTCCCTGGCTGCTTGTCCCCGCCTGCGCCCCTCCTCTGGGCCCCCTCCTTGTTCCCACAGGCCTGTGCTGCCCCCTTCTGGGCCTGGTCATGGGTGGTCAGGGCACATCCGTGCCTGGCACACAGCGGGGCACATGGAGGCCCCAATCCTGACACCACCCCCAACATGTACACAGGCCCTCCTTGGGGGAGACGTGCACGCCGACGCCACTGCCTTCTCTGACCGTCTCTGGGCTGCCATCAGGGACAAATACCGGTCTGAGGTCAGTCGGGGGAGGAGAAGAGAGGCAGTGCCCCCCTCCCAGCCTTCCCCCTCCCAAATGCCTCACAAAGGAACTGCCTCTGGTTCTGGCACAGGGCCACCCTGGCCAGCTGGGTAACCCAAGCACCCTCTGTGGAGGGCCCCCCCTGCCAGCTGTCTGTCCCTCCCTTCAGGCCCATTGGAAGGGGCAGAGACAGAGGCTGCCCACTGGGTGATGGTGTGAGCTTGGGCTTGAGCCCCGGGGAGGTGGGGGTGGACCACGGAGCCCACGGCACCTGCTGCCCACACACCCGCCAGGTGCTACCCACCAGCCCCCCAACTGCACCGTCGGAGCCTGACCTGAAGGAGCCCAAGGAGGAGCAGCCTCCAGTCCCCTCACCACCAATGGAAGAGGAGGAAGAGGAGGAGGAAGAGGAGCCGGAGGAGGAAGAGGAGGAGGAAGAGGAGGAAGATTCCCAGGTGCCAAGGGAGCAGCCCAAGGTGTGTGTTTGGAGGAGAAGGGGGTGACTGGGTGGGGGCTGGGTCACTTGCTGACTCTGCCCCTCCCCCAGGAGGCCCCACCCCCACTGGTGCCCCCGCAGCCTGCGGCCAGCCCCACTGAAGAGGACAAAATGCCGCCGTATGATGAGCAGACGCAGGCCTTCATTGATGGTGCGCGCCAAGCCGGGGAGGGAGGGGACCCTGCCCAAATCCAAGCTCCCGTGCCTGGCGCCTGCCTGGGCCCATGCAATGGGCCTTACTTGGTTCCCAAGATGGGCTTGTGTTGGCCCCAAGCAAACCTGGGGCGTGTGGGCTGTCCTGGAGGGGGTGTCTGGGGCCTCGAGAAACCATCACTAGCCTCGTCAGCCCCAGGGGCCCTCCTGCCTCAGGCTGCCGCTTGTTTGTGCCACCCCAGGCTGGGGTGAGGAGCCAGCAAGGCCCCAAGAGCCCTGGCCCTCCTCCTCCCTCAGGAGTTCAGAGCCTGGGCAGCCGAGTGGGGTCTGCCCTGGGACTGGAGGCCTGCAGGGCCTTCCTGGGCCCAGTCCTCACTCTGAGCAGGCCGGGAGCTGGGGGAAGTGGGTGTGTCCGTGGCACCCCCTCCCTCTTCCTGGATGGGGCTTTGGGGCACCTCTGACCTCCTCCCACATTGCCCACCCCCTCCAGCCGCCCAGGAGGCCCGCAACAAGTTTGAGGAGGCTGAGCGGTCCTTGAGGGACATGGAAGAGTCCATCAGGTAAGGGGCGGTGTCTGGCCACACAAGGCCGTGTTTGCACCTGCCATGTAGCCGCCTGCCCTGAGCTCCCCAGAGGAGGTGGTAATGGGGAGTTGCCGAGGCTACCTCTACTGAGGCGGTGGCGGCTCCTGCAGGGAGGGTCCCCAGACGGCGAGGAGCCTGAGCCCAGCCCCCAGGTGGCCCTCCCTTGCTGGAGTGGGCCTCCCCATGTGATCCCGACGAGGCTGTGGCGTCCCCAGCTGCCCCTTAACTGCTTGGCCTCCCCCTTCCAGGAACCTGGAGCAGGAGATTTCCTTTGACTTTGGCCCCAACGGAGAGTTTGCCTACCTGTACAGCCAGTGCTACGAGCTCACCACCAACGAGTGCGCCCACCACTGGCCAGCGGGGCGGGTGGGGTGGACTTGTGGGGTCCTGGGCGAGGACAGGGGGGTGAAGGGGTGGGCTTACGGGCAGTCAGGGGAGTTTGAGGAGGCTGGGGTCCCATGTTCCCTGCTCACCATCCCCATCCTGTGACAGATACATCTACCGGCTTTGCCCCTTCAAGCTCGTCTCTCAGAAGCCCAAACTTGGCGGCTCCCCCACCAGCCTCGGGTGAGTGGGTGTAGACCAGACTTCCTTCCCCCAGCTCCCCAGTCCCCTCCAGCCCCCCTCCTAAGCACCTCACTCTCCTGCAGCACCTGGGGCTCATGGGCTGGCCCCGAGCATGACAAGTTCAGCGCCATGAAGTACGAGCAGGGCACGGGCTGCTGGCAGGGCCCCAACCGCTCCACCACCGTGAGTGCTGGCAGGGCGTCCTGGCAGGGCGCGGGCTGGGGGCGGGGGTCCAGGCCCCCCCCCAAGCCCCCCTGAACGCTCACCTGCCTGCCCCAGGTGCGCCTGCTGTGTGGAAAGGAGACAGTGGTGACCAGCACCACAGAGCCCAGTCGCTGCGAGTACCTCATGGAGCTGATGACGCCAGCCGCCTGCCCAGAGCCACCACCTGAACTGCCCACTGATGGTGACCACGATGAGCTCTAGCCCTCCTGGGTGCGGAGGTGCCCACCTCAACTTTGGGGGTACAGCACGCTCTAAAGAAAAGAGCTAGGCAGGCACCTCTTCTCTCCCCACCCCTCCGCCTCCCTCTCCGTCTTTCTCATTTGGTCTCTCTCTGGTTCCAGAACCTCAAGGCTCAGAAACATCCCCAACGGTGCCACCTGCCCACCCAGCGCTCCGCCAGGGGACCGAGGCCTGCCCCTCCAGGCTCCTCACCCTGGCATTGGGGGCGGGGGTGGGGGCGGTATCCGTGTGGAGCTTTGCCCTGCTCTCAGGGGGGCTGGGCAGGGCACAGCCGCCTTCCCAGGCCCCGGTGGTCTCCAAAGGTGGAATAAAGGAGTTCCGCACCCCCTGGGCGCCCGCCCCCGCCCAGGGTGTTTGCCTCCCTCCCTGGTGGGGATGAGTGACTTGACCTGTGACCTCAAAACAATAAACACGATTCCCTCTCCCCAACCAGGCTATGTCCACCTTGCTTTCCTCAGGTATGGGATGGGCAGAGGGTGGAATGTAGGAGAGGCGGCTCTCTGCAGGTCCAGCACCCACCTCCCCTGTCAGGGTTGCGGTCTCATCAGAGCCTACATCTGAGCTGCCCGGTGGGCCCTGGAGTAAGCCCAGCGCTGCAGGGCAGATGGACCCCCCAGGCCACTTCCATCTGGGCTAATGCCTGCATTGGTTTCTCACCCACCCCAAGTCGTGTGTATGTGTGTGTGTGTGTGTGTGTGTGTAGTGGGGAGGGGCGGGGGCTCCGGATGAGAGCCAGGCCTAGGTGTGGCCACGCAGCCAGGACCAGTGACACACTCCCAGCACTCCCCACCTGCCAGCACACAGACAGCCGAGGCCGTAAGATTCTGAACTTTTATTTTCTGGCATGAAAAGTACAAATAATTAAACAATTCCATGTAAAAGTCTGTTACCGCGGCCAGGCCTGTAATCCCGGTAATAAATAGTCTAAACGCAACGCAAAGTGTTCTTGTTGGGTTTTGGGTTTTTGTGATTTTTTTTTTGTCTTTTTCTCGATTTTTTTTTTTTTTTTTTTTTTTTTACAGTTCTTTATCACCTCCAACATGGACTCTTGTCGTGATTTGAAACCTTCTGAATAAATAACAGGATGAAGGGAGGGCTGGAGGGGGCTGAGCCCCCATCCCACGGGCCCTGCCCCTGCCCCCCAGGGTTGTGGAAGACCCCAGGCCCCCTGGCCCCTGGGGTGAGGGGCTGGCCTCTGGGGAGGGAGCCTGGCTGGGCTGAGTTCTGTGTTTTAGAAAAAGAAGTCCCCTCCCAGACTTTGGGGTGTCAGGGGCCTAGGCCTCAGTGGGGAGGGGGGTGGTGTGGGGAGGTGCCCCCTCTGCAGAGCCCGGCTGCCCCAGGGTCGGGGACAGACCCAGCCCTTATTGCTCACAGACGCCCCCTGCACGCTGCCCACGTGTGCACACGTGTCCCTGCGCTCGGAGGGCGGAGGGGAGAGAGCCCCAAGAAACAGCAGAGGGAGAGGGGTGGACCCGCTGGGGGTGCCTGCCCTGCTGGAGGGGTGCTGGGAGGTTGGGAAGGACTTTAAAAACCACAAGAATAAATAGGTTCGTGTATCAAGAACAAGCTAGGGTTTTCACCAGCTAAAGAGGACTGAAAAAATTCTCAAGACGAGCAAAAATAATCCCATTAAGACCCCGGACGTCGGACGTCGCTGGCCGCGGGGACGCCCCACAGAGCACACGCCCCCCGGGCGCCGCTCGGCTACCATTACTGTTATTAATAATTATTATTACTTTAATGATTCCACTTCCCCTTTTATAAATAAATTAGGCATAACCACGTCTCAGCAAAACTTAAAGAAACAAAGAGAACATCGTGGTTCCTTTAAACTTGCAAACTGGATGAAGGAACAGAAATATACACAAATGTCCTTACAGGGCAACAAGAATAAATAGTTAACATAGCAATAAGTTAAAACTACAAGAAGCTAAATTCGGCAAAAAAGTACAAGAAAGTTAACTGGTGCCAGTTTATGTCTTTTTTTTTCCTTTTTTTTTTTTTTTAAATCTCTTCTGTGTGTTTTTTTTCTTCCTTTTTTTTTTGTCGCTTTTTTTTTTCCTCTTCTGTTTGTGTGTTTTTGTCGCTTTTTTGATTTTTTTTTTCTTTTTGTTCCTTGCAGCAGAAGCTCCACAGACGTTTACTAACAAACACCGGGAGGGGTGGGGGAGAGAGAGCTGGGCAGTCCGATGGGGCCGTGGCCGGACACCAAACGCAGGGACACGGGAGGAAGCTGAACTGGGGTTTGCAATTCTCAGTTCTGACTGGGCCCGCTGCGGGGGTGGGGGGCTGCGAGGGCTCCCAGGGGCTCCGGCCATCGGCTTCTGTTGGAAATTTTTTCTTTCTTTTTCTTTTCTTTTTTCTTTTCTTTTTTTTCTTTTTTTTTCTTTTTTTTTTTTTACAAAGAATGAAAACTAGGGGAATGGAAAGCGTCTGGACTTTCCAGACAGAAGCCGGGGCTGGGCCTCAGGATGGGGGCTGCATCCATGGCCCTCAGGAGTTTGGAAAGACGGAAAAACCCAACAAACCGAAAGGGGGTGACAAGGGGGTGGGGAGGGAATTCGGGGCTGGGCCCCTGGGCCCCGTCCACCCCCGGGGTAGGGGGAGGTTGGGGGGGGCCTGCAGGGAACAGTGGGTACTTCCTGCTGGGGAGGCCTTGGCGGGGAGGGGGAAGGCTCAGGGCCCAGCCTCCCCCCTCAGCCTCTGGGCCAGGGCCTCGGCCCAGGGAGGTTCAGCCCCGGGGACAGGGGGTCCTTTGGCCTCAAGTGTTGGGGGGGGGGCTGCCTCCAGCCCACAATGATGCCAAAAGTGAAACGAGGTATCGTGTGTTTGGATGCATGGATGCTGTGTGTGCACGCCTGTGTTCGTGGGCGGCAGGGACCACTGATGAGCCAGGAGAGAGCAGAGAACCTGGAGCTGGGCTGAGGGGGGCCATGCGTCCGGGGGAGCCCCGGGCGGCCTCGCTGGAGGAAGTGGACTGGGCCAGGGTCTGGGCTACCACCTCTCCCCTAGGCCTAAGGGATGCTATGCGCGTGTCTGTGTCTCCTGGGTATCATAGCTCTGGTTTCTCCGGGACTGGGTGTCTAGATTTGTGTCCAGTTGTGTCTGTCTCCACTCTCCCGTGTCCACGTGGAAATGTTCGCCTTCCGCAGCCACCTGCGGCTGCCTTAGCCCCCGATGATGTCTGCCCGTGGCCACATTTGTGTAACCCCACGCTTCCGAGTCTCCTGTGATTATCCACGTGTTTGTCTGCCTGTCTGGGTCTGGCCAACGAGCTCCTGAAGGTGTGTCCGGGGCGTGTCTCTGGGTCTGTCCGTGCGTGCTTCTGTGTGTCCCTGTGGGGTGTGTGTGTGCGTGTGTGTGTGCGCGTGCGCGTGTCCCCCGCGTGTCTTTGCGTGGCTGTGTTTCTCTGTGTGGCCCCGTGGACCCCCGGCCCCCAAGCCCTGCTCCCTGCCCCTGCCCCAGTTGGTAAACATAACCTGCCAAAATATTTTCTTTTTTTTTTTTGTCTTTTTTTGTGTTTTTTTTTTTCAAGTTCAAGAATCCCCAGTAAAAATTCTCCACGAGGTCTTTTTTCCCTTTTTACAAAAATAGAGTTTTTCTTCCCCTCCCACCCCCCCCTTTTTTTTCATTTTGTTTCTGTTTCCAGCCCCTCCCCCTGCTCCTCACACTCTATCCAGGGGCTCTGGGCCAGGAATGCCCACACCCCTCCTCCGTTTTGCTTTTTTGGGGATTTTTAAACCTGTTCCCCCTCCCCTCAGGCTCATCTAGGTGTTGGGGAGGCCTGGACAAGGGGGTCTGGGAGGGCACCCCCAGCGCCCCCGCAAAGCCATCCCGCGGAGGGCGGTTGAAGGTGGGGTGGGGGCACGTCTCTGCTTTCTTTTTAGCCGAAAAAAGAAACAAAAACCATCGCCGTGAACAAAACCAAGACGAGAGAGTGAACAGCCCAGCCTGGGGTGGGGGCAGGAGGACGGGGTGGGGGACCCCCAGGCACCCCCCATTCCCTGCAGACTCTCCCACCCCAAGTGCTCACCCTGTGGCTTCCGCAGGGACGCGGGGCCCTCGTGCCGTCGGTGGTCGGCCTGCGCTGTCTCTCTCGGGGCCCCTCTCTCTCTCTTTCTCTCTCTCTCTGCTGCCCGGGGAGGGTGGGGAGGGCGGCGGCGGCTCAGGCCTTGTGCTGTTTGCTGGTCTTGAAGGACACCTGCAGCACGCGCTCGCCCAGGCGGTAGCCGTTGAGGCTGGCGATGGCCATGGCCGCTTCGTCGTAGTTGGTCATCGTGACGAAGCCGAAGCCCTTGCACTTGTTGGTGGTGAAGTCGCGGATGACCTTGACGTTGGTGACGGCCCCGAAAGGCCCGAACAGCTGCCACAGCACGCTCTCGTCCGCCTCCGGCGACAGGTTGTACACGAAGATGCACCAGCCAGCGCCTGCCGCGCCCCCGGACAGGCCCACACCCGCGAGGCCGCTCATGCCGTCGATGGCGATGGGCGAGAACCTGGCGATGAGCGACAGGGGACTACTTTGGGGGTCACGCGGGCTCTGCCCTGACCCCCGGCACACCCCTGACCCCTGTGACCCCCGACACCGTTGTGACTGCTGGCTGTGCCGTGCTCCCCGCCACGACAGTTTCATGACCTCCACCTTTGACCCCACCTGACACTGTGACCTGCTCTGAGATGCTGGCCCCCAATCTCCATCCTGAGCTGTAGCCCTGGCCTGACTTCTGACCTCCCCTGAACACTGGGCCCTCACCCACAGTCCTGCCGAGAGCCCCTATCTATCCCTTGACCCCGTAACCTTTGACCCCGCTGGCTCCAGTTGACCCTGGCCCCTTCCCCACCCCTGACCACTAACCCCTCCCTTGGCACATTTCCCCACCAACTCCTGCCCTCCCCTCACTGATCCCACCCCGCCCCTGCCCTCGGCAGCGCTCCCCCCCTGCCCCGTGGCCGCCCCTCCAGGCTAGAGGCCCACCCGAAGGGCAGTGCTCGGGGCCAGGAGGGGAGTGCAGTTGGCCAAGCACCACCCTCCACTACCAGGTCTCCGCCTCGTAACTGGGCCGCTGCCGCCCCTGCCCCTTGCCAGACGTTTCCTGTTCAAGCTGTATATGGATGATCCACTCCAAGGTGCTCCAGCCCAGAAGAGCTCTGAGCGCAGCAGGCACTTGGGAGGGTTTGTTGACTGACTGACCAACCACTGAATGAATGAACACGCAGGGTCTGCTCTGCCCATGTGCCTCAGGGCCTCCCTGCCTCCCTGCCTCCCGAGGCCTCGCTTGCTCACTCAGGGGGAGCCCCAGAGTCTGACTCGGTCAGTTTGACCACTGAGGACTAATGGCTTGCTCCCTCCTGCCCCGTTCTGCCCAGGCTCTGGCACCTTGGACAGGTGAAGAGTCTCTACGGGGTCCCCATCACCCCCTCTCCGGCCCGCTTCACAGCCCTGTTCACTTGCAGGGGAAAAGTGTCTCTTTCCCCACTAGGCTGAGATAATCAATAACAGTAACGATAATCATGAGAGTGGCTACCTTTTATTGAGCGCCCACTATGTGCCAAGCCCTGTGCTCAATGCTGTTTCTTCTCCGCGAGAAGAGACCAAGTCCGGCTGGGCCCTGTTGGGTCCCCGAGCCCCAGGCCAGCGGCCGGCACTCAGTGTGTGCTCAACAGTTTACGATCAAGAAACACAGGGACCTAGGGACGCCTGGGTGGCTCAGTGGTTGACTGTCTGCCTTCGGCTCAGGTCGTGATCCCGGGGTCCTGGGATCGAGTCCTGCACTGCGTTCCCCATGGGGAGCCTGCTTCTCCCTCTGCCTGCGTCTCTGCCTCTCTCTCTCTGTGTCTCTCATGAATAAATAAAATCTTAAAAAACTCAAAAACAAAAAACTCACAGGGACCTTCACAGGGTCAGGGAGGTGGACAACGTTGTGCAAGCCTCAAGGTCCATCCTGGACTATGGGGCAGAAGGGGGGTATTCTGTGACCCTCAGCAAAGACCATCAACAGTTGGCAGATGGAACTCAGACTTAGCGTGGGAACCAGGGGGCATGGGTGTGACCAGGCAACATGGTCCACCTTCCCTGGGCTGGAGCGGGTCCCCCCAGACAGCCCCTCCCAGGGCCCCAGTTCTGTAGTAGCTCTTTCTAGGCATTCACTAGGCTCCGTAGCCCCTAATTCTCTAAATGGACACGCTACTCCGGGGCAAGGGGCAGACACACGGCTGAGCTGGCGGTCCTGGTGGTGGCGGTGGGGAGGGGGCCCACTGGGGCAAGAGTCCAAGGAGGGACAGTGGGGAGCTGGGGGCAGCAGGGCGGGGGCACTGTTACCTCTTGACTCCGTAGGCCATGTTGAGCAAATTATCCAGCCTGTGGAAGCAAAAGGGGTGGTCACCGGTGGCCTCCGGGCACACCCCCAGCTGTGACGCTGGCCGGTGGCCGGCCTGCCCTCCCTGCCCCCACCCAGCAGGCCAGCAGCCCAGCCCTGCCCCCACCCGCCTGCTCCCCGCCCGGCTGGACACCGCCTGGCACGGAACCGTGATCACTCGGGCGCTGCCTCTCGCCTGCCCTGCCGCTGCCTGGCCTGTGCCCGCGTCCTGTCCTCCCCATCCCAGCCTGCCCAGCCCCACTCGCCTGCCCCCACCCTGCGGGGCTCGGGGCCCCAGAAGGGAAGGTTCAAGCCTCTTTTTGGCAGAGCCCAGCCTGGCGAGTGACAACACCTCTCTGTGCCTTAGGGTCCCTGTTGGTAAAATACAGGCAACACGAGCTCCGTGCTCATGAGGTCTAGACACCAGGAGACACAGAGGGCTGGAGCCCCATCCCCGACGGAGGGGGGGCCCCCATCAGGTGACTCTAAAGCGCTTTTTTTTGTTGTTCTTTGACTCTAAAAACTCCCAACACTGATAATGCCACTCCTAGTGCCCTGCGCCCGTCCGTTGAGGGCCTGCCGGGTACAAGGGCCTGGCCTCAGCCTCTGACCGGCCCACACATTTCCCATCTGCTGCCCTCAGTGTGGAACCCCTCCCAGGGTCCCTCTGCCCTGGAGGAACGGGGTTCAGGAAGGGTGGCTGCAAGGCTGGGGCCCCCAGCGTGGGGGTCTTGGTGCCCGGGGCTGGGTGGCGGGGCGCTCACCGGAAGCGCTGCGTCTGGTGGTGCAGGGGGCCTGCGTAGCGCCGGGCCGACGACTGGTAGAGGTGAGTGAGCAGGGCCTGCCCAGTCTTCTGACTCGGGTTGTTGGCGAACTTGACCGTGATGGGCTCGGCTGCGCCCAGCGGCTTCTGCCCATTCAGTCCTTTGATGGCCTCCTCGGCCTCAATCCTCTTGTCGAAGCGGATGAACCCCACGCCCCGAGAGACACCTGCCAGGGAGTGAGGGCACGTCATGAGGGCGCATCACCCGCCCCTCCCCGGCCCAGTGCCCTGCCAGGCGCAGCGTCCCCGCAGCCTACCTGTGACCTGGTCCACCAGGATGCGAGAAGTGATGATGCGGCCGTACTGGGAGAAGAGCTGCTCCATTTCTTTCTGGCTCATGGTCTTGGGGAGTCCGCTGACGTACAGGTTAGCATCGCGGATGGATGCAGAACTGGGTCTGGCATAGGACACCTGGAGTGGGGGCCCAGGTGGGCAGAGGTGAGGGGAGGACCCGCTTCACAGATGGGGAGAGGGAGGCCCCGTCCCGACCACCAGGGAGCTGCAGAGGCGCCTCATCTGGTCCCTCAACAAATATCTCTCAAGTCACCTCCCTGGGTGGTGCCAGCCAGGGCATGGGGGAGGGGACGTGGCCCTGGCCGACAATGAGGCCCGGCCTGCATAAAGTGGTGGGGGAGACCCGTTGCTGGGTCAGATGTCTCCCCAGGACCTCGAGCCCCCAGCCCCTGAGCTCACGCCGTACACTCCAACAACATGAAATTTCCTGCTCCTTTGGAAGGTGAGCCCAGGACTGTGGCCCTTCTTTCTGACCACATCGGGGCCCGCGGGGCCACCCAGGTCTTTACCCACCAGCTCCATGCTGATGACTCCCAAACGTCCGACTCTAGTGTGGGCCTGTGTGACACCTGCCTCTGGGCGCCCCACGAGGTCTCACAGGCCGTCACACTCTGTGAGGCTGCACCCAGCTCCCAACTGCTCCCAACTTGGCCCAGTTCAGTAACTGTCCCCAGTGCCTGTCTTTCACACGGACACCCAATCCACCACCGATCCTTCCTCATTACTTGGAATCCACACACTCCCAATTCCACTGCCCCACCCTGGCCCACCTCCCACTATCGCTCGCCCAGACCAGTACAGCAGCCTCTACCCCGGTCCCCACCCCCCAGTCTAACCTCCCATCTCTTTCCTCTACAGCTGCCAGAGGGCGCCTGTGAGCAACTGAGTCAGGGCACATCCTTCCATGGCTCAGAACCTTCTGTGGCTCCCACTTTCTCCAGAGTAAAAGTCCTTCTCACAGCCCACAAGGCCCCACACAACCTGCCCATCACCCCACCCCCTCACTCCCATCTCTGCCCAGATCGCTCTGTTTCAGCCACACCAGTCTCTGTGTTCCCCAAACACACCAGGCACACTTCAGCCAGGAGGCCTTTGCTCTGGTTGTTCCCCTCGGCCGGGAACATCCTTCCTCTCCGCTCTTCTTTTGTCTCAGCTCAAATGTCCTCCCTGTCCTCTCTCATCTGAATTTGGTCCTCCGCCCCTACCCACCCGCCCCCGTCACTCTCTCCAAGCACTTCTCTCAGTCGTGAATTGGACACGTTTTAGTATAATCTTTCGATTTGTGTCATTAATTATGGTCCAGTCCAACAATGAAACTCTCTGCAGCTGTTTAAAAAATGGTGGACGTGTATATTTATTTCCCCGAAACAGTGGCGAGTATTGTAAACTGAGGGAAAGAAAAGTCCATTTACAGAGCAGCCAGTTGTGTGACCCCATCTCATTGTGTGCTTATCAGTGTCCTGGAAACACAGTCTGGAGGGGCCCCCAGATGCTAACAGGTTGACCTATAGCTTCCAGGGGCACCGGGCTGGGGCATGAGCGTCTCTATTTCTGCCAGGGTCTATTCTCCGTCTCTTTCTAAATTAACCTCTAGGTAGATAAGGGTCATTGTCAAGGGTCTGGCTTTCGTTTGGGGTGGTGAGTTGTGAGGGCATATCATTTCATTAGAGATGAGTAATTAAAAAACTAACAAAAGGAGTCAATGGGGCCAGGGGTGGGTCTGGGTGAGAGCCTCATGGGCTGGAGGTAGAGGGGTTCTAATTAATGCAATTGTGAGCACTTGGGGTCCTCCAGGAAACAAACACAAACACCGCAGCTGCTCTTTTTCCTGTAGTAATAATTAAAAATCATAGCCATGTACTTGATGGTTTCCACTCTGGCTTGTGGGGCTGTGAGTTTTGAGGGGTGAGGGTTTGTTGACGAATCAAAGTTAGGGGTGAGGGGAAGGCAAGCCTGAGCTTCTGAGTGGGTGTTTGGGGTCAGAAGTCACTTGAGGCACTGAGTAGGGCTTCAGGGGTCTTCTCCATCCCCACATGATGGGGGCTGACCCAGGTCCCTCACCTGGGTGTGCGCTAGGCCAGACGTGACTAGGGCAAAATCTGCCAGAGCACCCAGTCGGGACCGGCCATACAACAGTGCCACCCAGGCAGACACACAGACAAGAGGCCACACTGTGCCACCCACTGCACAGCCCCGGTGACTGCACCAGCAAAACGGTGACTCAAGGCTGCTAAGACATTCACAGAAGCTCTGGGGGTCTTCAGTAATTACAGTAAGAGTCGCAGAACCACACACCTGTCACCACTGCACAAGCCCACGTCACACCCGTTCCATCCCGAATAGGGCACAGGTAGACACACCCACACAACTTCACTCTGCCACACAAACACCTTGTCACAGCCAGACACACCCACACAGCCCCACCAGGTCACAGTCGGAGTCCCAGTGTGTCACAAAGCACCTGTGAAATAAACACATCCTACAGACACACAGTGACACACTCGAAGTCTCTAACAGCCAGACTCATGCGACAACAGACACATAGCCGCGGTGTCCCACAAACACAATGGCTCACAGCCCAGGGTATCTCACACACACATACACACACGCTCACTGCATCACATGCATGATGGCCTCTGGATTTGTCACCCTCATGCTCCAGGGCTTCTGGGTCTAGTTGGCCATGGAGAGAGACTCATCAGGTCATGACCTCATCCTCCCCCACCATGCAGAATAAGAGGAAGAGATTCCTGCACCTCACTTCCCAGAGACAACTGGGGCCAGATGGGCACCCCCAGTGTAGCCTCCCCCAAGGTTCCAGAGCAGATTTGTGGGGCGGAGTCCAGACACCCCCAGGCAAACCTAGAGAGGGGGGTTTCCATGGCGACCCCCCCCAGGGAACCTGGGCTAGCAGAGTCCCAGCTGCAGCTGCTGAGAGGGGAGGTTGTGGGGGGAGGGGCATTGCACAAAGGTGGGGGAGGGGCTCGCCCCTAATCCCGCCCTCCCAGACCCTAATTAGGCTCCAGATGGCAGATGGGCCCCCACCCCTCCTCCATTTCCATGACAAAGGCAAGGGGACTGCCCATCAGACCCTGGTCACTCTTCTACTGCCAATGGGATGGCTACTTCCCCGAGCCACCAGAGAATGTGGAGCTCATATTCTCTGACAAACGAGGAAACTGAGTTTCAGAGAGGAAGAGTCTGGGCCTGCGTGCCCAGCTAGGAATTCTTGGGGGAGAGTTTGAACCACTGAGGGGATGAACCATGGAGGAGATGGGTGGGTGGGAAAAGGGGTTTGTGGCAGGGGAGGTGGCTGTAGGCATTAAGTGGCAGTGAAGGGGGCAGTCCAAGTGGGCAGTAATAAGGGAGATTGGGGATAGTTGTAGATGGGCAGTAATGGGGGACAGGCAGCAGAGAGAAATGAGGAGGGCACTAACCTTGATGGTCTTCGTCTGCAGTTTGAGGCCGTTGAGGGTGTTGATGGCTTTGTCTGCATCGTTGGGGTCAGAGTAGTTCACAAACCCATAACCAAGGCTCTGCCCTGTGGGCAGGACCAGGATGATGACCTCCCCACACATACCCGTGTCCTCCCAGACCCAGTCCTGAGAGGCTGACTGCCATTGCTCAAGGTTGTGAGAACTAAGATCCCCATCTTACTGTTCCCCCCGAGTACTACCCTGTCCCTAGGACACCTCAAATCCCCCAGAGTCCTGCTTGCTCCCATCACCCCTGAGATACCTCACCAGGGATCACACCTGTCTCCCCATTATACGTCGGATCCCCCAGGGTGCTACTTGCCCCCATCACACCTGTACTCCTGACACTACCACCTCTGTCTCCTCCCTCCCCACCTGCCAGCAGCCACACCTGTGATCTTATCTCGAACCAACTTGCAGGATTCAATGTCACCAATGCTGCCGAAGAGACTCTTGAACTCATCCTGGGTCATGTTCTGGGGCAGGTAGTTGACGATGAGGTTGGTCTTGCTGTCATCAGTGGCTCCGTTTGTACCAAGGAGTGGCCCGTTGGGCAGGGCCGGGCCGGCCGGGCCCCCCGCCACCTGAGACTCCATGGCCCCGAGTATCTGCTGGAGACAACAGGCCACACCCGCTCACGGCCCAGTCCCTACTCAGGGATCAGTGGGATTGAGGAGGGGCTCAGTGGTGATGGATCAGTCATGTCTGACATGGGCTTAAATATGGAGAGAGGACAAGTATTATTCTAATAATCCCTACCATTCCTCCAGCATTAGGCAAGCACCTTACATGTGATTTTACTGTGAGAAATTCCATATATAGATGCCATATATATCTGTTTGCTATGTTTGCCTGTCTAAAATCAATTTGTGCATTTCTAGAATAATAAAATGAACATTTTTGTTTTCAGAATAAGAAATATAATATTTTTATTAGCTTTGAAGTCCTCATAAGCTTCTCCCTGACCACATACTGCCCTCCTGCCACCAAAGGTAATTCCTATCCCAAATGTGTTAGTATTTTTTTTGCTTCATCCATAATTTTCCCACTAGGCATTCATTACCCTCCCATGCCCAGGTTTTCCACTGAGCTATTTTTTATCATTTTTATTTATTTTTAATTTATTTTTAATATTTTATTTATTTATTCATGAGAGACACAGGGAGAGAGGCAGAGACATAGGCAGAGGGAGAAGCAGGTTCCCTGCAGGGAGCCCGACATGGGACTCGATCCCCAGACTCCAGGATCACGCCCTCAGCTGAAGGCAGATGCTCAACTGCTGAGCCACCCAGGAGTCCCTCATTTTTATTATTTTAAAATTTTTTCATTTATTTGAGAGAGAGGGAGAGAAGAGGGGCAGAGGGAGAGGGAAAGAGATAATCTCAAGGAGATGTCCCTCTCACCCTCAGCACTAAAACTGACACGGGGCTCAATCCCCCACAACGCTGAGATCACAACCTGAGCTGAAATCAAGAGTCAGGTGCTCAACTGACTGAGCCACCCAGAAGTCCCTATTACTTTTTAAAAATGTTTTATTTTTAAGTAATCTCTACCCAATGTGGGGCTTGAACTCACAACCCTGATATCAAGAGTTGCATGCTTTACTGACTGAGCCAGCCAGGTGCCCTTGAGCTATTTAAATGTATAACGAACATAATAACACCAGCAAATAATGACAGTTTTATTTATTTATCTCTAATCTATACCTGTTATTTATTTTTCTTGTCTTTTTTATTATTTTTTTATTTATGATAGTCACACACAGAGAGAGAGAGAGAGGCAGAGACACAGGCAGAGGGAGAAGCAGGCTCCATGCACGACGTGGGATTCGATCCCGGGTCTCCAGGATCGCGCCCTGGGCCAAAGGCAGGTGCCAAACCGCTGCACCACCCAGGGATCCCTATTTTTCTTGTCTTATTGCAGGGGTTACATTGTGGTAATGGCTTCTTTATTCATAATGTTAAAGGAAATGCTTTAAACATTTCACAGCTAAATTTGACTTTTGCTGTGGGTTTTCATGTTATGAATGTTTAATTTTATTCCTAGTATCCTAACAAGATTTTTTTTAAGAATAGATGTTGAATTTTTAAAAAGATTATTAATTAATTAATTTATTAATTATATTTATTTATTCATGAGAGAGACACACAGAGAGAGAGAGAGAGAGGCAGAAACACACGTAGAGGGAGAAGCAGGCTCCATTCAGGGAGCCCGATGTCGGACTCAGATCCCGGGACTCCAGGATCACGGCCTGGGCCGAAGGCAGGCGCTAAACCACTGAGCCACCCAGGGATCCCCTAGATGTTGAATTTTATTTAACTTATTAAAAAAAAAAAGAAAAAAAAAAGAAAAAAAACAACTTATTTCTTACATCTATTTTTAAAACAACTGACATATAATGTTACATTTAGTTTCAGGTGTATAACACAATGATTCAATATTTGTATATATTGCAAAATTATCTCCATTATAAGTCTAGTTAACAACCATCATCATACATAGTTATAATTTTTTTCTGTGTTGAGAACTTCTAAGATCTACTCTCTTAGAAGTATTTAGCAATTTTCAAAAATATTCTACATGTATTTTACACATAAGGACCACACAGAGAAGACTTTTAAAGCCACATCTGGGCTCAGCAGGAAACAGAGCTGGGATTATCTGTCATGGGCATGGGAAGGTAAAGTACCCAACCATTTCCTTAGGTTTTCTCCTATGGCATTGTTGGCAGATGGGTTACCCTCACTTGAAAAATCAAATTGATTGCTAGGGTTTTCACAAAGGGATGAATTAGGAAGGATTAGAAGCCATATTCAGTTTCAGCAGGAGAGATCACTGTGATTGATTAGCAAGATCTTTGTGACCACAGAATTAGAAAGTGTCAGCAGGTATACTTCATCTCAGCCATCCCTGACCCAAAATACGATACCATACTTGTTCCCAAATATTGGGCATACTGTGTGCCAGGCACCGTGCAAAGCCCTCTACAGGAAAGGTTGTTGTTGTTTTTTTCCTTATTCTCGACCACCCTGAAAAGAGTTCTTAATTTTTTCTTCTTAACAGACGCTGTGAACTGAATGCCTGTGTCCCCTCAAATTTATATGTGGCAACCTTAATCCCCAATGTGATGGTATTTGGATGTGGAATCTTTGGGAGGTAATTAGGTCATGACGGTGGAGCCGGAATGAATGGTATTCATGTCCTTACAAAAAGGGACAGGAGAGAGATGATCTCTCTCTCCACCATGTGAGGACACAGCAAGAAGATATCCATCTGCAAAACAGGGGGCAAGTCCTTACTAGAAACCAAATTGGCTGCTACTTTGATCTTGGACTTCCCAGTTTCCAGAAGAAGATTTATGAGAAATAAATGTCTGCTGTTTAAGTCTCCCAGTTTATGGCATTTTGTTAGAGCAGCCCGAGCTAAGACAAGAGATGAGGAAAGCTAAGTTCAGCAATGTTTTAAAAATTACTGGGGATCCCTGGGTGGCTCAGTGGTTTAGCACCTGTCTTCAGCCCAGGGCGTGATCCTGGAGTCCCTGGGATCGAGTGCCACGTCGGGCTCCCTGGATGGAGCCTGCTTCTCCCTCTGCCTGTGTCTCTGCCTCTCTCTCTCTCTGTGTCTCTCATGAAGAATAAATAAAATCTTCTATAAATAAATAAATAAATACTAACGGTCACACAGGTTATAAATGGCGTGACAGGGATTTGCACAGGAGTTTTTCTGATCTACAGTCTGTATTTTCAACTTTCACTGCCAATGAAGAATAGTGCTAGCTCTAACGTTTCTCAGCTGTGTGTCCTTGGGTAGGCTCCACAAAGCTTCTGGGCCTCAGCTCCACTTTGCGGCAAACTCCAAGTTACTGGCACAGTGACCCCAGGGAAGGATCTAAAGCCACATATGGGTGCAGCTGCAAAGCATTCGGGATCAGGTCTGCCATGGGCACAATCACAGGAAGCAGCTTATCATGTCTGTCATCCCTGCCTCGTAAATACTGCTATTAATACTGGTCCTGCTCCATTGACATCTTCTGTGTGCCAGGCACTGTGTGAAGTGATGCCTGGAAAGGCATCATTTCACTTATTATTCCCAATCATCTTTAGAGACAGCAACACATTCTCCATTTTATAAGTGAGGCAACTGAGCTCAGACGTCGAGGGATATGAGGGATATGTTTTAAAGACAGTCACCAATGCCTGGGGGCAGCTTTGCCACCTCATAGGTGTGTGTCCTCAGGGATGATCTTAGCTCTTCTCTGGGCCTCTGTTTCCTTTTCGTTTACTCTTATCAAAAGGATGGCAATGGAGGGTCAACTCCCCTGCATCTCCAGTTGGCTGAGAGTGGCTGTCTGGGGGCTTCCGGGAGAGTTATTCTGAAGCCTCGTCCAGACTGAGCAGGAACACACACTGGGTCGATTAGCAATGTCTGTCCCAGGCGTCTGTGATAAAGCAGTAACGCACACTACAGGTCTGCATCCAGTTTCATAAGATTCATACTTCACCAATGGCCACGTATGGGTGGCCTGTTATGTGCCAGACAAAATCCTTTATGTGAAAATTTCCGGGCAATTCTTCCAACATTGAACAGTATGGGACTCTTTTCTTCATTTAACAGGAGAGGAAACAATCTTGGTGAAGGGGTGGGGATTTCCACGAGGTTGGGTGGCATGCAAATGGCATATCTAGAAATCAGATCTGGAGGACCCCTGGGTGGCTCAGTGGTTGAGCGTCTGCCTTTGGCTCAGGTCATGATCCTGGGGTCCTGGGATCGAGTCCCACACAGGGAGCCTGCTTCTCCCTCTGCCTATGTCCCTGCCTTCTCTCTGTGTGTCTCTCGTGAATAAATAAATAAAATCTTAAAAAAAAAAAAGAATTCAGATCTGGAGCTTGGACATCAGAACCTACTTTACTAACAAAAAAGGCTAATAATAGTAAAAACAACAGCAAAGTGAAACCAAGCACTAACTCTACACCTAGCCCAGGCATGACTACATTTAAACTCACTCTGTTGGCCGAGTCTACCCATTCAATTCAACAAATGTTTACTGGGTGCCACCATATGCCGGCTCCTGGCTCCACCTTCCTCACTGTGTATCCTCCGACACTCATACTGCCTCTCTGAGCCTCTGTCCCTCCACTAAGGATATGGCACAGAGATTCCCTAACACAAAGATGGATTCTGAATTCCCTTCTGGGCTCAGCAAACTAGAGTTCTGTGATTGGCTGATGACGTCTTCTATGGGAACCCCCTCCCCCAATAATTAGCAGTACACAAGCCACTGTTTCAGGACACAGCAGGTTCCAGCTTTGGAACCCCGACTATGTGTCAGGCACTGAGCAGGTGCAAAGGTTTCGTTGACTTCCCACAAGCACACTGAAAGCTGGAGATCATCTTCTCCACTTCTTAGATGTTGGAATTGAGGGTCAGAGTGACCTGTGATTTGCCGGGGAGTGATGGGAGGCGGTGGTAGTGATGAAGTTTGACTACTGATCTGACTACCCCAGAGCCTACAGAGCCACCCCAAAAATCCTCAACTTGGATGGGGTTAAAAGGTAATTGGGATCTTGAGAACCAGCCTACTAATCTCCCCAGCACCCCATCTCCCTCCCATCTGTGCCAGAGCTTAGCAGGATCAGTGTCGCGTTTCCTCTGCAGCTCAGCCGGCTGAGCCGCTAATAGGGATCGGATTGGTGGAGACCACACCCGCCCTGCCCCAGCCCACAGCAAACGCATGGCCTGGGATGACTCGGGGATCGCAGGGACCTTGGAGGGCTGTCCCAGGTCAGGAGTGAAGAGGTGAATTCAGAGAGGAGGAGGGTAGATCCAGGATGGAGAGGCAGAGATCAACTGGGGGCAATGGAACCTTCCCTCCCAGTCTCTCCAGCTCTTCCTCTGGATCTCTCTTTCTGTTTCTCTCTTCCTCCCCCCCCTTCCTCCCCCCCCTTTCTCTGTCCTCTTCTGCCCTCTGAACCCGTCTGTCTTCCCCCCTTCTCTGCCACTGTTTCTTCAACTCTTTTGCACCATTGCACACACATATGACATAAGGATTTTGCAGTGAACACCTACAGTCACTTGCCATGTAGATCCTCCTGTGTCTGACCCCTTTGGCCCCAGCTGTGCCCCCTGGCCTCAGCCACAGTGATAGATGCCTGGATGCTGGCGACAATAAGGCATTGAGTGGCTATGCATGGTGAGGCTGGGCCACCACGTGGTGCTAACTAGGCCTCCCACTTCTGGGTCCTTCTCTCTCCATGTAGGGCCCTCACTGTCTTAGTTTATCCCCTCACTTCCTCCCAGCCTGTCGGCATGGTGGACCTCTGCCTGAGTGCCCTCCAGTGGAGTAACCAGGCCTTTCAGGGCTTCAAGGCCCTTGTGTGACCTCTGACCACACCCTTGCCCCTTTGTGCATCAGTTTCCCTCTTTCAAATGAAGGAACAGATCAGGGGAATGGATGTTGGGCTGTTGTGGGGGTTCTGAGAGTCCTCAGGAGGCTGCACTCGCGTTCCTGCACCTGGGTTGGCAGCCTGAGGCCCAGAGAGGGGAGGGAGCCGGCCTAAGGTCACACAGCAGAGAAGCATGGCCTCTCCTGCCTCCTTTCTCCGAGCCAGGTGGGCGGGTCCCAGGGTCCCCTGTAGGGAGGGAGCGCTGAGCATCCCTCCACCCACTGTGCTCGCCACCACTCCAAGAAGAGGCACAGAAAGAGACACAGTGCACAGAGACGCGCACACACACAGACCGGAAAGGCAGTAAGTACGGAAGAAGGAGGCCTGGGCGCTGGGACCAGACAAAGGACGCGCGGCGGCGCGGGGAGCGGAGTCGCGCGGCGGGGGCGGGGGTGGAGCCGGGGTGGGGCTAGAACTGGCCAGCCCCGCCCCCGGGATACGCCCGGGTTGCCGAGTGGAAATCCGAGGGCTCGGGCGAGGCCGGGCCCTGGGGGCCCCAGGGGGCGGGGTCCAGATGGGCGGGGCAGGGGCGTGGTTATACAGGGCGTGGCCGGGCGTGGCCGCGGGTTCGGGAGCTGACCAGCTCGGTGGCTGCTGAAAGCACCGGGAGTGGGGCGAGCGGCGCGGGCGGGCGGGCGCTCTCAAGGTCACCCCGAGGCCCAGAGCCCTGGCAGGGTGGGGCGCCTGGACCTGGCTTAGGGGACATCCCCGAGCTCCTTACCCCATCCCCCGTGGGGCGGGGGCCCAGCCGTCAGGAAGCCCCCCCGCGGGCCCTCCTCTCCCCTCCCCCTCCCCGAAGCCTGAGGCGCCCGCGCGAGGCTACAGCCCGCTAAGAAGCTCCGAGAAACAAAGGGACGCGGCGGCAGCGGCGGCGGGCCCGCGGGGCCTCCGGGCGCGCCCCCTCCTCTCCCCTCCCCGCTTGCCGCAAGGTCGACGGGCTCGAGGACGAGACGCCCGGCTCCCCGGGCGCGGCCACGGCCCAGGGCGCGCGATCCGACGCCACCCGCTTTCCCGGGGTTCTCGGGGACGGCTTGCCGCCTTGTCCTGGCCCAGCACCAGTGATTAGGGCCCTGCGTTTGCCTGGGCGGCCTCCGGGGTCCGGGCCTGGATGGAGAAGGCATCCTCCGCTGCTGCGGCCCCTCCCCCATCAGGCCTGCTGGAAGGGGGCAATTCCGCCCCCAGGGCGCTGTAGGACGTCTCCCCGAATCGGAGTTCGGCTCCCTAAGGCCTCTCAGGCCAGACTCTATGCGCCCCCAGTACTCTGGGTGCGGCCCTGCCCACTCTCAGGCCCCGAGGCTCGATCCTACCCCCCCCACCGGGGCCTAGCTAGGCCTGGTCCTACCCCCCCCCATCTCCGCGGAGCCTGTGCCTAACCCCTCCCCAACCAGGTTCCATCTCATCTCAGCGACAAGGGAATACCTACAGTGACCATTCTTGTGTGCCCGGCGGGCGCGGTCCGTGTTGAGGGCGGCTCCGGGGTCGTGCACTCCTTGGGGGGCGCTCGATGCTCACTCCGGGGTCCTGCCCGGGCGGCCTCTGGCGCGGCCGCTGCAGAGGTGTAGATGAAGGCGGCGGCTCCCTCGAGGGCCGGGGACGGGCCCGAGCCCGAGGACGCGCGCGCGGATAGCCGGGCCCCGGGGTGGCCTGCGGGCGGCAGGGGATGGAAAGAGGGAGCGGGCGCGGGATTGAGAACGCCCCCTGCGCGGCCCCGCGGGGCCCGGGGAGGTTGCGCTTCCTGACAGAGATCGCGGCGCTCTGTCTTTCGCCGCCGCCCCTCGGCCGGGCCTGTCCGGTCCTGGATGCTCAGTCCGCTCCCCTCGCCCGCCCTCCCTCCCACCCTCCAGCCCGCGCTGCGCGCTCCGCGCTCTGGGCCGCGCCGCCGCCGCCCCCAGCCCTTTATAGGAGCAGCTGCCAGAGCCGGCGTCGCTGATTGGCTGCGGCAGTTGAGCCCCGCCTCCTCGCGGCGCCCGACGGCGCGGCAGGTGGAAGCGAGCGCGCGCTGGCTGGGACTCGGCACCCCCCAGAAAGCACGCCCTGGGGGCCCGGGTTGCCAGATTCAGGCCCTTTTGCCCCCGTGGGCCCTGCTTCCTGCACTGCCGCCCCTTCTCGGGCGGGCTTTCTGCCGGAAAGACAGGGACGGCTCCCTCCTGTGTCCAACACCCTGAGCGGTTGGAGCGAGGAGAGCGAGGAGATACCGGTGGCCCGATTGTAAGAACTTCCGGAGTTGCTGTCCACCAAGAAGACTGGAAAGGGTCGAGGAACCAAGATTTCTATGAGCAGAGACCAGGTCCCCATATTTGGGGGCTGCAGGTGTAGCCTCCCAATGGAGAAAGGTGGGGATGGCAGGGGCTCTCATCTGCCTGCAAAAGGAACTGGGACCCTGCGGCTTTTGAGTGAGTTAGGTTCAAAAGGTTGGCTCGAAAGGTGGGGACTGTTACCCTATAGTGCAAGGGCACTCGGCACTTCTCCAAAGGGGGTAAAGAAGTTTGGGGTTTAGGATTCCCTAAACCTGGCGCCCTGAGGTTCCGGGAAAGCACCGGTTCTTCTCAGGCCCCATAAATTTTGGGTGGGCGGATCTGTTGTATAAACGTCCTGGCTTTCCGGGCTCGTGATTGGCCTGCCTGTGGAGTCGTACTTCTTCTCAGCTAGGGGGAACCTGGCTTCTCTCTTAGGAGGTAGCGGTTGGCGCAGCCTCCTTTGGTGCGCGGGCTCAAGGGCACGTTTACGTCGTCGGGACGGCTGTCAGGCGGGAGGAAGTGTTCTTACTAGGGCAGGGTCGCCTTCGACTGAGACTTCAGCACCACAGACAGCGGCCCGACGGTCTGGCCGAGGACTCTGCGGGCTCGGTAGCACGAGACCCCTTATCTGGGAGTCGCAGCCTCCACCCTACCCTCGTCCCTGCACGCCCTTTCAGGTTCCAGACTGTAGCGAGAATGCCATCAAACCCAGCGAGGAGAGCCTAATTGGACCAATCAGGGACTGCCCTCGAGAGAACCAATTGCGGGAGGATGCCCTCGAGATTGAGCCAATGAGAGAGCGCGCAGCAGAGAGCACTGACACGCCAAAGGAGAAAACAGGCCAATCACAGTGGCCCGCGCAATCTGGGCGGTGGCGTTGCAGGTCCCCGGGTGGCCCCTCTTGGTTCTGCCCGGGCGACCTGGCTGTCGAACCTAGAGACCCCGAGCGATGACTTGTTCCCCACCCGGTGTTCCTCCCGGATTGCAAATTGTGCCTGTGCCGGGAGGGGCGCTCCTCCGGGGCGCGCAGACCCGGCTGCGGTTTCCATGGAAACTGCTGGCTCTGGATGTGCGGGGATAGCGAAGGGGACTCAGCCCTGGGGGACTTAGGGAGCTCGCGTGGGTGGCCCCAGCGGCCGGACTTGCTCATCCTCGCCGACACTCCCGTCCCTGCTTTGGACAACTCCTGGTCCAAAGTGTAAAATAAAGCCTAGCTGCGGCCCCGCCCCCACGAGCTGGTGAGGAGCCAAGGGGCCAATCTGCGCGTGGCGCCACAGGGCTCCCTCGGGCACGTGCCCGGGCTCGCGGCTGCGGTCCCCCGGGTCACGTGGCTGCGGCCACCAGGGCCCACGCAGCTTGCGCGCCACCTGGCGGCCGCCGGCCTCGTATCGCTCCCCGCCTCTCTTGCGGGCGGCCAGCAGGAGGCGGCGGCGACCTCAGCATCCTCCTCCGGGAAATGGGGCCAGGGCAGCCGCCCCGTCGCTGCCAACTCCCCCCTCCCCCACCTCGGCTTCCTGTTCCAGGAACACGCCGAGCCGTTCTACCTCGGGGTTTTGGCACTGGCTGTTCCTTCGGCCTGGGATTTGCCTCCTCCAGCTTTCTTCAGGGACGGAACCTCCTTGTCATTCTGGTCTATGCTCAAATGCCACCATTTCAAAGAGGACCTCCCTGACCACCGATTTAAACAGCCAGAAACTAACACATCACTCTATTTCCTGCACAGCACTTGTCACGGCTGTAGAGGTCTTCCTCGGGGGTCTACTGAACATCTTCCCAACTGGTCCCTGAGCTCTCTGAGGGTGAAGAATGTATGTTCCGTGAAGGACTTAGGAGTGGGCATCAGGATCCTGACTCTTGGGAGAGGTCCGGTGGCCTCCCGGGCTCCCAACCTCCTGCCCCTGGGCCTGTGACAGTGTTCAGAGCTACCAGGCTCGGATAGCTGAAGCATAGCAGAGGCTGTCAGGAAAGGGCATTGTTCAGCAGGTAGGGGCATCATCGCCTGTCTCGGCCTTCTCAGGAAGGGACCAGGATGGAGACAAAGAGGGGCCCGGCCCCCCAAATCATCCAGGCCTAGGGGAAGGGCGTCTCCTTTCTCGCTCTTTAATCTCACTCTGCTCTCTTGACACAGTTCTAGCAGCCCCAGGCGCCACCTCCAGAAATAGGGCGGGGTTGGGGGGGGACCAGCCCCGGGGGGCCCAGCCCTGGGGCAGGGCAGGGGCGCCTCCTTCCGGCCCGCGGTCCGGGAGGCCCCCGCGGCTGTCCGGCCCCGGCCAGCCCGGGCGTGGTGTCCGAGCGGACGAATAAATAGGGGTGGTCAGTGGTTGGATGGGTCAGGCTGGCTTGTGGTCCGGGTGGCTTTTGAGCGTGTGGAACTTGACGCTGTCCAGCTTCTCGAAGCGCTTCCCGCAGCGCTCGCACGTGAAGTTGTACTGCACCTCGGCCGTGTGCTTCTTCATGTGCCAGTTGAGCGACGCGCGCTGCCGGCACTGGTAGCCACAGATCTCGCACCTGCCGGGAGCCGGCGGGCGACACCGGGGGCGGGGTCAGCCTGGGGTGGGGCCGCATTGGGGGCGGGGGCCAAGCTCCGAGGACCCGACGCACCCCAGAGCCCGTGGGGTGGACCCGCCCTCTGCCCGCCCAGGCCCAGACTCCCTCCCTGTCAGCCCCCGGTCACTCACTGCAGGGGCGTCTCGCCGGTGTGCGTGCGCCGGTGTACCTCCAGGTGGTTCTTCCTCTTGAAGGACTTGCCGCAGGTTTCGCAGGTGAATTCACGGACACCTGGGGGAGATGCGGGGCTGAGCACGGCGCCGTCGGGGGCGGAGGCTGCGGGACGTCGCCCCGGCGCCGCCGAACCCGGGTGTCCCCGGCGGTCTCCCGAACCTCTGGACGCAGGCAGCCCCGGGAGCCCTGGAAGCCTCGACTCTGGTAACGAGGGCGGTTCATACCGACGGCCTCGTGTGGGGCTCAGAGGCTGTCCGGGAGGGCGTCGGGGCAGAGCTGGAATGGGAGCTGGGCTCCATGGGAGGCACGCAGAGCAAGCCGTCAGGCCAAAGTGGGTCTGAATATGACCCCAATGTATGAACTTCGGGGCGATTTCATGTAAAAATTCAAAGTTCCCGCCTCTTGAAAAATCTGAAGCCGTCCCCTCCCGCTGGACGCAGGCAGCACAGCTACCCACTGAGTCAGCCGCCCATGCCCTGGGTGGCACTCCCAAGCGGGAGGGGGCAGTCCTAAGCCTGGGGACCCAGTGCTCGCTGGGGCTTCAGCCAGCCTGCTCCGGCCCTAGATCCGACGCCCATGGCCCTACGCCCTGTGCTGCCAGCCCCATCCTGGGCCTGACCTGAATGGATGATCATGTGCCGCCGCAGGTGGTTGGATAAATAGAACTTCTTGCCGCAGCCAGGGTGTGGACACACTTTGGTCTTCCCCTTCCGATGCACAAGATTGACGTGGTTCTGTAGGCAAGAGGGGCAGGAGTGGGGCTGTGGGTGCCTGGGCCTACCTCCAGGACTCTCCAGTGTGGGGACAGAGAAGGGTAGCTGGGAGGCAGGCTGGGGGCAGCCTCTCTGGAGGAGGGAAGAGGGGTGCCCTTGCCCTTGGGAGGGACTCCCAGTTCTGAGCAAGGGCCCAGGGGCACCGCAGTTTCGGCGTGCACCTACTATAGCCAGGGCCTGGGCCTTGTCATAACCATGTGGTGGGGCCCTGCTATTCGCCCAGCTTATGGATGGGGGAGGAGGCTCTAGAGGGTTAGGTTGTGGCCCATGTCCCACAGGTGGGCAGGGGCAGACCCTGGATTCCAGGGCCGGGAGTCCCACAGCACGCTTTGCCACGGAGCTACACTGTTCCCAATGTCTGGAACAGGCACCCCCTGTCGTCATTCCTTTGCTCTTTTATTCTTTAACTCACCAGCAAACCCATAGCTTCAGCGCCCAGCACTAGGCCTGGTACCCTGTAGGTGCTCAACACGTGCTTAATGAAAATGAAACTCAGCAGATTCAAAGGCCTACTGGTGCCGCCTCCCACCACAAGTGGGAATGTGACAGGAGCCTGTCTGCCCTTGGGGCATCCGTCCAGACTCCAGAGGACAAACTATAGGTATGTCCTGGTGGTGCAGTGACCTGGGGCTCGCTGGCCCCACCAGCTCTGGGGGACTAGGGTGGGCTTCCTGGTGGAGGGGGCCTCCTGAGCTGAGCCTGGAGATGAGGCATCCGGAGCCAAGAAGGTGGCCTCGGCCAAAGCAGGATGAGTTCAGGCCAGTTGAGAAGGCAAGTGTACCGGAGAGCAGGAAGGGGAAGTGGTGAGGTGATGACTGGTGCCCTGTGGCCGAGGCAGGGTGAGTGAGAAGCTATTGAGAGGTGGGCATGTGAGAGGCAAGCCAGTGGCACCTGGGAGGACCAAGTGGGGTGCTCCGTGAGCCACACTGCCCAGATGCCAGCACACAGGCAGTGGAAAACAGAAGCGGGTCCTGGATGGGACCTGCTTGGGTGGTGGCCTCACCTGGAAACTGCTGAGGGCCACGTACACCTGGCTGCAGCCCTCGTAGGGGCA